TCCCGGTATAACTTCGACCTCGTTTACCGCGCTAATAATTAAGCCGCGGTTCCCGATGCGTTCTTCCGAAAGAATTAAAACCGATTAAATATAAACGATAAGGAATTACGGTACTTATAATTTATTCCTAAAGGGGCTTTTCGAAATTAAATCTACGTAATAATAACGTCCTAGTCCGCCGGGCCCGATATTAGAGTTTTCGAAGATAATAAATTCTAGTTCCTATAGGAAAAGACGGCGTACCTCGATACGTTATATTAATAGGCGTACTAGGTAGTAAAATAAAGCGCCCGCTTCTTCGCCCCGACTATAAAGTTAAAGATATAAATCGCGGAATATACGATTAACGCCGGAGGACGGTTATTATTTAAGGACCGGATATAAATATTAAAAGGTCCGCCTCCCGGAAACGCGGAAATAAACTCCCGAGGTACGGACTAACTTAACGAACTACGGACGAAAATAATCTAAAGAACCTACGACTTATACGCTATCGGCTACCCCGGCCGAGAGGATATTATAGCGATCCTAAGCCGAAACTTCTACTAGCCGATGTTTTATTAATACGTAAGAAGGTTTATTCGTAATTATAACGTTTACGGCCGCTTTAAGTTATAAAGGGAATATAAAAAAGAACTCTTTAAACCTTTTCTTATATTTAATCGTTACTTTAAGGATATATAAATAAACTTTATCGTAAACTTATTCCTATCGAGGAATAATCGGTATATATAGGTAATTAAGAACCGCTTAAGTAAGATTATAATCCTCGAACTTACGTTTATTATAGACGTAAAAGCGTATACGGAGCGCTTCTTAGCGTACTACGTCCGATATTATAACTAGCTAAAAAATATTATAAGCGATAAAGGATCGAATTAGCTAAGCCGTTTTTAGAGTTATCTTTACCGATTAATAAGTATAAAGTAAAAATTAAATACGGTATATTATCCTTAAATAAATAAAGGCTTCGAAAGGGTTAATTAAGAAATCTAAGCGGTATTACGAAGTTATATTAATTACGAGTAAAACGATTAGGTATAATAGCTACCTATCGTTTAATTAACGTTAAACGAACGGCTTAATACCTCGATAGGGCTCTTTCCTTTCTTCGCGATATACGGCTTCGACTTAAACCCCGTACCCGTGGTTTCCGCCGACCCAGGCGCGGAAATAATACCTTTACTACCGGAACTCTAAGCGAAGGCGTTCGTAAATAAGGTCTACGTAGTTTTAAACTTCGTATAAATAATATTAACCGTAGCCTCTTAGTAATACGAATTTTACGTAAACTAGAAACGATTTCCGGCCGAAAGACTTTAAGTAAGCGATAAAGTATAGCTCGACCTTACTTATTATAATACGGATAAACTTAAGAAGAAATTCGATTAATTAAAGGTAAAATATATAGTTACGAAAGTACTAAACCCGTACGTAATCGAATTAAGAGATATCCCGGCCGAGATCGATAATAAATTTTACGTCGATTAATTACGGAAAGCGTATACGAACGAATTATTAAGCTAAACCCGAAACGACCTATAGCCTTTCTTATTATTTATCGAAAGAACTAACGAATTTATAATAAAAAAGATCCTTTACGTAAGAAATAAGAAAGTAAGTAAGGAAAAACGACGCGAAGTCTTAATACGTTAGAAAGGCTATTAAGAATTATCCTAGTACCTATTATCCGACTTTATAAAAACGGAGGTATTAAACGTTTACGAAAATAAGTACGGATTAATAACCGTAAACGACGGCTTAAGGGAAAAATATACGACTTAAAAGAACTTAAAATTACGATTAATTAAGAAACGGAATACTTAAGAACCGAGCCGCGAGGTTAAATCTCTTTTTTAAACGTTATAAAAGCGTTATTTAATTATAAAAAAGAAAAAAAAAAAAAAAGGAAGGGAAGGCCGATTAATCGTCGTCGTCGTCGTAATCGCCGTTCTCTTCCTTTCCCGGAAGGGACTCGGAAGTATCGGCTTTTTCGGCCTCCTCGTCGAGGATAAATCGGGCGGCGAAGGAGCGGCGGGCGCGCGCGGCGCGGTTAATATCTAACGTTTCTAAGGGAAAAGGAGAAGCTAGGGGATAAAGGCGGCGTTAGGAGCGGCGGAAACGTAAGCGGAGGCGCGGGAAGCGGGCCGGCGAGCGGGAACGGAAGCGCCGGGAGCCTTCTAAGGCGTTAATCCGCTTCTTTAGGGCCGAAACCGTACGTTAAAAGGCGGCGTTATTAAGGCCGGAGGCGGCGGGGGTAACAGGCGGACCGGCGGGGGTAGCGGACGGGCCGGCGGGGGTAACGGCGGCGACGGTAAACGGACCGGTAAGAGCGGCTTCGTTAAAGCGGGAAGCCGGGCTAGAGGCTCGGGTTATAGGATTTACGAATTCCTTAAAAAAGGGGGTTAATATATATAAAAAAAAAAAAAAAAAGGAAAGGGGGGAAGCTAACGGGCCGATTAAGTCGTAGGTTAATAAGCGTTCGGCGGCGTTAGCGAGGACGAAGGCGTTCCGTAAGCGGAAGCCGCTAGCGGAGGTACGGCCGGCTACTTATTAATAAGCGGCGGAAAGCGCGACGGCGGGGCTAGAAGATATTAATAATAGCTACTTATACGAGGCATACGTAGTACTTATAACGGTTAGTAGCTATATCCGTTAGCCGCGTATTCCGCATACGCCAGGCCCCGGCCTTTTTTATCGTAGTAAGTACGTAAGGCGCCTACGTAACGACGATAAAAAAAGGCGCGGGTATCCGCCGGGCGGGTAACGGCCGAGCGGGGGGTAGTAGCCGTACGCGGGACGGTAGCCGTACGCGGGGGAATAAGAGTTTAAAGGGGAACGGTAGCCTCTTAAGCGGCGGGCTTAGGGCTAGGGGAGGCGCTTTTTCGCTATAAAAACCGATTAATACGTAATTAGGCAAAAGGAATAACGAAACGGAAAAGGTTAGCCTTACTAGGGCCGCTACGACGGCGATATTACTAGCGTTATTATTATTACCCTCGTCGGCGGAAAAAACGGACGTAAGACGTCGTATTAAGCGACGGAAAGCAGGAGCGGAAAGACCTAGGGGGTCGGGAAACGAAGAAAAAGATATCTATTAATATTACGTTAGCTAAGAATTAATCGAATACCTTACGAAACGCGCGAATTAAAAGGAAAGCTATATCCCGACGAAATACGGCCTTAGTAGTAATATAATAACGACGAATAACCGTAGAAAAGGAAGTTTACTTACGTTAATTAAGGTAATAAGAACGGGAAAGTTATTATTATTATAAAAGGAGGAAAGGTTTAAGAGAAGGAGTAAAAGGAAAAGTAAGAGAAAGGTTAATTAATTAAAAAGAAAAGGAAACGCTACTAATTAAAAACGATTCGAATACCTTAATTAACGAAGAGGAAAGCTTATATAATAAACTACGCCTAATTATAAAACCTTAGTTAATATAATACCAGGGTACGTAACCGCTCCTTCCGTATATAGCTAGCTCCTAAAGGCGCGGCCTTAATAGAGCGTACCTTTCTTCCTTTTCCTCTTCGTATAGCTTTATTCCTTTAATTTATACCCTTTCACCTAGCGAACAGCTCTTGAAACCGTGATAAATAGCTACCTAATATTACGTTAGAAGCCGTAATCGAATAATAATAGCAACAAGAGGAGGTAGTAGTAACGGTAGCCTAGGAAGAGGCTATAAGCCTACTAAGTAAGGATAAATAAGATACTTAATTATTATAACGCGTCCGATTACCGCGCGTAATTAGGGCTCCGGCGCGCTTTAGGGATTAATTAAGTAACGGGCATTAATCTAGTTTAGTTTTTATAATTTTTCGAATTTATTTAAGTAAGCTATTTAATTTATAAAAGGGCCTGTTTTAGCGTTTTTTAGTATGTTAAGGGGTGGCCCGCGGGGGGGTAGCCCGTGGTCATGTAATAGATGGTATGTGCTACGCAAGGCTTCGACAAAAGGTCTGTCTGTACTGTAGGTAGGTATATGCCTCTTATAGGTAACTACCGACCTGACCTAAGGCATGCACTTTCGATCAAGTAATTTACTCGTATGGAAAGACGCAGAGGGCACCGCGGGATTGGCCCTGGGCGGCTGACGAGCGACTGGATAGGCCTCTTGCGTTCCCGAGGTAGGATTTGGCCCGCCTAACCTCCTGCCTGTCCACATAGGTACTCATACACACTAAACTTGGGCACGTCCCGCCTCCCTGCCACGCCGCCGGTCGAGTCGGGCTACCTACCTGTCGGGAGAGACAAGGGTGACGGGTGGATGGGTGGAATGGGTGGAATGGATATACTCGCTGTAGATGGCAAAACATGCCTACTCGGGCATTGTTGCCGATAAGAGGTCGGTACGTGCGATGGGCTCCATCTCGCGCACAGCTACCTTTAATCTGTCTATATTTAGGACAGCAGGTAGGTGGGTATAGCATCTAGGTATAGCATCCAAGCCCTTGCTGTGTACCTAGGTAGGCACCTACCTACCTCCTAACAACACCCTTATTCCGTTTGATGCCATCCATTACCTACCTCCTTAGGTAGGTACTTACAGGTAGGTAGTAGAGAAATGTCTCCTCATCTAGCAGAGGCGGTTGCAGCTAAACACATTCCTACCGACATAGGTATATGTACCTACCTCCCTCCTCGTCATCTGACGTGACTGGGTAACGGGTTAGGTAGGTACCTACCCATATGCTGGAGGTGGGTAGGTACAAGTAGGTAGCGGGTGTGTCGTGATGATGTATGAGTAAGTCCCTGAGGTTGAAACCCGAGGTCTCCTCCAACCCTCCCCTCCCTTTTCCCCCCCCACGGCCCCGTAGGTGGTGCCAGTGCTGAGATGTCGAGATAATGCCTCTGCGTGGGCACGCGGTCTATAGGCTGACCAGGCTAGGAAGAAAAGGGCAGGCTGGGCAATCGGAGCTTGGGAACTTCTGCATCTGTCACAAGATTTGCCAAGGTTGCCAAGAAAAGCTTCCAGTAAAAAAAAAGGCTTCTTCCGGCATCCCCGCGCAGAACTTCGCTCCCTGTGCGCCGCAGCACGAGTCGCTGTTGTCGCCTCCTCCTCTACTTGTCATTGCCCTGATTCAAACGAGCGCTTTTCCCACCCTTCTCTCTCCCTCTCCCTCTTTTCCATTCCTCGCCTGTTGCCGTCTTCGATAACTCTTCCTCGTTATTTTACCTGGCCTAGGTAATCCACGTCCTTCTCTTCCCTCTCTCCTCTCTCTCTCTCTCTCATCCTATTCTTCTTCCTCTTTGTGCTACTGCGATTCTGTCCTCATCGGCCGCGCATCTCTCCATCATCTTTTCCCAACCATGACGTTCGCCGTGATCTCTCGCGTGCCGACCCATTGATCGCTGTCTCGCCGGCTAATCGTCTGCCTACCCAGGGTCCTACTAAAACCGCCTCTCCTCCGACCCCTTCCTACCCAGGTTTCTGTCGTAGTCGTCGCGTTGACACAATCCCATCCTCGGGAAACGTGATCATCTCCAGATCGCATTCACTGTTGAGAGCGACGTAATTACCCCGCGACCTGTACGACTCGTATCGACAGGCAGTCTACATCATAACTGCCCTCACGGCCGCCATACTATAGTCCGCCACCGCATCGATAGAGGGTACAATACGCGGGCCGGCCATCATCGCGACCTCCACGACACAGACCACTTGCTTCGACCTCGCAGTGAGCGTCCGCAATTACTGCCACCACCCGTCGCTACGAGAAGTGCTGCTCCTACTACCGCGACCATGGCCGACGAATCCAAGTTCGCCAATGGGGCGCCGCCCTCCGTCGCGGCGAAGTCGAAGGCGACCAAAGAGAAAGAGTTGTATCCCATGTCGGATTGGAAGTATGATGCTTTCCTCCACACCTTCTCCGTCTTGGTTGACCTGTTCTTTCGAGAGGTCCACCCCCGCGGCGCTTGGAGGGTGCCCAGGTCCGGCCCCATCCTCTTCGTCGCTGCGCCGCACGCGAATCAATTCGTCGACGGCCTCGTTCTGCAACGAACGCTCAAGAATGAGGCGAAGCGCCGCGTCGGCCTCTTGATCGCCGAGAAATCCGTGCACGGTTTCATCGGATGGGGATCGCGCCAGACCGGCTCCGTCCCGGTCGGCCGCGCTCAAGACAAGGCGAAACCGGCTTCAGGCCTCATCTACCTTCCCGATCCTATCAACGACCCGACCTTGGTACGGGGCATCGGCACCAATTTCGAGAAGGAGGCCGGAGTCGGTGGCTTGATCTTCTTGCCTTCCGCGAAGGGCCAGTCCGGCAGCTCCGTCGACATCTCCGCCATCAACGGCCCCGAGGAATTACGGGTCAAGCGGCCGTTCAAGGGGAAGCTCGCCATGCAGCAACTCACCGGCCGGGACGACATAGACGAAAAAGGAAACCTGACCAACCGGGAATTGCGTGGGCACGGAGACGGTTACGAAGGCACCAAATTTAAGCTGGCTCCCCACATCGACCAGACCGAGGTATACAAGGCCGTCTTCAACCGCCTCAGGTCGGGCGGTTGTATCGGGATCTTCCCTGAGGGGGGTAGTCACGATAGGACCGAGCTATTGCCGCTCAAGGCCGGCGTCGCTATCATGGCTTTGGGTACCCTGGCCGAGGACCCGGACTGCGGCCTGCAGATTGTCCCCGTCGGCATGAATTACTTCCATGCTCACAAGTTCCGGTCGCGGGCCGTCGTCGAGTTTGGCGCGCCGTTTCAGATCCCTCGGGACTTGGTTGAGAAGTACAAGAACAACGAGAGGAGGGACGCGATCGGCCAAACGCTCGACATGGTTCACCAGGCTCTGAGTGCTGTCACGGTATCCTCTCCGGATTACGACACCCTGATGTGCATCCAAGGGGCTAGGAGGCTGTACAATACCGGAAAGAAGCTGCCTCTGCCGATGGTGGTGGAGCTCAACCGGAGGCTCGCCGTGGGCTTCTCGAAATACAAGGACGACCCACGCATCATCGACCTGATGGACAATGTCAAAGACTACAACAAGCAGCTGCGCTACCTGAACATCAGAGATCACCAGGTAGCCTACGCCAAGATGACCCTCCCGACTGTCGTCTTCACCCTCCTATATCGGGTATTTAAGCTATCACTGCTCTCCGTCGGCGTGATCCCCGGGCTTGTCCTCTTCGCCCCCGTCTTCGTCGCCACCAAGTTCATCAGCCACAAGAAGGCGAAGGAAGCGCTAGCGGCTTCGTCCGTCAAGGTCCAGGGCCGGGATGTCATGGCAACGTGGAAACTTCTCGTGGCGATGGCGTTCGCTCCCGTGCTCTACAACCTCTATACCGTCCTACTCGCCGTCAAGGTGTACCAAGACCACCTATGGGGTTACATGCCGGAGTGGGTACCGCTCTGGCTAGTCTTCGTCGGCGGTTGGATTTTCTTCCCGGCAATCACGTTCGCCGCCTTGCGATTCGGCGAGGTCGGCATGGATATCCTCAAGTCGCTGAGGCCGCTGGTTTTATGCATCAGCCCGACGTCAGCCTACAGCATCCACAAGCTGCGGGAGCGGAGAGCGGAGCTGTCCGAGAAGGTGGTGAAGGTGATCAATGACCTCGGCCCCGACATGTACGAGGACTTTGAGCATAGCCGTCTCATGCCCGAGCCGTCCCGCGAGGACGGTGCGCTCGGCTCGCCGAAGGAAGCCGGAATCGTGGACGCGGCGGAGCCGACCCCGCCAGAGTCTCCTCGCCTTTCGAGGAAGAACACGACGCGTTCGAGCCGGGCGATCCCGAGAAACGAGTCTTTCAGCAACATTGGCGCCATTGGTATGTTCGCGACGCGGCCTTCGTCTCGGTCGAGAAGCAGGAGCAGCAGCAGCGGCGGCGCTTTCGGGTCCGGAGGATTCCCGGTGTCGGGTTTCACGTCGCTGGATTCGAAGGAGGGGTTTAACGAGGCCAGCAACAAAATTAGAGCAGCGATGCGGGAGAGGGGGCAGCTGCGCAGGAGGAAGAGTGGATTGTCGTCAGACGGCGAAAGCTAGAGGGGGGGGGGGGGGGCAGGCATGAGGCCACTGTACGATTTGCCCGCTTGGACTGGGTCGTCTGGGGTTTATTACCGTAATACTGTAATGCATATGTGTGTCTCTATCGTATCCTACGTTGAGAGTCCGGGGAATGAGCGGGTAAGATGCTAGGGTGTGGGCAGGAGGCGATGGCGTGTACGTACGTACTCGTGCTGTTGCGTGTCGACGATGGGTGTGCGTGACGACCTTGGGCGTTCCCGATCAGTTTGAACGTGGCCGGCACGAAGGCGCTTGGATGTCTAATACCTACCTCTTACCTAGGTAGAGCGTATGCGTATGTATGTAGATTTATATGCGGGTGGGTTGTATTTGGACCTGTTCCTTGGCAGGGGTTGCAACCAGTCATACCAAGCTGAGGGAGGATGTGACAATGGTAACCATGCTTTGTCCCGAGCAGACGCAGGCCTCAGGTCGTAGCTAATTAATAACCGTCTAGACTTCTACCCTCGGGGCGCCAAGATGATTCCGGGAGGGGGTTGCGGCTCTTCCTACTCTGCGTCTTCACAAAGGCGCGGAGGCGGTACCCCGCGATGCTGCGGGGTTACCAGGGTGTCGACAAGCCCGACAGCGACGTATACCCAGGTATGTAGTAGCCTATACATACGTGTACATAGGAGAGGAGAGATCTGACGAGGACATGCAGTTGATAGGTAGGTACCTAGGTAGGCACCTATTAAGCGGGCTGATCGCAAATCGCTTAATAATGGGCGCCCGCGGATAGGAGGTACCTAGGTATCCAGGTAGGCAAGGGGGTAATAAGGCGGTAAGCCACATGGTTGGAGGGAGGAGGTTGGCGCCTAACTGAAGTAACCTGCCTGGAGCAGGCAACCCCCTGGGTGAGATGGGTACTACCTGGTAGCTGTATACAGCCGACTCGGAAAGCCGTCGTTACTCCGCGAGGCCGCGCCTTAGCCCCGAAGGGCCGTGCCCTCTTTTGTCCGAGTTGTGATGCGCCGGGAGCCGAAAGACGGTAGGTATTAATAGCGAAACAGGGCCCCCCTTCTCGAGGGCCGCCTCGAATAGAAGACAGCTTAATTCGAGTTTCGCCATCTCCACCGAAAAAGACGTTTCTGATCGGGAACAAAAGGGGGAGAGAAAATAGCATTCATTATACGGTACGGCATAACACACTCGGGCACCCAGGCACTGATACGTACCTACCTACCTAGTGCACCCAACACTACAAATCCGGAGATAGGAAGAGCTGGTACGTACCGAGAGACGTGTCGCCATCTTGCGTCATGATCTCCCTTCTTTTCACTCTAAGGTACCTAATATTAGGTACCTCCTCTTGCCCTGGTGTAGGTAGCATGTACCTATATGCACACGCCAAGTGTACATTTGCATGTCCGCCTCACGCAACCCGGGTACATCAGGCACATTCAACCCTGCCTCCATACAAGCTCCCATCCAAGGCATCTCGATGCATCCCCCTTGGTCCCCCCCAGTCCTGGCCGACACGGCTCTCGACCCTAGCCCGAGATACATACGTGAACGCTGACTAGGGCTATGCGTGCCCGTGCAGGTGCCTACGAGGTGAATAGGCGGGCATCGGATTGGATAAGAGTGGAAAGGAGAGGGAGTGGGGAGCAAGAAGAATTACTCAGGTATACGACTAGATAAACTCTTGCTGTCCACCCGGCCCGCGCCCATCGCAGTCCGCCTACGCGATCGTTGTTCTACGCACATCTTCCGCCTTCTCCCACCTTCGCTCCCGCTCCACCGCCCTTCCGCGCCGCGGGCACAGATACACATACCTACCTACGAGGATGGCGGCAGCTGGTTTCTTGTCGCTCATCGGCGGCGCCAAGCGGCTGGTGACGGGCAGCGCCCGGGCCGAAGAGCTCTTCCCGCGGACGCGGCCCGAAGTCGACGGAGAGGAGTGCACGCACGACTGCGACAGCTGCACCATCAAGTACCCGCGCCACTTCAAGGTCGAGGAGACCCATCCGCTGTACGGCAACATCAAGCCCTGGAGCACCCACGTCATCGTTGCAACCAGCAAGTCCGACTGGCATAGGAGCGTCGAGGACGAGCGGGGCAGCGTCATGGAGGCCTTCGGCCGCGCGAGTAAGCCTAGCAACGGCGTAAGTTTCTCTCCAAGGACGCCCGATTGGGCCCGCTAATCTAACGTGCCGGGCAGCGCTTGATGCTCTCCGCCTCCAACATGCCTACGCCGGACAACACGCCGGACTACTCGCAACCGACGAGTGTGCTTGTCCTCCCGGCCTTCACCGTCGTCGAGAACGTGACGCCGCCGGCGGTGCCGAGCCTCGTCACCAAGTACATCTCGCGGGCCCCGACGACCTCGGACCCGCTCGAGCCGGCGATTCGGCTGCCCAAGACGATCTCGTCCTCGCGCTCGAGCGTCGGCGACATGCGCGCGCGGCCGTGTCCGCACAGCGCAGTCGTCCTGCTCTGCTCGCACCGGTCGCGCGACGCGCGCTGCGGCCAGAGCGCGCCCCTCATCCGCAAGGAGCTCGAGCGTCACCTGCGCCCGCTCGGCCTCGACCGCGACCTTGACGACGACCGGCCCGGCGGCGTCGGCATCTACTTCATCAACCACGTCGGCGGCCACAAGTATTCCGCTAACGTGCTAATATACCGGCGCCCCAACGCCTTCGGCGTCGACAACGTCCGCCGCGCCGACCTACCCGAAGGCGAGCTACCCGCACTTAGCACACTACCTCCCGCCACCGCCACCGCCACCGCCACCGCCACCACCGCCGGCGAGGGACAGCCCGAGGGACAGCCCGGGGAACAGCCCGGGGAACAGCCCGGAGAACAGGCGGAGGGGAGCGAGGCCACGGGAGAGGCGGAGGGAGCAACGGCCGGCGCGGCCCAATGCATATGGCTCGCGCGCGTCCGCCCCGAGGACTGCGAGAACATCGTCCGGTACACGATTCTCCAGGGCAGGGTCGTCAAGGGAGACAAGCAGCTCCGCGGCGGTTTCAACCGCACGACGGGCGCGACGAGCTGGTAGCTTCGGCAACCAACACCACGCGGGAGAGGTAGGCAGAGAGAGAGAGAGAGAGAGAGAGAGAGAGAGAAAAGTTATGTCTGAGTGAAATGCCGCGTTTTTCCCCTTTTCTTTTCTTCTTTTTCATCATCCCAGGACATGCATGGTATGGCAAGGCAGGGAGGCAGGTCAGGCATGGGTACGGCGATCTCTCTTTTTTTTCTCTCGTATGCGTACGGTAAGCTAGTCAGTCATCTCCTCGCGGGGACTCTGTATAAGGAGACGGGGGGAGCTGTCGAGGCATAGCTGCCTATCCTACTTGTTCTGGTGTCGCGATACATGAGCGTCTTTTTTTTCGGATGGTCCCGAGTAGAGAGGCGGCGGAGTAGACCAGTGGCAATACTAGACCGTTGATTCTATTTGTAAAGAAAATAGAGACGCGCAAAGGTGTAAGGAGACATGTCCGCATTTGAGGACGGGGACGGAAGTTCACTGTTTGTGGAGCGTTTGCGGGGGATAAGACAGAGCAACCTCCTAGCACCGGCACCTCAGTCAGCTAAGCAGTTATGTAGAGAGGCACCAACACAGTACGACTAGTGCTAAGTACTTGGGGTACTAGGCTACCTGTAGGCACATGCAATTTACCTAGGTATAGCTTCCCGGCAGTGAGAATACATACTGCTGATGTAGCAAGGCGCGAGGGCATCTTTCGATCATAAATAACACGATGCATAATAGCATTGGACGCATATTCGTTAGCATCGATTCGGGAGAGGTTATCTCCAAACCCGACTTCGAGATTCACTCCTCATATAAAAGGCAAGAGAGAGAGATACGCGAGGCACCTCCAGGTATATAGGAGGTATGTAAGGCAGAACCAGGTCATGTACTGCGTAGTGCATACTAGGTACCTACCCACCTGTGCAGGCGTGAGCACGTGAGACCAATGCCGACGGAGAACATGTTCGTAACCCCCTAATGCGGGCTTATGTAAAGTACCTACGAACCGACCGCGAGCCTCGGTCCATTTTCTCTTTCGGCCAACGCTTCCGTCGTCAACACCTTCAAGTCCCTTTTCTTTGTATCTACATCGGTACCTTGGTTAGTGCCCATCCTCCCTGTTAGCTACGTCGCGACAACATCAGCAATTCCCAACCTCCCGCCATCTCGCCCTCTCACACGACGCGTACGCACTTCCCACTATCTTAAGAGCATCGCCATTCTGCCATGATCCCGTGTTGCTGAGGAGGCGGACACTATATCATCATGCCAATTCGCGAGGACATTGTGGCCTCTGCTATCTCTTGTAAGTGCTGCCCAGCCATCGCGGACACGGCATCCCCAGAGACGGAGGGCTAACCGGCGGTCGGCCACTACACCAGTCCTGCGAGACCCAAATGTTGCCTCCTCGCCCGTCGAGAACAAGATAACATTCCTCCAGTCGAAAAACCTCACCCAGGAAGAGATCGATGCAGCTTTCGCGCGTACCGGAACCTCCACTTCGGTGACCGCCTCGGCGGCATCGTCACAGCCTACCTCCTCCCCTGCCCAACAACAGCCGTTCTACGGCCAATACCAACAACCGCAACCATACGGATGGCAACCGCCGCCGCCAGCACCCCCTAAGAGGGACTGGCGCGATTGGTTCATCATGGCCACTGTGATGGGCGGAGTCGGCTATGGCTTGTACACTATCACCAAGGTATGCACACTATTCTCCGTTACTACTAGTGCGAGGACGTCGGGACAGCCCGGGGAGACAAGGCCAACTCGACTAACCCGACGGCAGCGCTACATCACCCCCTTAGTCTCACCCCCGACGCCGGATAGGCTGGACCAGGACAAGGCTCTGGTGGACGAACAGTTTGAGAAGGCGTTCGCGACGCTCGAGCAGCTGAGCAAGGACACGGAAGACCTGAAGGCGTCTGAGAAGGAGCGCACCGAGAAGCTCGACAAGGTCCTCGAGGAGCTCGAGTCGTTCATGCGTGACACGCGGTCTGCGAGCCGGCGGCATGACGACGAGGCAGACCGGCTGCGCGAGGAGATGCGGGCCCTCAAGGGCGTCATCCCCAAGTCCATGGCCGCCAACAAGGACTTCACCGACAACCGGCTCAAGGAGATTACCAACGAGGTCAAGAGTCTCAAGTCGCTCATCAACCAGAGGATGACGGCGGCGTCGAGCCCGGCCCCGTCACCTAGCGCGAACAGCTATCTCCGAACCATTAGCGGCAATGCCGCGCCTGCTGTCACCGCCACCGCTGGTGTCGGCAGTGCCGGCCCGACCCCGGGACTCGACGCGGTGAAGGAGAACGGGGACGAGAACACGCCGCAGCCCGCAGGCAGGCAAGATTACATCTCCTCGCTGGGCAGCCGGACCAACCCGTTCGTCAGCGGGCCGACCCCTCCCAAAGCCTCCATCCCGGCCTGGCAGCTGGCGGCGAGTAAGGATGCGGCGGCCGCCCCCAGCAGCGCCCCAGCCACTCCCTCTGCCACCGCAAGCGGGTCGCAGCCAGAAGCCGGGAGCAGCTCGTAGATGAGATAGATGGCAATACGTGTTCTTTTTGTCGGGTTTTCTATAATGAAGAAATGGCCATGAGTATGTATATATACCTCTGACACCCTTCTTGGTTAACGCGGTCGGAAGGGCCAGGGGGAGGAGAGGCGGAGGCGCGATATTGCCATGAATAAGCCCCCGACAAGAGAAAACAATATCATCTCCTCAGTCGGGGAGTGCTCGCACACCACCTCTCGCTGTTTTCGCTTCTTCCTACCTCCCTCTCCTCCTACCTCGCCCCCCTCCCCCCCCTCCCGTTCGACAATGCGAAAAGGAAAGAGGAGTACCTAATCAAAAGAGCTGAGGGAGACGAAGCAGCAACGGGACCCACACGAGTGTCTGACTACGGGCGGACAGCCAGAAAGGGGGGGAGCAAGGCAAGGTGTACGCTTATTTGGTCCCAGGGAGGATAATAGCCGAGAGTGGACGAGTAAGAGATGGTGTCTTTTAATGGTTACAGCTGTTTTTGTCGCGGGCGTAGTAGTAGTAGCCGATGTTGTCCTTCCGGTTCGGCTTGGTTCAGTCCATCAAGTCGGCTGGCCAGTCAGTCAGTCAGTCAGTCAGTCAGTCAGTCAGTCAGTCAGTCAGTCAGTCAGTCAGTCAGTCAGTCAGTCAGTCAGTCAGTCAGTCAGTCAGTCGGCTGGACGTCCAATGACCAACCAGCGAACCGGGCAGGAAAGGACCTCACCTAGGAGACTTCAAAAGGGGGGAAGGGGGGAATATGTGACTGGAGAATTTAGGGGAAGGGGGGGGGCACGGAATCTCAGAAGATCTCGAAACCCCCTAAAAATGGCAAGACGAGAATAATCAAGAGAAAAAAGAAAGAAAGGAAATTCGATAAAATGCGCGCGCACAACCGACTCGACCTGTGCCTCCCTCGTCCACCCGTCTCTCTATCTGTTGATCCTATCCCACCCTGTCTGTCTGTCTGTCTGTCCATACCATCCAATCTCCTCCTCTCCCGGCCCTCTATCCCTCTTCCTCTCCCCCCGAACCTACGTAGGTTAGGCGCGACAAGATTCCCAGCGCGCTGTCAGATGAGCTCGCGCTATGTAGTCTTGAGTGCGTGACGGGGGCGAGGGATGGAGAGATGGATACAAGTTATACAGCCATATGAATATATATATATATAGATAGCTGCTCGTATACGAGAGACCGCCACACGCGCTCCCTTCCCCTTCTCTAGGGATGTCTCCCCCTCCCGCTCCCCCTCTCTCCCGCTCCCGGCGCTGTCCAACGAGCCATCCGCGACCGCGCATCGGACCGCCGGGGACCACATGCTTGCCTACCCGCCTCGCCTGCTCGTGCCGCCCTAGGTCGGTGCGCGCGGGGCTTGGGGCGAGGCTGGCTGGCCTGCTTCTTCCTCTCTCTCTCTCTCTCTCTCTCTCTCTGCGTGCGTAGGCCTCCCTCCGCTTTGGCTACCTAGGTATAACCTACCTAGAGACCTTCTGCACCTTATTGTGCCTAGGTACCTAGGTAGGTAACGCGTAGCACTTAGGGTACTCGGCCCAGCCGCAACTAACTTTGCTGGTGGTAGTAGTGGTGTTGTGCTTACTGCTGCTGTCCCGCCCCGGCTCGTCGGCTCGCCTCACTGAATCTACCTAGGTAAACCTACCGATGTACCTATGCATAGGAGGTATCTAAGGTACACATACTATACCTACCTACGTACTACCGGAGTACAGACGTTCTAATGTCCTATCTCCTATCTATTACTAGCTACCTCTTATCTTACCTGCATCCCGCAGGAAGAGGTTGTGCCAGCTGCTGCCACCCTCCCCTCGCCTCGCATGCCTGTAAGGGCCTGTAAGGGCCTGTCTCCCCCTTCCCACCCCCGTACCTACATAAGCTAGCACAACATCACACAGGTCCCCATCCGTCCTGATTTGCCTGCATAGCCTCCCATTTCTGCCACATCCCACAACCGATCCAACCAACCTTGTCCGTCCCAGGGGTTGCCGATGCTGGATGCGTGTGATGAAGGTTGTGTTGGACACGTGTTGATTGATCCTTTTCGTTTCCGAGAAGAAGCTCTCGGTTGAGCTTTAGCCCTAGCCACCCGCTCCCTGCTCGCCATACGCCCAATGGGGAACAGCTTAGCTTCACCATCGTGTTTTTCATTAGAGCTCCAACTACGACGAGATATATACAGTTTGGGTGTTTCGTCACCCAACAACCCATTATTGATGCTCCGCCCCCCCCATCTCCCGTAGTCGTCGTCTCCACTGTGTATACGTGGCAAGTCGTGCCATGCCGATGGGGCCGGCATTGCCACCACCATCCCCAACCCTTCCTCTATGCCCACGGGGCTCAGTTGCCATGGCGAATCGCTGCTGCTGTATGTTGAACATCCCCCGCCGTTTATGCCTCTCTCTTTATTCTTCTATTGTCTATGCCTTGATAGCGTATGTTCTCTTGAACATGTCGTCGACATGCTCGAGGTAATAGGTACCGCTGACGATCGTCGACACGTCGCCCTGGGGTGTGTAGTTCTTCTGAAGATGGGCCTTGTGGCGCAGCTCGCAGAACTAGATGAGATCGGATCGCATATATTAGCTCTAAAACGATCTACCCGGTCGGGTGGGGTGGGGTGAGGAGGAGGGGGGGGGGGGGGCGCTCGGATATTCTTGCAACTTACGGCCTCGTACGTCTCGGGAGAAACTGCCCGTCTCGCCGCCAATCTGTTGGGGATGTCCAAAATCTTGGAGATCTGCTCCGTGCTGCCGATGACGCGCGCCGAGAGGAAACTCGACGCCAGACCGGAACCATAGCTGAAGAGAGCGATGCGCTTCCCCTGGAGAGAGGCGCTGTCGACGTGCGAGACCAAGCTAGCCAGACCGCTCCATAAGCTGGCACAATACATGTTGCCGCAGTTGGTCGCCACCTGGATAGCGGGCGATATGCGTTCGTTGTACCGCTTCTTGGTGAGACCCATAAAGGTCTTCTCGACCACCTTGTCCGACAGCGACTTCTTGTAGTCCATGTCTCGGATATCACCAGGAACCTCGGCGAACGCGGGGCTGTCAGGGTCCGCCAGATAGTCGTGGTAGAGCAGGCGCGCGTAGGATTTCTGGACGACCTTGCAGGTTGGAGAATGGAAGGCGAGGTAGTCGAAGCGGTCCAGGGCCGTCTTGCCGCTCTCGGCGGCGCCGTTCCCGTTGGCGTGGCCGTTCCCTGCCGCTTTCTGCTGCTGGGCCTCGCGCTTGCAGTAGTCCCGGTAGGCAGCGTCGAGGGCCTCGGTGTAGCAGTTTACCGAGTAGTGTCCGTCAACGTAGGGATACTCGCTGGTGAGGTCGGGCTTGTAGAAGTCATAGACGTGCTGCATGTAGGTTCCACGCAGGCCGGGCTCGACGACTATGGGGGCGTCGGGACCGACCAGCAAAGCGACACAGCCAGCACCGCCGGTGGGCCTAGCGTTGCCCTTGGCATAGAGGGCAATGTCTCCGGCTACGACGATGGCGTCCCTGCCGTCCCAGGCCGACGACTCGATCCAGTTGAGGGTGTTTAACAGGGCGTTGGTCCCGCCATAGCAGGCATTCACCGTGTCGACGCCCTCAATGTTGGTGTTGTCGCCGAACAGCTGCATCAAGACGGTCTTGACGGACTTGGACTTGTCAAGGATGGTCTCCGTGCCGACCTCGAGACGGCCAATGGAGTTGACGTCAATGTTGTACTTTTTTAAGAGCTGCGAGGTAGCGGTCAAAGCAATCGAATAGATATCTGCAACGGTCGAGTCTTTCTTTAGTATGCGGGGAGCTCCTACAGCCTCGAGTTCAGGAACAGCTCAACTAACCCTCCCGGTCGTCGCAAAAGGTCATCTTAGTCTGGCCCAGACCAATTGTGTACTTGCCGGTGCTGACACCGTCGAACTTCTCGAGTTCGGATTGTTCGACATACTGCGGGGCCCAGGGCTGTCAGCACGAGATGCCGCCTCTCAGGGCCCCGACCTTTCTCTCTTCCCTAGGAGTCCTGGGGAGGCTTCTCGGTGCGATGCCGGAGGAGCAGGTAACGGGGCGAGAAGAAACTGACCTGGCTCGGGAAGTAGATCTCGATGGCCTTGATGCCGATATTCTGAGGACGGGAAGCCATGGTGTCGATAGCAACGATGGGGTGCAGCGGGTTCAAAGTGGGAGGAGCAGAGAAGAGGTATCTAGCATGGCAGAAATATCGAGACCCGGGAAAGTAGTATGCTGCGTCTGTGGGAGGGAAGCGATATTAGCACATCTGCCAGGGCCTGAGACTAGGAGCGTCGGATTCACCGCCAATTAATTGGCAATGGAACCCAACGGCAAGACAACAGGAATTGGACAGGGGGCCGGAGACTACAACGTAAGTAGCGTTTGCATGGGATGCCGAGTCTGAATTTACATGTGTGTCGATCACTGGCGGCGGCCGGTGGGGGATCTAGCGAAGAAAGCGTCGACAGGGGGGAGGGGGAGGGGTGATTGTCGGTGATTTCTTTTTTTGGCTTGGGGTTTGGGGCGATTTCGTTCTGGTTGGCGCAAGAACCCACCTTAGCTAGCTAACAGCCCTTATCTGGCTGACCAGGAATATGAAGGGGTCCAATTATCGGCTGCACCCGGTGGGGGTGTAGAAAACAACACATACACGGTGGGGCGGGCGTGCGGTTGTTGGCCCTTCGAGACTCGAGAGAGAGCGTCCACGACGAAGTTCCAGGGATATATATACTCTCTCTATACATATGTATGATGGAGCGGGCGAGGGAGAGGGAGGCAGACCACAGGGAAACGGGAGCGAACGAGGCTATTATATACCCCCCCGGCGCGGGAGGGGACAAGGTAGGTACCTCAGTAAATATGGAAATGCTCCGAAGAGGCAAGTATCGATTACGGTTGGCCATCGTCAGATGGGGAAAGGTCAGCAAAATCTTGTTGGCGTGGACTGAAAAAAAAACCCCCCAGAAAAAAAAAACAAGGAGGCCCGAGAGGAGGGAGAAGAAGAGGAGGAGGAGGAGGGTGCCGGAAGCACGACAAACAGAAGCGAGATAAAATACCTGCCTACAACTACACGTAACACAGACTCTTTCCCAACCTGCTCGGATTCTGGCAGAATATTACCCGCGTCGCTGCTGCGTCCTACCGGGCCTGTCCCCCACCAGAGCTCTTGCCGGAACGAGAAGGAGGCCGAGCTTGCGAAGAGAACTAACTAGGCACATAAATAAATACCTAAACGAACGAGGGGAGACGAGAAGAAAAAAAAAGCGCCGTCATGTATGTCAGACTCGAGGGCTTGCGGGAGCGCGAAGGCCGGAGTTGGTGATGCCTCCGGGAGCCGGACTCAGCAATCACGTCACCGTCCCAGCAAGCTGCTCGTTCGGGCAAGAAGCTAGCCGGCCCCTGGGGTTCGCAACCCGGTACCACCAGGCGGCGGCGCTGAGCTGAACCTGCGAGCTGTGACAGATGGATACTACTACGTCTAACTCTTCGGGGGGGGACGACGGGAACCTGAGGAACCTGCCTTGGGTAGGTACAGGAGGTAGCCTATGAGCAGAATGCTACCTAAGGTACCTACCTACCTCCTACCTAAGCGAGGTAAGAGGTACCTAGGTAGGCACCTAAGGCGTGTTTTCTAGGAGGTAGGTAGGTACCTACCTAGGGACCTAGGGACCTAGGGACCTAGGGTACGCGGTAGATTACCCATGGGCTAGGTACCTATATCGGGTGCTTACGTGGGAGCTGGGCCGGCAAGTTCGACGGATGGGGGAAGAGGGCCAACATCTTCACGAACTCAACAGATTTGCCTAGGCGTCTCACCGGACCGCCTTACGAAGGCAAAGGAGTCGGATATTTGCTTGGCTGGGTAATCTAAAGCATGCGTAAGTAGGTAATATATATGTAGGTAGGCAGGCTGGGCACCTACAAGGTCCGTACCATACCCAGGTAGGTATTGGTAGGTACCTACCTAGGTACCAAGGTAGGTAGGTAAGCCACGGGCACCACGTACATATACCTACCTATGCGTCTACGAGTTATGGGATGTGTGCAGGCAACGCACAGGCTCCAGGTAAAAAAATGCCTGGCTCCGAGAACTAGGTAGTTCGTTATCCAATCCTCTCAACATCCAGGTTTAGGAGGTATCGGTGCTTCCTCCCGTCCTTCCTGCGTAGGACCTTGCAGATAAGGACTGGCGGCGTAGGTACCTGTAAGCCGCGTATTATACCTGGGTAGGTACCTACTGGCTAGTGACGCCGCCGCCACCCAGCTCACCTACCGAAACACACACCCAGCTCGTCTCAAAAAATGTGTTAAACCCGTAAACATACCCCTTCTACCTGATACGTCTACACATTGCTAGACTCTACCTTAGTCAAAGCCTACGGCGCCCATCTTGTTGTTCGCCATCAACTGCGCTCCCTCCCGCGCCGGCTCCTCGTAGGTAGGTAGGTAGGTAGGTAGCTAGAGCGAGAGGCATCTACAGACGTAGTTACGTAGCTACCGAAGGCGTCCCGCGTAAGAATATACCCTCTGTGTGCTTCACCCGGCACGCAGAAGTGCCATTTCACTCCCCAGCCGGTTCGAGCCGTTTCTACAAGGTAGGTATCTCGGAGGTAGGTATGCAGAGTGCACGATGTTGGGGGAGGATCGGAGGCAGGTAATTAGCACGTGCAGTAGCTAGGTAGGTATGTAGAGTCACCTCCTACATCCACCTCCGACTGTTATTCGGCCGCCCTGTCGAAGTTGATCTCCATCTCCTCAACCCCTCAGTAGTTACCTATATGAGGCACTTAAGGACGTAGGCCCGGTATCGCTGCTCCAGACAGCTCGGCGCAGCATTCTCACATATGCGCAGCAGTAGTAATGGTGGTGGTAGCTAGTAGTAGTAGTGGTAGTAGTCGTGCGTCAAGCCGTCTCTCATCCCTACCGTGGCGCAACCTTTCTTTTCACATGCTTTTGTTCCGAGAGGCAATATTACGTGTCCACCGGGGCTATTTGTAGGTGTGTATTACGTAGCGAGCGTTGAGGTATTATTCTATCGCTTCCCCAAGGTGGGCCGGCTAACAACACCCAACCCGATGCGACGATCGCCATGCAAGTCTATTTCTCCCATGCCGGCGGGCCGTCTATAGTATCAGGGCCCCTCCCCTTTCCCGCTCCCGTTGCGCCGAACTCGCCATGTATGGTAACCATCGTAAGACTCCAAGACCGCGCCCGGAAACGCTGCTGGCCAACTGCGCACGCGCCGCACCCCGAGTCCGTCCTCGGTTCCGCGTTATATTCGTTAGGACTGCGACGTGACAGCCGTAGCGCCGGATCCCTATTTCGATTCGAACCTCGTCCCCGACCCTAGAGTTCCCGTTACCGCTTCGTAGTCGGGGTTGGCTTCTTCGAACCCATCCTTCCCTGGTCCCTGATTCCGCGTCGCCCTTTTTTCTAAAATTCTTTTTGGAATCCAGCTATTGCCAACCTAGGGATGGCTGGCGAGCTCGCCTAGGTCCCTTCGCTGTCTGCCGGCGCCCTGTTGTCTACCAAGAGTCTTTTCTCTAGCCTTCCTCTTCTTCCTCTTCCTAGATCACTCTGCCTCTTCTTTAGAGTCTTTCCCCTCTTCGCTGCCCTTCTTCTCTTCTTCCTTCTCTTTCTTTGCCTTTTCGGCCTCCTTAGCCTCCTCGACTTTCCTAGCCTCTTCAACTTTCTTGGCTTCTTCGGCCTTGCGCTTCTCTTCAGCTTCTCTGAGCTCCTTATCTTTGCGCTCTTTCCGCGTCTGTTGGACAAATTCTTCGGCATTTGCAACCGCTGCTTCGGCGTTGCGCTTGTGCTTCATGAGGAAGCCCTGGATCTCGGCCGGGCTGAACTCGTGTGCCGGTATCTTCGACGCAAATTCGTCCGCCAGAGCGCTGACTCGGGCATCATCGGCCTCCCGCTTCCGAGCCTTCTCCTCCTCAATCCTCTCCTTGGATTGAGATTCGAGAGGCGGGCTACTGGTGGCTTCGAGATCATTGTCACCTTCCAATTGGGCGAAGATAGCCTGGAAAATGGCCGAAGTCATCGCTGTATCTGCCAGACCGAAATTCACAACCATGTCGACTCGGCCAGGTCTAATCAAGGCCCGATCCAACTTCTCAATGTGATTGGTCGTCATAATGAGTACGCGACCTTCCTGCGACGCAACACCGTCCAAAATATTGAGCAGTCCGGACAAGGAGAGCCTCGTATTCTTCGTGTTTGACTCATTGTTGCTGTCGCTGGCTGTTTTCTTCCCGGAAGGCTCGTTATCAGAATCGCTATTATCGATCTGGTTCTGAGGTCCAGGTTGACTCTCGTCGCGAGTATGCGTGAGACCAGCCGTATCGATATCCTCCAAGAGGACAACGCAGCGGCGAGGAAGTTCGGAAAAGAGGGAGCCTAGGCTTTCCTCGTTGGCTATTACGGAGCTTAGACTGACGATATAGATGCGCATCTTGAAGAAACCCGCCAAGGCAAGACTGAGCGAGCTCTTCCCCGTGCCGGGGGGGCCGTGCAGTAGATAGCCGCGGCGGTAAGGGATGCCTCTATTGGCATACCAGCGTTGGGTCGCGGGGTCGAGATAGTCAGTGATATCATCGATAAGATCCTGCTTCGTCTTCTCGTTGAGAATCACGGTAGAGAAAGGTCGGTTGGATCGGGCCATGCAGCGCTGCCAGGCGGGTTCTCCAGAACCTAACTTGAGCGAGCCGCGGTATATCAAGGTCTTGTGCTCGTCTTTCTGCGCGTAGATCTGGCGAGCCTCTCGGAGGAGCTCCTTTAGGATCCAGGGATTTCGGCCGAAGGACGAAACCGATATTTCCTCACGCTCGCTGACGGGCATATGCGAACTCTGCTCCCGATTCGACGTCCTCCGGAACACAAGTAACCGACCGCGGTACCAGAAATAATGCGTGCCAAAGGAGGGCGTAAACGCTAGGTCCCTCTTCTTCCTGTCCCTCTCTCCAGACGCTCTCGACTCGCTTTCTTCTTCGTCTTCGTCCCATCGGAGATACCACGACCGCGAGTTCAGATTCGTGTTGACCACAAACCGCCGAGCCGTTTGCGAGAACTTTTGACGAGCCACCCAGGCCATGATAATATTGTAGATTTCATCATCGGTCCGAATGTCCACGACGGACATGAAGTGCGTCTCGAGCTGATCCCACAAGTACGAGCTCGCGTAGTTCCAGACGACGGTCAGAACGCCGCTTAAAAGTAGGAGGGGAATGTAAAGGGTCAAGTCGATATGCAGATACTTCTGTATCGCGCTGGCCAGCATCGAGAAGCCGGGGAAAAGGAAGTCGAGCAGGGCCAGGGCGGCCGGTTGCGGCAAGTTAGCAGGTAAGCCGTCGGGACCGGAATCGTTGGCCCCCGCGGACGGCCACGGCGAAGGGTTTGCCATGGTGCTAAGCGAAAGGGGAAAGATGCCGAGTAACGACATGAGACATATAAAAAGCGGTTGTCAAAGTAACGGAGGGGGAGAAAATCGGCGGGCAAGACGGTAACCGCGTGTTTTATTCAGTCTCCTGTCAGAGAAGGGGGGATAGAACTAGTTTGAGCTGGGTGTTGTAAGTAGCCGATGGGCACCATCCCGTCGACTTAATAGCAGCAACGGGACTTATATACAGTCTCTAGGGGACGGGGAGGAGGCAACCCAGTAGGATATGTTTGTAGGTGAAGGCAGGACGTGACGTGACGTTTCTCAGCTTACACGGTCGTACCTGTCACGAATGAGACTGGCCGGTGAAGAGTAAATCGGCTTGGCCTATTAGGCAGACTTTCCCGTCAGCAGATGTTTAGGCGGGATTCTCTGACTCTTGGGTGCTTATACGTGTGGGTTATGCTGCGATGTAGACCCGCTTGCCTGCTGCGTAAGACTCACACGGCAAATCTTGGAAATCTCGCCTTTGGACCGTCAGCATTAGGTCGTTTCAAAAAGGCGGGCTGTCCCCAACTCTCGTAACCCGGGCGAGGACGTATTGCTAGTTGGGTAAGGCATGTTGGCGTGGGTCGACTGCCTGCCGTCGTGTTGGCTCTTAATTTCCTCTCCGCCTTCTACCCCTGGCAACTCAATTCGAAGCGTCACATGCACGCCACACTGACGCTACCCGCCGCCGGGGCCTCCCGCGCGCCCACGCTACGTAGGTAGATCCTTGCGGCCAACCCGACGGGCGGGGGATAAAGAGCGTCATCGTGTTGTCGAAGCTGCCTAGTCAGGCCGGCAAGGTTCTCAAGGCAGGGAGGGCCGGCGACGAGAGCCGGCGACGAGAAAGAAGAGAGGGGTAGAGAGACAGAGCAGGCAGGCGATAGCCAGGGCCTGATGCCGAGAAGCCGACAAACGCGTCCTTGGAGCGTCGGCCTATCCGAGTTGTCCCGTTCTAGAAGAAGCTGAGCAGACGACGTCAGCAGCATTTGGTGAAGGGTGCTGACTGCGACGGACGAGAACTGCCTACATGCAGAACGGGGAGAGTAGGCGACTCCGGCCGGTGGTGCGCGGCACGCCGAATCCGTTAGCGGCCGCGATTCGGAACAGGGCCCCCAAAAAAAAAGAGAGGGGGAGGAGAGGAGGGGAGAGCGGAGAAAGAAGCTCTGGCTTGGAGATACCTACCATAAGCATGAGCGGGGATCTTACCTGGGGCAGCACCGGGAGGCGCATGCGGCTGCCTGATGCGTGGTCGCTGTCTCCCGCTGACGCTGGCCAGTGCGCCTAGGCGGGTCCCCTCTATAAGCACCTGGCATTAGGGGCATTGGGTGCCTAATATTAGGGGCATTGGGTGCCTAATTAGCAGGCCTACTTAGCCTATCTTAGGTGCCTGTCGCCAGGCGACCGCTCCCCTTTTCATCCCAGCTACGTGGCACACACCCACGACCTCGCGTGCCGTGTCGCCGTTCTTCTAGGTATAAGATGGGCAGCTCGATCAGACAATAATAATACTTACGTACCGAACATATGTGCGTGCGTGTGCGCGAGCGATATCTAGTATCCGATACTCCTTTCTTTTTCCTCTTCTTTTCTCTTCTCTTCCTCTTTTTACCAGGAATCTCCCCCTTCGCCTCTCCCGCTTCTTCTCGTCAAGCCGGGTCCCCCACCACACTCACCCGCCTCCTACCTGCCGCAGTGGCTGCGCGCCCTTTCTAGACCCAGCGTGGCTGAGCCAGCTCCGCCTGGTCTCTCTCTCTTCTCTCTCTCTCTCGCAGCATCCAGTCGCCCGATCCGTGGGTGGACGCAGGTATCCGCCAAGGCCACAGGCACATCACAGCATGCATGCATAGGTGGGTAGGAGGGTTCGCCGACGGCAGCGACCTGCACGACCACGTGTGTCTGCTGTGGTTCGCCCTGTGCGCATACGGCCGACGGATAGCAGCGGTCGATCTACACCGTAGACGCCGCGCTGTGATGCAGGGAGCCCTATAGGGCCGAGGCTAGAGAGAGAGAGAGGCGGAGGGGGAGCGTGCTGGACCCGAAGTAACGGTCGATGACACGACCCGACGTCCTGTTTGCCTAGCCACCTACCTATGGAGTAGATGGCATTCGCAGGGGTCAACCAACACCCGGAGTCAAGTTACCGAATGGGACATTCATTGCCACCAGGTGTGTACACAGCTATAGGAGACGAGAATTCCTACAACGCCGCTAGCCCTAGGAGCTAGTCCGCCCGGCGAGTCACAGTGAGCCCACTGTACTCTCGCTTTTTCTCTGTTTTTGTTCCCTAAAGGCAACACGTTGGACGGGCCAATTCGCCCAGCTCAACTACCCATAGGTTCTGTAGCAGCAAGGCCGAAAAAGGCAGATCCGTAATTAGCCCTCCCCTTCTTCAGTATTCGTTATAGACCGACCATTAGGCCAAGTTGAGACCCCGTTGTTTGCGCCAAAAATACCTTCCAATTTCCCTCTCCAACGCGAAATCAAAAGCCAAAAAAAGAAGAAAATAGCATGCCGCGGCTTGAGAATGGAATAACATAGTAGAATGGCATGGCGTAACATAGCGTAAAACCTATAGAAACCCCCGACCGTCCTCGCGCAGATGGATAGAAAAGACATGGAAGTAGAAACAGAAGGAGACAGACATCGAGTAGGCACCTACACAAGGAAATCCGTATCCCTGGGCGGGTACTTTGGTCGCTACCGCACCTCACAGAACAGCTCCTAGCCCCTAGCGAAGAAAGCATTAGATCCCGGCGGCGGCTGAGGCGGCGGCCCTCCGGGGCCTCCGAGTTGGATGAAGCCGCCTTCAAACCCCGCAGGTGCGCCACCGCCGGCCGGCTGCACCGGTGGTGGCGGCGGGGGCGGGGGCGGATGAACGCCCCCCTGAAAGCCTCCTTGGAACCCTCCCTGGAAGCCGTCGTAGCCGCCGCCCCCGTAGCCGCCGTCGTCAAACTCGTCGTACTCGTCGTACTCGCCGTGGCCGGGGTTCTGGAACGGGCCTGGCTGGAACGGGGGAGGCACGGGGACCGGGCCCTGCGGCGGCTGCGGCTGGGACGGGGGACGCTGGGGCGCGGGCGCGGCCGCGGGGCCGCCGACCTTGCCGCGGGAGCGCGAGCTGCGCGCGGCGCGGCGCTGCCGCCGGTAGAACTGGGCGAACGGCCCGCTGAGGATGTGGGCGGCGAAGCGGCGGGTGTGGTCGTCACGCTCGTCGACGTAGCGCGTGACGGCGCCGGCGATGCCGTAGAACCCGGACGGGTCGTCACGCCACACGAACGAGTCCGACTCGGACGATGACCAGACCGAGTATGCCGAGCCGCCCCCCGAGTACACCGACGACGTGTCCGACTCGAAGTCCGCGCTGCCGTAGCGGCGCGGGGCCGGCGAGCGGCTGTTCATGACGACGGCGGTTTAGAAGAGTGGGCGCGGATGAGTAGGGGCAGTCAGTCGGGTGGGACGAGCGGAGTGAGCTCTCGCTTCGTCTGGCCCCCGCACGTAGGGATTACGCACGTACGTAGTATGTACCACGTATTACGAGGGTGTAGCTTAGGGCGGGGGGAGGAGGGGGGGAGGGCGAAGCCGAGATGCTTGGCCGGTAGAGGCCGCCTCTGGAGCAGGGGGCGGTTCGATGGCCTTTCTGGAGAACGGGACGGAGGCGGACGGCGGGAGCAAGGCAGGTCGCTGACCGACGTGCCGCCGCCGTATAAGCAGCTGGCTGGTACGCACAAGCCAGGTAGGGGTTAGCAACTGTGGTAGAAGGGGTGGGGTGAAGGGGGTGGAAAGGGGAGAGAAGATCGTTGTGGGTATTCCTGGGGGATCGTTCCTAGGCGGTGCACACCATGTTTAAATATCTCGGAGGGCCCGTGTGCACAATTCCGCCCAGGTAGAGACGAGTTCGGGGGGGGGGGGAGGGTTGAGCTGGTCTGCCTATCAGGACGTCGTTGGTGCGCGCCCGGGCAACGTCTTCCCTGCACCCCTGTGCATTCATGATACAGCGCTGTGGGCGAGGGAGGCGGGCAATTGGTGGAGTGTAAGCCACGGTGAACACGACGATCGATTTGACGGGGAATTGCAGCCCGGTACAGACAGTCTCAAAACAGTCCAGTCCTGGCAGCCCCGACTGAAGAGCAGGAGGGCGTGCTCGAGTAGGCTATCCCTCCTCTCCGTAAGTCCTACATACGGGGAGGAGGGTAACCGTCGTCCCCCCCCTTCTCAAGCTGTCGGTGAGCTAGATAAGTCAGGTCCTGTTTGCCTTCTTTGCCCTCTCTGTCCCGTCGAACTGGGAGGTGAGCCCGCATGGTCCGCCACCGAACGATGCGACGACATTTGCGAATAGGGAAACGAGGCAGCCGCCGCGCCCCGTTTCTTGCGTCGAAACGAATCCCAGGGTCCAATAGTTCCGTGCCACTCCAACCCCAAGAGGCTAGATGAAGAACACCGATTGAGGCTCATCGCCTCGCCTATCAGGTAGGATTCTGGGGGGACGACCACATAGGTAGGTACGTTTATTCGCAAGGATTGATGATGGGGGGGGGGCGGTCAGCTCAGCACAGACTCGCCTACGGTTCGACACCGTCACGATATGAGGCAGACCCAAGGCGATCAGAGACGAGAGGGTTTTAGCCTGCCATCCGAGACTCCATTCCCCCGAACATAGCCGTATGCATATGCTACGTAGCACATACGCATGCGCATATACACACGCCACCGCATTAAACGCAGGAACAAGCAGAGAGCGGTTCCAAGCTGCACTTCTCGAGCCGACTTGCGCCTCGAGGATAGACGCCGTTTCCAGCCCGCATCTCCGCGGGAGGTCCACTGGTCAGAAGGTGGGAGCATGGTCGGTAGCATCATACCACGCAATGGGGATGAGGTAAGCATTGGGCCATCTCCTCTGCTTCGTTCTCCCCCCGAGAAAAATCAATAAAGTGAAGTTTGCTCTGTAGGCATACTTGTAATATGCTCCATCTCGTAATGGTGGCTAGGGTTTGGGATTTGTCCACGTCTCTCAATGGAATCGTCGATTGGATTTTCTACCGGCGGAGTGACGAAATGCGGTAGGATTTGTGAGATATGATATGGCATCCCTCCCCCTCCCCCCGGCTCCGAGACAATATTCATCATAAAAAACACCTCAGATTGAAATCAGCGACTACCCAACCACGAGTTGATTACCCTAGTTTCTTACTCGGCTAGCCAAGCACTCGGCCGCATGCATCAGCACGTATCCGCCAGGGTGAGCCGATTATCGAATGAGAAGGAAGTCGTCGCGTTCTACGTCAGCTATATCATAATGTGCCTTCTGTTGGGTCACCCGGCTGCAGAGTTCAAGCAGGACGGTGGCGGCCCATTCGAAATCTGCCCGTTCGAGGTAAATCTGGCCCGAGATTCTAACCCAGAAAGCGCCGGCGTAGTATCTCGTCGCTATAAAGGTGTCGAATTCGTCCACCGACGTTCTGGTGATCCAGTCAGCCACAGCTTTCGCGTCCTCGGCTGGGACCTTGCCCTCGCGCCCCCCCTCGTGCTGCGTGTCGGCTACTTCTAAAGGTAGCCTCACATTCGCGAAGCAGCAACCTCGAAGCGTTCCTGTCCTGTTCTCGAGGACCTCCGTTCCCAGGACTGCTGCCATCAACTTGCCGCCTTCTCTGGCAACATCCTGAGAATAGTTGCGGACTCGCGCCTCCCCGCCGCATACCTGGTCTCGGAATCTCAGAGCCTCCACGACGCAGAGATAAGGTGTGACATCTACGGTGGAGACCCTCTCAAACAGGTTGACGAAATAGCTTTCGCTGGAAAGGGCTCCTCGCTGGGCGCGCGGGAGATACCCTTCCGAGGTTGGGTACGTCGTCTTGATGCGAGCCTGGTTGCGGTAAGGCACGTATAGCACTGTGCACCCTCGAGGCACCATGAGCCACCTAGGTATACTTAGCGTGCGTGGTCGATATGGGTCGGAAGCGTGTTATAAAGAAGATGGGAATGACAAAGCACTACACATAGTGAAATAGAGGGGAAAGGGACAGAAGGGTTATTCAGACCTACTTGTAGCAGTTGGTAATGAAGAAATCTGGCCCAACATCGGGGACGTGGCGCAAATCGATGTGGCCTATTCCGTGTGCACCATCTATGCAACTGAGGATATTGTATTCTTTGCATACAGACACTAACGATTCCCACGGGAAACGAACACCGGGGAAGCTTATCACGGTGTCGAACAGGGCCAGCCTGGCAGTTCCGCCCTGGCTCAGAATTCTGAGAATTGCGGTACGGAACGAATGCACAATTTCGTCATCCTCGGCCGGGTAGGTGAGCTCGATGCAATAGGCGCGGGCCTCGGTGGTCTCCTCGAGAGACTGTATGGTCTTCAGACACCCGTCGTAGATGGTGCTGAAATGCAATATAACATCGCCCTCCTCGTACGTCAGGTTCCTCAGGACGGTGTTAATCGCGGTGAGGGCGTTGGGTACGAAGACCACCTCGTTGGTCTCAGCGCCCAGTAAGGGGGCGACGGCCTCCCTTGCTTCCCGTAGGAGTCTGGGGTACGTGAAGCGGAGGAAGGTATCGGGTTTGGCCTCGGTTTCGTCTTGCCGCCTCCGCTGATACTCCCGGACACTTGAGGGGAAGGCACCGAAAGACCCGTGGTTCAGTGGAGTATAGGAGGGCGCGAAGTTGAAGTGTGCTCGACGTATTTCCCTTCCGAAGGGCGTTGTCCTCGCCATTTCCGACGGCGTATCGCGCGCCGTCTTCATCAGGCCGTATTTTCACCTTTGGGTGAGCAGCGTGAGGATGGTAGGTCGGTATTACGTGGTTTGGTCAAGGCCGTGCCTAACGGCGATTCCATAGAAGCCTACGATCCCTGGGGTCGCCGCCACGAACGCGCTTCTCTGATTGGCTCACGGAGCTCCCCTGTCAGCACGCAACTCGTCCCTGAGGGCACGCAGGTACCCGAGCAACGAGCGCTTCCTGGAGAGCCTGCGCACTCTGGATCACCTTGGAAGCCGGCTTCTCGACTTGCATGCCCTGCTGAGGGGGAGAGCGCAGTTCGGGATCTTGGGACTTTGTTAGAAGTGGTTCGACGATGGACCTTGTCTCGGCTAGCAGACCAACCACTTGCGCCGGATCCTCGTAGTGCACGATTAGATGTTACTTACAAGGAAAAAAAGCTTGATCTCACCATTCTTTAAACCGGCGGCTCGCTGACCTCCGTTGGCCCTTGCCGGGGAGAGGCACTGGTCAGATTCAAGAAGCTCGTTGATAGGGTGATAAATTACGAGCTGGCCGAAGTTGCAGCAAATCCGTCGAATTCCGCGTGGTCTCTGCAGTGGCTATCTTACAATAGGTATGGCGGAACTACGGCGAGGGGGTATAATAACAGCCCCTACGAGCAACAAGCATCTATCCTCCACGCTGTGTACCTACATTTCATCTGCTGTACGGCGACGGCTTATCAGTCCGTCCTTAGCATCTAGTGCTACCATGGGATTCTTCTCTACTCGCGTATCTGCTTGGCCGTTCTGCAAGTATGAGTAGAACGCTTCCCGGTCCACCCATAATAACCATTAGAATGAATAATAATAATGTCTGGGTATGATCAACCAGGACTCCGCTCTTCCAGTTGCTTACCCTAGCAACATAGGTAACATGTCTGAAACCGGGTTGCCAGAAGAACTCCAACACCTCCATGTACGGCGAGCGCGGTTTCCCTGGCAAAGGATAGGGCAGATTGACGCCTATGAGCTTCAGCACCCTAGAACCAGAAAGGAGAGTCGGCGAAGGCAGAGAATCCCCCCTCGATAACCTTGCAGTTAACTTACGATTTTTCAGACGAAGGCACTAACCAGTCTTTCGAGGGTGGACTGCCCGATTGAACCCGTCCAATCCATCACTCAGGAAGGATAGAGTGCTTACATCAAAAGCCCACGGGCGTAGGTGTGGTTGTTTCAGATCTTTCCAGGAACAACCGGGAGGACCATCCTTCATGGGACTCCTGTTTCGGTAGCGGCTGGCTCTTCAGGACACGCCCTTGTTACCTGGTGATGGTTCTGCTGGCGAAGAGCGAGGGGCGATTAAATGGGCTGTTCTTCGGCATATTCAGCATAGACAAGTGGAAAGAGAGCTACAGCCAGTCTGAGAAGGAACGGGGCGAAGATAGAAATAATAGCACTTAGGCATGTGAGATATTTCTGAGTGTGGATGACATCAACCTCTTTCTTACACCAGCGTGGCCTAACTGAGACGAGTCCTGGCCGAACCGCGACGACGCGAGCGGCCTATATGATATATCCAAAGTTGGGCATTCGTCTCAAGGAGGCCGCTCCGGAGCCAGGGCATCTTGTTCAGGTTGGCCGACTCATAACCGCTACTGCGACATGAAGTTTTAACGGTAGCCTCACCATAGAGGTTCGAACTCTTTATTCATGATTCCCTCCGAGCGACTCCCCAGACTTTCATGCTATGCTTTTCCTACCATCTCTATGCTCGGCCCTCGGTGTCTACGCAGTGTATCTATTCCTAGCACGAATCGCGCTCTTTCGGATACCTCATCCTTCGAGTTCGATCGTAGTAGCTGTTTATGTCGGCTGTGCCTCATTTCCCATCCCACGGCCCCTCTGTCGCCCTATCTTCGGGACTCTTCAAAAGGGAAGAAATGAGGGGACAAGAGACTCGGATGGGAGATTCTGCACTTAGGTACCCGGAGACGAGAGTGTAGAAGAAGCATGTAAACCAGCGACACCCGCCGAGAACACCTCTCATACCTCCACAGGCACCAGGCGTCTATTAATTGCTCATCTGCGACTTGTCAAACCTTACGAGAGATGGAGTGAGGAGACGTAATAGGAGAGGCAATCTCTTTTGGAAGGACGTTGAGTGCCCGCCCGAAGCTCCGTATCCTTAGAAAACAAACCCTTTTCGATCCAAAAGTTCTTTAGGTACCCCGTTCACGCCTTACTAGGTGTATCTCTGAATAATACTACTTAATCTCTTTCTCCTCACGACATCCAATTACAGATTCGAACATTGTCCCGAGGTAGGGGCACACGACTAAGCCTAAGCAAGGTCCTCTACCGTAAGTGTCAATATGATATAGTGTGCAATAGGGCCCTAGAGTAAGTGTTAGATTTAATATATAACGGGATGTCCCTTAGGCGGCGGGATAGCCTAGTTTAGGCGAGTAGATGTCTCGGGGGTTGGCTCAGGAGGATTGTGGGTTTAAACGGACTATTTCCCTGTGGGCACGGTCAAATTCACAAATGCTTAAGATTCTACGGGCTCTCATCGGACGATGAGAGGCTGCCGGGTTTATTAATACCTCTTTTGCCCTGGAGGAGAGCAACATAACCACCTAGACAGATGTTAGGGTTGATAATAGTTGGTGCTTTAATTGCCGCCGACAATATTACCTACATGTTGGCGACGTAACTGGGACAACAATAGTACGGTCAGCTCGAGTGTGAAAACGTAGACGCCTATAATATTTCCTCGTTTGCAATATGTACGGGTTTATAGTATGACAGGGGGTTTCTCCTTCGGCCCTCGTGATGAGGAGATCGCGGAAGACGGCCTACGGCGTTTGTATGAGTAGATTCTGGCCGTCGACTCTGCCCCTGGGTGCCATGCCTGGTGCTCCACACTATGGTCGGGGTGCCCGGTGCCCCTAATTCCACCTTAAGGCAGGTCGGTTATCTCGGACGCTAGACGAGGCGAGGCGAGAGCGAGAATGGAAGGCGCCTGAACACTGTTTACTCATACGGAGGTACCAAGGCCGGCCCTAATTAGATCCCCGAGAATGCCAACAGCAGGGAAGCCTTGCTCGAATTGGCAGAAGGTCATCTCACAGACAGTCATGTGCGTAGCGGCGTAATGTGCCTAGTGCAGATCTATTAGGCTCGCGCGCCAGTATGCCGGACCGCTATACATACGATGCTGTAGTTGTGGCGAGAATCTTTGCCGCTTCTTCCATGCTTGGTGACGGACGGCATGTTAAAAAAAAAAAAAAAGCCAATAAAAACTACGCCGACGGGCGACAATTTCTCAATCCAATGATGATTCCTCTGACGTGATTACTGGCTGCTATGACTGGATGTTATTTTAGGTCTGGGGAAATCAGCGGTATTACCCTGCTAAGCTGCCAGGTTGATCAGGGCGCCAATTCGATATAGCCTACCTACCTACATGGGTTTATTAGGTACCTACATGGACATACGAGCGGTAATTACTTATGAACAGGTAGGTAATACATATTGCCCATTATCGTCAATAGGTACAATGCCGTATAAACACCCAGGTCACATACGTTGTTTCATTATTTTGTTCCTTTTTTTTTCTCTCGCGTGCGCTACGCTGTATAGGTAGGTACCTATATATGAATAAGTACCCAAAGTATGTACAATATGTACAATATGTGCGTGTTGAGCGGAACGACTTCGGGTCCACAGCCCAGTCCGGCCGTCAGTTACTCGTAGATATTGGGAACCCAATATTGGGTAGATCTACGGGGTATATGTCCCAACATGGAACCCGTGCTCTGTGCGTTGGATTGACTCGACAAGTGTCTTACGGTTACCTACCCATATGCGACTTTACTCAGTAGGTACGCAGTCCGCCGGTCCGACTTGGACTATCCGTAGTAGGGGTGGGTATAGGTAGGTGGGGAGGGACCGGGAGAATTCGAAATGCCGGACTGCCGCTCAAGTTACGCCTGGACCTGCGTGTATTGTTGTTCTTTGCGATTCATGCTATGTGTGTCCTCATTCGGTAGACGGACGATCGCTGTCGAGGTCCCTGCCAGTTCTCATCTCGGTGCTGCACAGTACGTGCCGTCGATGGCTGAAGTTCTGGAAAGACCCGGACGAACCAGAGCGAATGGGGCGCGATATCACAGCATTCCAGGCTCTGCGACAAGTCGACCAGGGCGCCTCTCCGTCTGGCCGGCTGTATGTACACACATATTGCCTGTGCCTTGGTCTCGAGCCAGGACAGGTAGGGTACCCGCTCCGCACCCACCTCTCCCACGGGTGCTCTCTCAGTAGACCGCAGGTTTCTCCTCTGTCTTCGTCTTCATCTTCGCTGCCACTCATTCTTATTGATGCTACCGACGCTCCTACCACGGCTGTGACGGCGACGTTTTCCACTCCGCATACGCTTCCAGCCATATGCTACTTGCTACCTACCTACCTAATAGGTGCGCATGGCTGCAGTGGGGGGTGGGATAATATTCCAGATACTCGTCATACACACACGCACACACACGCACACACACATATATATATAACACAGAAACAGGCTTAAGTCGCGGCAATGAACCCCTACCTGCTATATATATTGCCGTTGATGACATTCGCCTTTCTCCCTGTTTACGTTTCCCGTAGAGACCATCCTCCCGATCCTATTTCGTGGTGTCATGGTAACTTATGACGCGGAGGACAATGTCCTGGCGGGACGAATTCCCTCCTCCGATCGATGGGCCGTGGCGGACCGCAGCGATCGTACTGGCCACGATGATCACAATGCCCTTCGAGCATAACCCGACGCGGACGGGACAGCGGGCATGGAGCTGGCTCTCGTTCCTGTGCTATGTGACGCCTGTGTCCCGATTACTCACCATTCTAGGTTCCCCCTCTCAACTCCGCACAGCGAACGATAACCTAAAGTGACATTGCCAAGAGATCGAATGGCGTCGTGAGGAGCGCGAGAAGGAAGCACGAGCTGGGCGAGACCAAGCGGGGCCCGGGGGATCGACTCGTAATGCCAACCTTTTCTACGTGCGTGTGTGTGTATGGCCTCTCTCGTCGAAGGCGTCCCGAGATTCGAAGCGGCACCTCCTACGTAGCGGACGTTATAAACCGGGTGTGCAGCGCCTCGATACGCCCACACTCTCATCTGCCACCATGACAAAATGCTTACACGCACGTGGAGAGGGAACGGGGGAGGTCGGCAGCTGGAAACCACAAGAGCCGTAGAAGATGTATAGCGTGTACACCCGGTGTATGTCGTATTCTCGTGTGTGCGTGCGTGTGTGTGTGTGTGTGTGCGCGAGAGAGAGAATGTGTGTGTGTCTCTTGAGCTCAGGTAGGCAGGTAGGTAGGGAGGGGAGCCGGTACATACATGCTCATCATACCATAATACACCCCCCTCTTCATCCGTGCCCGACCTCATCAAGTTTTCGTTTCTTCTTCTCTCTCGTCCATACCACCCGTCCTGCCATCCGCCGGTCAATCCGTCCGTCCACCTGTCCATCGACCCCTCACCCATTCGCTCATACCTCTCCGTCGCTCGCGCGGCCGCCGGGTTACTCAATCACTCGGTAATCGCTCCCACATTATTACTCACCCGGTCCGCCTCGATCCCATTCCCACCCTCTCCTCTCGAGGAGCCCTCCGGTCCTGTCCCATCCATCCCACCCGCGCGCGAGGCCGACTGCGTCGACCCCCCCCTGCCGTTGGCGTGAGAAGCGTGCGACAGAAACAAACGCGCACCGATGGGGCTGGCCTTAACGTAGGTGGGCGTGTACCAAGGCACTAAGGAAGGGAATCTTGGGTTCCTGGTGGTAGGTTGCATTAGTAGGCTAGATGCTACCTGTACCTGCTGGCCTCATGTACTGTGTACATGTGTACAGATGTCCGTAGGTGCACATCGGCAGGGGTTTAGTGCTGGTGGTAGTGCTGGTGGTAGTGCTGGTGGCGGCGCCGAAGAGTACCCGGAGGTACTTGGGCTTCTGGCCTCACCCCCCTCACCCCCCTCCCCACCCTCTCGAAGGTCCGAAACCCACTAGGCCTGGCATTTCGGCCCCTGATCGTTCTGGGGATCCCTGTGCCGCGCCTGTACGCTAGCAGTACCCGTGGGTACATGTACGCGCATATCCGTGCCCGCGTTCCTGTCCGTACCTGGTCGGTATGTCTGCACAGTACCACATGCGCACAGTCGACTAGCCACTGCGAAGGTCTGAGACGGGTACGGCCTGTTTTTCTTACTGGCCGGCTTGGCTCCCACTCTATACGGACAGACGGACAGACAGACAAGACACAACGGCGAACAACTTGCTGTGGGCATTCTCTGTCGACTACATACCTACCTGCCTACACACTACATACTAACCACCACAACACCACCAACACTACTACTACCACCGCGGCACTGCGGCACCATTGCCACGATCCCCCGCCGTCCCCAGGAAGACACCGTCAAGTAGACTCCTGTCTCCAACGTCGCCGCGCTCGTTCGATGACCCCTCGGGGCTCAGGTCGTCGTTCGTCGCGCCTCTAATGCCACGCAGCGTTCGCATCCACACTTCGCACGCACACAAGCAACCCCTCCGACCGTCGAACCGGCAAACATGGGCCGCCTCGACGACAAACCGTCAGAATTGGACCAGGTCTCATCGCTCGAGGCGTCTACGAGGGCTTCCCATGCGTGGGACAACGACGACGACGACTACGACCTGCAGGCTATGGGTCTAGCCGATGGATTTTTCCCGACGCAAAACACGCACATTGGTGCCGATAGGCTGTCGACAACGCCTGGGGATCCCCCGTCTGCGCGAGTGCCCCCTCCTCGACCGTCGAGCATCACGAAGCCGCATCGCCGTGAGGATTCTCTGACTTTGGGACACGATGGGTCGTCAAGTGATGCGAGCAGCGAGATAAGTAGGGTCTCGACCGTCTCGATAACGTCGCCCTTCGCAGACCCCGAAGAGCCGTATAATGGCCCCTCCGGACCGTCACACCCGTACCAGATGTACCCGCAAAATGTTCGAATGGCTCGAACAGCCAGCTTGGCGACTACGTCGACCGCACCTGTCTCCGAGCGATCGTATACTGGGCCTCGCGGGCCGACGCATCCATACGGCATGTACCCGCAAGGCACCGTGCCGGGAGCACAGGGAGCGCTCAATCTAGGGGAGCAGGAGAGCATCAACGTCGGCTTCGTGGGCGCGACGGACAATTACCGGCGGAGAATTGGGCCTGACGGGGAGGATGCGGCAGATTTGATAGGTCCGGACGGTCATACGGAGCAATTACCGCCGTACACGCGGTATCCGGAGGAGGCATATCATAGGAAGGCATTGGGGATAGAAGATCCCCGGCCGGCGGTGACGGCTCAACCGATGCTGGCGATTCCAGGTGCTGGAGGCATCGGATTGGCTGCCCGGAATCCCGAATTCGCGTCTACCGAGGATTTAGCTGCCACGAGGCCCCCTCAGTCTCGACAATCCGTCCAGAGCTTCTTGTCCGATAGTAGTCGTCAAGAGATGAACGCCGTGGCTCGGTCGGACTCGGCCCAGCCGGGGCCGGTAGCAGGAAACGAAAAGGCGCCGCTGAAGGACTGGCAAGTGACAGCGAAAAGGAGAGTTTGGGGTATCGTCCCGTGTTGGGCCATCGTCCTGGCCGCCATCGTCCTCGTCTTGATGGGAATAATTCTCGGGGCAGTCATCGGCACGCTCGTCAACCCTCGTTTCAAGAAAGGACCACCACCCAATAAGTAAGGACAGGACAATGCTCCAGTTGCTGTGCATTCGAACGTGATCGTGCTAATTTAAATCCGTCTCTAGGCCGCCTTCGCCGGAGACAACGCTGAGTCCCTGGGACACGCAACCTATTAGCGCTCTACCTTCTGACCTACCGCCGTTATTTGAGGGAAAGTATGCCATGCCTCTCTTGATGAACCGAATGTCAACTACCTGCTTTGGCGACTCTACGATGTCCCAAGCATGGAACTGCAACATCGTTTTCTCCCAGCTTGCCATGACGGTTAGAAAACGAGGTGGCGAGCCAGACGTATCGAATTACGTCTTTGATTTCTCATATAACAACACCCAAAGCCTGAAGAACTACGTCTACAGTTACGGGACGCAGCCACCTGATTTATCAAACCTGAAGATGGTCCTCGTGGACGATGTGTACGAGCTCTCTCGCGGCCCCGCGTGGAGCTTCATAGCTAGGTACGACAAGGTTGTCATTGTGCCTGAGTACCTCCTCGCGCCCAGCAGCGCCCCCCCCTTGCCGCAGGCACGCCGCCGGATGTCATTCGGTGGCGATTTCAAGCGTAAAAGTGTAGCCCAGGTCGGAGACAGGCCGTGGGTTTGTCGCTGGGACAACACAATCTTGGAGGGGTTCATCTATGCGAACCAGAGCAACAGTTTTAGCCGTTCCGTCGATCCGAGGCCGGTGTCGAGCACTCTGCCGGCGGCTCTCAGCGGGAATGCCGGCAGCGCGCCAGCCGCGACGCCTACTGGGGATACGGGAGCGCTATCCCCGCAGACCAACGGCGGGTTCGTCGCTTCGAATAAAGCCCGCGGCGACCCTTCGGACCAACGCGGATCTCCCTCGACGGTCGATAGCACACCCGCGACTACAACTTCTAGCCCGGCTTCGTCGTCGTCGTCGGGCCTGTTTAATGACGACGCCCCCTCCTCTGGTAATACTATTCCCGTATACCCACAGGTCATCAAGATCGCGGAGCGTCGCGATGCCGCATCTGCGATGGCCAAGCCGCGGTGTCGCCAGTATCAGATCGTGGGAGAATACCAGGAGGCGATCCCGATGTTAGACACGAACGGGAACTTTATCGAAATCGACATTGACGAGCATGAACGCTCCTTCGAGAACCCCGCAGAGTCGAGGCGGAGCACTAATGGCCACCATCTGTGGCCCCGCGGCGACGGCAAGATAGGCAGCGATATGACGGACTGCAGTTGCATGTGGTGGCTTACCTGAGCGCGTGCATTATCGTCCCCGCTGTGTCATGGGGATTTCTCATCCGACATTTTCGGTCCGTCCGTACAGCGAACAAGCAAGCCAACGACAGGGACAAGCTGACTGTACATATACATCATATGCGCCATCGACACGAGATTCCTTTTTTGGTTGTTTTGGAGAAAGCGCATTGCACATCTCTCGGCGTTACGGACAGCCCCTCGCAAGCGGGCTTAATATATGGGTTTTGGTGAAAGGGAAGGCCAAAAAAGTCTTGTGTTTTTATTTATTTATATATAAAAGGACTATTCCTTTCCCATACCTTCCTGTCGTTTCCTCCGCCGGCCCCCCCGGATTTCTTCTCCTTTTCTGATTATCTCCCCTTGGAGTCGCGGCGGGATATCATGGCGTTCACTGGCCCGGCGGCGGGTCGGGAAAGGAACGGAGGCGGAAAGGGGGAGTGATGAAGTGTGCATACGTCCATGTGTACGCGGTGGGAGTTTAGATGCTGTTTTCCTTGGGTGCGGCGTGCGCAAATCCTATAGAGTGAGTTGATGCCTGTCGGTTCTGTACATGACGAGTTATTTTTTTTTTCTTTCTTCTTGGTACCGCTTTTATTCGTCGCGGTCGGCGACGCGACACATACATACCTACGTACACCGGTGCTCGAGCCCGCCATATAGCATGTATAATGAAGATCTATCTACCTCGCGACCCGGCCTGCTAGCTCGCTTCGCTGTCTTCTGATCTGGGCGCTGGAGAATTTCCCAGACGTCTCGCCCGTGCCGTGTCGTGCGTCGGCGATGTATTCCGCGCGCATGTGTCGCGCACCTAGGTAGGCCGCTCGCAACAGAGAGGAATGTAGCCAGCTCCTTGCTCTCCCTTTGCCCCTTGTTATAGCATGCAGATGTCTGCACGTGCGCATGTATATATGTCCCCGAGTGTTTGTCAGGAGATATCCCTCTACACTGCTCCGTCTCGCGCGCTTGCAAGGCTTAGAGCCCCGCGGTGGGAGGAGGCGATACTCTCTAGGTGCAGCCGGAACGGGGCGGGGGGGCATTTTGGATTATCTATCTGCACTCTGTGTGACCCGCCGCATTTATCAATCATTCCGGGCGACTAGATCGGTCCTTCAGCCTAGCCTACAAGCCTTATCATGCGCGTCCCTGGTCCTCAGCACTCTCCCGCTTCTCCTCCCTGTCGCTCCCCGCCGCCTCCCCCTTTTCCTCGCCCTTATTACCCCCACCGCCACCAGCCAGCGCGCCTCCGCTGGCCCCGATCTCGCCCGCGAGCCCGTCGAGGAAGCTCTCAGCGAGCCTCTCGGCGCGCTTCTCGCCCATCCTGCGGCGGCGCTCCTCGAGGACTCTGCGGCGCTCCTCGCGGCGGGGGTCGGGGCGGGGGCCGGGCACGTCGTCGTCGTCGTCGTCGGCGGCGGCGGCGGCGGTGGCGGCGGCGCCACCGCGGCGCTCGGCGCGTGCGCGCTCGGTGGCGGCCCGCTCGCGCGCGAGGTCGGCCATCTGCGCGGCGCGCGCGGCGGCGTCGTCGGCGCGGAAGTGGTAGAAGCCGACGCCCTTGGTGCGGATCTCGGCGCGGCCGTCGAAGTGGGCGTCGGGGGGCGGCGTGGGCGTGCGGTCGCGGCGCGCGGCCAGCGCGGCCATGCCGGCGCGCGCCGCCGCGTCCGGCGCGAACGCCGCCGTCTGCACCACGTCGCCGCGCAGCAGGCGCTCCGGCTCCGGCGCCCGCGGCCGCCCCGCCATCGCCTCCAGCTCCGCCGCCCCGAGCGCCCGCCGCGCCGCCCGCCGCCGCTCCCGCCGCGCCTCCGCGCGCGACACCCGCCGCGTCCGCCCGAACTCGTCCGTGTACTCGACCATCTCGTCGTCGTCGTTGCCCTCGCCCTCGCCGTCCGTCCCCGAGCCGCCCGACGACGACGAGTCGCTGCCGTCACCCTCCGGGTGCTTCTCCGCCCACTTCCGGTCAAAGTCCACCAGCGGCGCCGCCTCGCCCTCCCGCGCCACGTAGTCGCCGCGCTTCATGGCCGCGTACAAGCGCGCCTTCTCCTCCATCCGGCGACGCGTGCGCGCGAGGTCCTGCTTCTCTTCCTCGGTGCCGCGGGGATCCTTGAGCGAGATCTTGGCGGTGTTGCTGCCTCTTTCTCTGCTCCCGTCCTTGTTCCTGTCTCTACCGCCGTCGCCGCCGGGGGCTTTTCGCTTGGCTTTGACGGAGAAGATGTCGTCTTTGGTCTTCGAGGGGCGGGCGCGGCCGGACGCGACGGGGGCGGTGGCGGAGGAGATGAGCGAGGTGAGCTGCGAGGTGAAGGCGACGGAGCTCGAGAGCGGGACCTCTTTCTTTTGTCGCTTCGGCGGCCGCTGCCCGTAGAGGTTTGGATCTTGCGGCATGTTGGGCGGGTAGATGAACGATCGGTGGAGGCGCTTGGCTTGTTAAGATCTTCGAGCCGTCGTCGCAGTTGGGCTGGGCGCGCGCAATATTAAAAAAACCGGATAGAGAGAGAGAGAGAGATGTCGATAGAAGATCGCCAAGGACGGGAGTAGTAGGACGAAGAGAGGTGGTGATAGTAGGTATGTAAGTTGGTAAGGTGACCGAGGTCGGCTGCTTACGTAGGAGTTGTCTCTTTCCCGCTTGGGCTTGTAGTTGCGAGTACATACCATTAAGAGCATGCGCATGTAATTATCCGTCGTCGGCGCTCTTAACGTGGGATATGCAGCTAGCCCGCCGATTACCAAATGGCTACGGGCCTGGAATAATATGCGGACCTAGGAGGGACGTATCATTGGACAGAGCTTTACCACAGTGAAACCTCATCACGACAGACAAGAAATGGGCGGCCACCATTCCCACTATTCCCACGAATAACAATACTACGTATTACTAGGAACGCTAGTAACAGCCCCGCCATTCGGACCACGGGGCACAGGAGCTCAGTAAGCTTGGGTTAGTAATGCCATTAATCGCCATGAAGTTCACCCCACGCTCCAAGAAGTGAGTGAAATGAAGCCAACTCTGTACAATCCCTCCCTACACTGCACTCTAACCACCAACCTTCGACCAGACACGAGCTGTCAGGAAACATGGCTGCAACTCACAAGGTATCCGTTGCCATTATAGGTGAATCCACTCTCTCCCGAACCTGCGGACGGAGTACGGCTCCAAAGCCGTTCCATTGACTAATCGTTTCCTACAGGCGCTGGTGGCGTCGGCAAATGCTTCCTATCCCAATTCGAGGCTCTGTCTAAGCGACGGCCGACTCCTAAGCTAGACCTCTGCTATATCGCTACGAGCAGGAAAGCCCTCTTCAATGCCGACTACTCTATCGCTATCGACAATGTCGCCCAGGAGCTTGCCGCCTCCAGCAAATCGCCCCTGAGCCTGCCCCATGTCGCCGACTTTCTCGCCGCAGCGCCCTCCAAGGTCGTCCTCGTCGACAACACTAGTTCCCAGGATGTGGCAGACACCTATCCCCTCTTCCTCAGCCGCGGAATCAGCATCGTCACCCCCAACAAAAAGGCCTTTTCGGGCTCCTACAAACTGTGGCAGGACATCTTCACTGCCGCCGCTACGTCCGGAGCCAAGGTTTATCACGAGTCCTCCGTCGGAGCCGGTCTCCCTGTCATATCGACGCTGAAGGACCTCGTGGACACTGGCGACGAGGTGACCAAGATCGAGGGCGTCTTCAGCGGCACCCTGTCGTTCCTCTTCAATTCGTTCGCGCCCGTCGACGGTTCCGGTGGCCAGTGGTCCGCCGAGGTGAAGAAGGCAAAGGAGCTGGGCTACACCGAACCTGACCCCCGAGACGATCTGAACGGCCTTGATGTCGCTAGGAAGCTAACGATACTGGCGCGACTGGTGGGCCTACCTGTGGAGTCGCCCACTTCCTTCCCGGTGCAAAGCCTGATTCCGAAAGAGCTGGAGTCGGCTTCGAGCGGGGATGAGTTCTTGCAGAGGCTCCCCGAGTTCGACGCTCGGATGGAAGAGACAAAGGCTGCGGCTGCAAGCCAAGACAAGGTGGTACGGTTTGTCGGTAGCACCGACGTGGCCAGCAAGGCCGTCAAAGTCGGGCTCGAGTTGTTCGACAAGTCGCACCCCATCGCGGCCCTTAAAGGCAGCGACAACATCATTAGCTTCTACACCAAGCGGTACGGGGCCAACCCGCTCATCATACAGGGTGCTGGCGCTGGAGGCGAGGTGACGGCCATGGGAGTCACTAGCGATCTGCTCAAAGTACTGTCGCAAATATCGTAGAACCAAATCTGATATGCAAATCTAACGGTATTATTACTCCGCCTTGCTGCGGCCTTCTATGCCACTGCGGCTATCTGCTGTCGTCGGATTCTTGTGATTGTTGGCGTAATATTTTCAACGCTCTTCACCAGCTGCTCGAGTGCCCTGGGCGGCTCCTCAGTCTCTGACCCGTAGCTCGGTTGGTATCGAAAGCGGTGGTAGAGCCGGGGCCACTTGGCGAGGCAGAAGCAGTCAATCTTGCATCCTGCTTTGGAGGCTCGCGCACAATGCGGCTCGGCCGTGGCGCGTCTCGCGGCCGGGGCTGGTTCAGCCGCCAAATCCAAAGGCAGAAGTCGAAGAGGATCAAACTCGCGAAGGGTATAAAGAATGCGAGGCTGGCTAATTTCTACACGAAGCTAGTCAGTAGACGGGTCACGCGGGAGGGGGGGGGTTAACTAAGGATGTCGGTGCGCGCGCACAAAACAGAAGGCGATCCAGTTAATGACAGACCAGACCTCTGCGGGGACCGAGCCAGGGCGGAGGGCCTGGACGAGCCAGGTCGCAGTTAGGTCTATCGCCATCGTGGTCATGGTTGACGGAGCGAGAAAATCGACGGAGAGCGCGCGTGAACAGGTGCGGGCGTGCGTAGAACAGCAGTGGTAGTGGCGAAGTGGGAACGGGGCCACAGTCGGGCTGAGCGACAATATTTAGGTGTTGCCAGACCCGCGCGAGGGGCTGGTGCGTGGCCCGACCGTGACGTGATCCTGGCACCGGCGACGGACGAATAACGATCGATAGAGCTTGGATGTTCGCGCGGTAGGCCGATGGGAGACGCCGGCAATTGTGCCAACGCTGTATGCGAGATCAGACGAGATCAGGGCCTACAGGCGAGGGATGCGGGAGGGCAAGATAGAGTGAGGAAGTGCAGGCGTAGGAGGAAAGAAGGCTAGCTGATTCAATACCTAGCTGGGGCCTGAAGAAGGCGGAAGGGCTAATGGGGGGGCTATTGGACCTGACGAGGCGCGAGTCGACTAGGGTACCATCAATCCGCCTTGGAAAGGTATCTCTCTCGGAGTGACGGCATACTCGGCGATGGTCGGGAGACGAATATATGAACATCTAGGTACACGCAGAAGGGAAATAGAGTGAGACGGCGGGAGAGAGATTAGAAATACACGATAGAGGGATACGTACGCTCATATGTTGGAGCTGCTGAGCCAGGTGAGATAAGACGGGCTGGCCCGGATGCCTCCGGCGTCATACCATAGAATCCATTTAATTACAATACAATGTACACAATGCCTAGGTTAGGTACGTCCAGGGATGCATACCGAGGTGTGCTTGGAGGATGTACCTAGCATGGAAGCCCAGGGTACCTCAGATACCTCCCTAGGTAGGTACCTCCTACCGACCTCTAGGAGGTAGGTACTACCTTAGGTAAAGACAGAGAGAGATTGCACGCGTAACAGGCAGCGGATAGAGAGAGGTATCAGGCAGGTATTGGAGGTAGGTTAGGGAAACCCCTCGTTCCCGGTGATCTGATCCTAACACGTAAAATAATTTAATCTGCGGGGCAGCTATCCGGATCGCCCTCGCCCTCGCGTAATTCGACACCCACATACGTGTATATTGCCATAATCCCTCTCTAATATCCTTTATTTATTCGTTTCCGGTAGGCAGGGTTACAAAAAAGTTTAAGTTTTTAATTTATTAAATTAAGTTAAGTTAAGTTTTTAGGAAAAGAAAATTTAAGTCTTTTTTTTTTACAACCCTGCCCGTAGGTGACTCGGACATTCGCAACCACGACAACCTCCGCGTCATTCGCGACGATCCCGACGCGATGTCTCGTCGCCCCCTGCTCGCCCGCCTGGTAGAGTGGCACATGCGTATTCCGTCGCCGATTCGCCAAGCCAACCATCGCTGTCCGGCAGCGTAGAAGCCCACGTCCGCTTCCACCCATCGCCTCCATTTCCGCCACATTGTCCGACGCGGCCCTGTCCACGGCAGCATGGGTGGACGATGAAGGGACCTGAGAATGGGGGGGCCATCCGAATGCACACTTCTTCGTGCCTAGGCAAATACATGATATATATACCTAGGTAGGTATGTCGAAACCCGGCGCGCAGATGGGGCCCATACCTAGCTATGTACGTGTGCTAGCGAAATTAACCTGCCAATATGCCGCTATGCAGGCCTGGACATACGTATTATGCGCCCTGCACGTGTTACTATTCTCTTCCGTTTCCACCACCCTGCCCCCTACCATCACCGCCTCGATCGATCGATATCTGCCTCCCATATACACTCCCATATACACTCCCATATACACTCCCAAACTTACAACCTCGTACCTCCCCAACTCGCGTGAGCGCGCGCGAGAGAGCTATATCTAATTATCTGCTTCGTCACCTGAGGGATACCGCTGAACTAGTCTCGACCTCTGCCCTCGTCAACCATGGCCGCTCCTCCGTGGGCAGGCACCGCGAGCCACCAGCAGTTCTACGTCCTGCTGACGGGAGCTAATAGGTATGTCATCTCTCCGTCTTATGCGACGCCGGGTCAATGCATTTCCTAAACTCGCCCAACTTAGTGGTGTTGGTCTCGGCATCGGCCAGCGAATCATCGACGAATTTCTCACCTCGCGCTCTCTCTCCTCCCACTTAGTCCTCATACCCACCACCCGCTCCGCCGCCAAGTCGCGGCAAACCATCCTCGCCCTGCGCGCCCACGTCGAGAAGACTGCCAACACCTCGAACCAGCTTCGTGCCCGCGCCGGCCCCGACTACAACCCCAAGACCGTCATCTCCCGCGTCCACGTTCTCAGCGTTCAGCTCGACCTGTGCGATCTCAATGCGATATATAGCGTTGCCGAACAGCTCGTCCACGGCAAGATCAGCGACCCAACCGGCGTCATCGACGACGTAGCCATACCCAGACTCGACGCTGTACTCTTCAACGCCGGCATCGGTGGCTGGTCCGGGCTGGACTGGCTCGAGTTCGCGAGACAATTCCTCCACGTCGGGCTCGTGCAGAGCACTACATTCCCTTCTTTTAAGAAAGCTCTACCTGCCGTCATATTAGACCAGCGAAAGCTTCTCGGCGACGCCGCCGCCACCAGCCTAAACACGCCCCCCCCGGAGCTGGCCGAAGTCTTCTGCGCAAACGTCTTTGGACACTATATCCTCGCGCACGAGCTCCTGCCGCTGCTGAGCCGTTCGCATCCGGACGAACCCCGGGGTCGCGTCGTCTGGACCAGCAGCATCGATGCCGGCCACGACCATCTCGATTTCGACGACTTCCAGGCCCGGCGCACCAAGCCGCCGTACGAGAGCAGCAAGCGGATAACGGACCTCCTCGTGCTGACGGCCGAACTCCCGAGCGTCGAGAAGGTAGCCGCCTCCTACTTCGCGTCCTCACCCCCCGCCACCACCACCGGCGAGGACAAGCCGTTCAAGCCCCGCTTCTACCTGTCGCACCCGGGCATCGTCTGCACGCCGCTCTTCCCGCTCAACTGGTTCCTCTTCTTCGCGTACTGGTGCGTCATGTACGTCTCGCGCTGGTGCGGCTCGGCCTGGCACCCGATCGAGCCGTACCTCGGCGCCTGCGCGACGACCTGGCTCGCGCTCGCCGACGAGGCCGAGCTCGAGCTCGATGCCGCCGGCAGCAACAGCAGCGGCAGCAGCGCGCAGCGCGTCAAGTGGGGCACGTGCGCGACGCGTGGCGGCCGCGTCGCCCCCAAGGAGACCGAGGTCGAGGGCTGGGGCTGGGACGGCCGGGTCGAGGGCCGGGACCGCCCCGAGGCGGAGACCGGGGCCGGCATCCTCGGCAAGGGCCGCGGCCGCAAGTGGGACGCCGTCGCGCTTACTCGGGAGCGCAGGGAAGAGTTCGAGGCCGACGGGCTCCGCTGCTGGGCCGAGCTCGAGAGGCTCCGGATCGCCTGGGAGGTGGCGTTGGGGAAGAGGGCCAAGGGCAAGGGCGCCGCGGCGGCCGAGAACGGGCACCGGGCCAACGGAAATGGCTTGTAGCGCACGAGGCGTGGGAAGGGGGGGGAGGGGGCGAGCGAAAAGGGAAGGGGGTCGGTCCGTCGTGCTCGGTATTCTCGCGTATACATACCTACCCCCGCGAGAGCCGGGACGTTAATAGTTAATGATGGCGACGAGACGGTGCGGAGTTGTATGTATGCGGTTGACATCTCGTGCGCGCGCACACACATACATATACACACACATATATATATACATGTATATAGATTCTCGCACCATGTATCTACCATCGAACACCGCGGGGCGGACTCGCCCCGCGAGCCCCACACTCATCGTCGTGCTCGCGTGGGTTAGAAAAGCATGTCGGTATGCACATGCGACTCATGTGTACCTACATACCGAATCCGAGACAATGCACACACACACACACACACACAAGCCGAAGCTTGAGACAAACCAGAGACACTACACCAGCATGCCGCATCCGATGCCAGATCCAAGTACATACAGCTCCCCCGGCCTCTGTCTTACTTATTATATACCTAGGTATTTACTTGTTCGTCTGCATATGTACGTGGATGTGCCCGTATAAAGAAAACATGTGAAAATATATATGCACTCCGGGGAGGGGTCGGGGGCGGAAATATGGGACCCCGGAGAAGAGAAAAAACATTGGATATCATCAGGTTTTAATTTTCCCCCTCCTCTCGGCTTCGTCGCTTCACGCTCTGCCCACCTTCGCTCGTTCGGTACGCGGCGGTGGAGACGCTACGAACCAGGAAGACAGGCCATGAAAAAAAAAAAAAAAGAGGAGGAGCGAGACAAGGAAAATAACGGGCGGAAATGCGTGGCCGTCATCCGTCCGCCTACCTATCCCATCCCCATAAAGACATTAGCCTCCCCGCTTGACATGCTACCCGACCTCCGTCCCGCGTACCCAGCATCTGGTGTAGCCGTCACCCGCAACGGGAAAACAGCCATTATATCCGAGATGCCTCCTTTTTATTCCCTTCGTCGTCGCACAGGCCTTCTTTTGCCCTCGTACCTGCGCCGCCTACTACACTAACGGAGGAACCTCGGTCCTCTCGTCGCTCCGGGTCCTCCTCATGACGAGTCTGTCCTTGCGCCCGAACAGACCAAGCGCGAGTGGTAGCGGTACGGTGGCGAGTGCGACGACCGCCGTGAAGATCAGCGCGTTGAACATGTGGAACGGAGGATCGGCAACGGGGCCAGCCTTGAGAGCGTCGCTGATCAATATGAAGGCGCCGCCGAGCAGCTGGCCGCCGGACCAGGCGATGGTCGAAGTGACCTCGGGGCTCACGGGGTGAGCGATCTCGGCGAGGAACTCGAGCGCGACGGGCACCAGGGCGAAGCTGGAAGCGCCAAGCAGGGCGAGCACGACATACGGCCCCTCGAGCGAGCGTGTGCCCGGCATCCAGATGAACACGAGGTAGCAGAGACCGATGACCGGCACGGCGATCTTGATCGCGAGCAGGAACTGCTTCGTGCGGTCGAGGATCGGGCTCGAGATTGCGGAGACGATGAGCCCGACGACGATGAGGATTGCGCCGGCGATGCCAGCGTCGTCAGACGTGAAGCCGTACGGCATCATTATCTGGTTCAACAGCGAAGAGATGCTGTTGAAGAACCCGACGAGGATGCCGAAAGGGACCAGGATGAGCCATATCTCGAGAGACCGGAGGTGCCGTAGCGACGAGCGCAAGGACATCTTCGGCGTCGAGCCCGACGGCCCCGGGGGGGTGGGCGGCGCAGCTGGGATGAAAAACGAGGGGAGTGCGGCCACAGAGGACTAGTGCTTAGGTCAGTTTCGATCGCATGAGCGGGGGGAAGATGAAGCGGGTGGTTCGCATTCAGGTAAGCGACGCACAATGATGGCGACGTAGAGCACGGCATTCGAGACATCACCGGGTCCCGAGACCATGAACGGCACGACGAGCTGCCCGAGAGCAGCACCAAAAGGATTTGCCAAACTGGCCAGGGCGGTGGCCGCAACACGGCCCCTATTTGTGAACCACATGTCGGAATAGCGTGTGGGAGCGCTCAGCACGAACGGCTGGGCAAGCCCAACTAGGATTTGACCGAACATGACAACGCCATAGAGTCCGCCATCGCGCGAATGAGAGCCGGCGAAGCGGATCCAATTCCCCACCAAGATCAGCACGGCAGAGGCGATTATGGAGGGCCTAGGTCCTAGATGCAGAGCATAGATGGCAGCGGGAAAGATGACGACGAAGGCGAACAGGAAGCCCGTCGAGAACCAGTTGATAGCCGACTCGGTGGTATTGTAATATATGGCCGCATTTTGCGAGACGGGAGAGAATGTGAGCCACTAGAAGTTGCAAGGAGAAATGTGTCAGTCGACCCAGCCTTGACGGGAAAGCAGCACCGGGCCGAGGCCAGTTGACAAGCACGACGACAAGCCGACAATCGGAGATATATATATAGGGGGGGTGAGAAGAGGCGGGGAGGAGGGTGTGACAAGGCAAGCGGTCGAAGAGAATGATACCCCACAGCCTCCTCGACGCTCAGCACAACGTCTCTGTCGACACATGCAGTATCTGCCAGGTATCTGGTAAGACGATGAGATTATCGGCGAACTTACATCCCAGCTAATGATTATGTTGAGTAGGGTCAACTGTATGAGACCGAACCACCTCCTCTTGTATACCTTGTACCGAACGGAGCCGCGGTCGCCGTCGTCGATCGACGCCGTCTCTCCGTCGCGGACCGGGCCGGGGGCATCGGAGGGTGGCGCGAGGTCGCCGTCGCCGGCGGGAGAGTCGGGGGTGAGGCGGAGGTGGCCCTTGAGAGAAGCCTTAGAGGCGTCGGTGCTGACGGGATCGAGGACGTACTCGTCGGGCGCCTTGGCGTCGCTGGCGTCGCTGGCGTCAGCCATGGGGCCCTCACGGGTCGGAGCCATGTCTTCGGTGCGGGCGTGGGGGGCGTGCGGGTGGCCTCGAGACAGGCGCAGGTCGGTGGCTTTGAGGCTAAGGTTATGTCTACCAGCGACGACCGGTTCGAATTACAATGCGCACGTCCGTATATGTGTATTTTAGCGTACCGGGAGTTGCGCAGCGTGGACGGACAGAGAGATGCTCAAACCCAGGCGCCGATCATCGAGATCAGCCAGCTGACACGATCCGGATCCCGTTCTCCGGCCCGCTCAAACTTGCATCGTCCTAAAAAAAGACGGCGAATTGGATTCAAGCACGCCTACGCAGTTATCATGTACGAGAAACGACAGGCGGACAGGACAGGAGGAGACGGGGAGGGAACAGGGGAAAAAAGAAGACGAGGAAAAAAAGCTGGGCAAAGGAAGCAACGGGAGCGAAAGTAAAGACCAACGACAGATAGCAGTAACCAATCTCTTCCTCTCGCCTTTTTCCTGTTGGTTGGACAGCGGAGGACAGGGGAGTTGGCAGCAGGTGATATTATGCTATGCTATGGCTAGGGAGGATCAATGCCCGCCACTATCGCGTTCGGGATCCGCAAGACCCCCGTCTACCCGTCCTCATCGCACCGACAAGGAAGAGAGAATGTGACGCAGAGAGAGAGAGAGGAGAGGATGAGAGGCGATGGGCGAACAGGGGGAAAGGAAAAATACCACGCGACCTTCCTTTCACCGTCTTGTGCAACATGCTAGCTGGGCGGGTACCTATTGCGTACTCATAGGTAGGTACGGAGTATCCGTGCCTGCCGACCTAGAGGTGGTTAGTTGCTCCCCCTCGCTCGATCGTAATTTACCTATTTTCTAGACTAGACGAAGGCCGGCCGTCGGCAAGAGCAAGTCCGCCGTCCCCTCGGCACGGCGACTACGCTGCAATCGACGTAGCCCGACAGCACTGGCAAAACTACGAGATGTGGTGCGGACGTGTAGCGGATTGATTAGGTACTAATATTAGATGCGGGTGTACATGCCCACGTAGGCACCCGCCTAGGGGCTGCGCGAGTACCGCAGGTCGACCGGCTGCGTACCGACCTGGCCACCCTACTCCGCAGTACAATGCGTAAACCAGCCTGCGACTTGCCGCTGTTCGTTCTCCACCCGGGCAGGTCGAAGTGGGGAGGGGGGGAGGAAAAGGGGGGGAGCGAGGGATCGTGGCTACGTCGCCCGATTCTGCACCGCTCCAAGGCCAAAGCGGAAAGGTCCGGCGTGGAGGCACAGCTAGCACTGCTACCTCTCTCACTCGCAACTGGGCATGGGTCCACGCCCTGCCAGGACCGCCGGCGCACGTCCCGACCTTAAAAGTCGAGTGAGGTTGGGGAGCTGAAAGGGCGAGATGGGATAACCAAAAGGTCTACCCATAGAGTAGGTGTACGGGATGGGATGGACAACGAGGGGTCTGGTCTTCGTTCTTCTTCTAGACTCCCCACGTACATACACACGGAAGACACATGCACACACTCAGAGACACACAGACACACACACAGGTAGATACCTCAAGTACCCAAGGTGGGTAATTACGCTCGTAGGTACCTCCTCGTAGCCGAGTAGCAGGTCGGTTACGTGCTGGGCAAACCCGGCGAGGCGGATGGTTTCAGCGTTTCACTCGCCCCCCCCCTCGTTAGCCGTCGCCGTCATGAACGCCCCCTGGTTCCCACAGCTGACAGAATTGTCCCGTGCCCGCTGATTGGCCCGTCCGCCGGCCACATGTGCTGCTTCGGGTCCGCTGGCCTCCCACGTCACCCCCAAGGCTGCTACCTAAGGGCGTATCTAGCACAGGCTCGTAGGCAGGTGGCCCTGTCCTCATATGGTAGACGCACCCTCATTTCTTCCTGTGCCTCTCTCGCGCGGCGCCAGCCCTGAAGGCTGTTCAGGATGGGCACGGCCGAGCCGGTTCTCTCGAGTCTTGCCCGTACGATACGAGTTCGCAATACGCCGGTCGGTAGGTATTACAGACCTCCTGATCGCCGCCGTCGCGCCACCTCTACCTCGGCCGATGTCGCGCATCATCACATCCCGCACCTAATCTATCCGAAGGGTGTCGAAGGGTGCGTCGAAGGGTGTGTCGAAGGGTGTGTCGAAGGGTGTGTCGAAGGGTGTGTCGAAGGGTGTGTCGAAGGGTGTGTCGAAGGGTGTGTCGAAGGGTGTGTCGAAGGGGTGCCGGCGTCGGAAGAAGGCTGTTTCGAGCTATTTGGCGGCCCAGCCATTCTCATCTTCGTAGCCACACGTCAACACATACAACACGCGCGCCCGCCTTTATCGCCCTCCCCTGCTCCACCCTTCCCACTCCAATCTTGGAATTGGAACCCATACCTTACAACGTACTTCTTACACACAATGCGTGCGCGCATACTACCGTAGCACAGTAGGTGTACATACGTGCATTTCGGACATACATAATGACATGTCACACGCCTCGCTTCTACGCGCGCTCTCTCTCCACCGGGCCTATATGAATACGTATATATATGTAGTAGGGCCGAAAGGGATACTGTCAACTCGCGCCTGCCGATATACGCATAGCCACGCCGACTTATTTTACACGTCTGGAAAGACTCCAGCTAAGAGTGAACCGGCTTCCGCCCGGGCTGTCCGTCCGATCAGCATCGTGGTGAACCGATTACTATATATAGAGGGAGGCGCGCGAGTTGTCGGACGGGTCCGGCGTTTCCGGCGTCTCACTAGGCCGGCTTTACCGTAAAACTCGCCCGCAACCTAGAACATCAGGTACCCGGCCGGCAGAGGCCATGCAAGCTCGGGTTCGACTCGATAGGCCTTACTCGCTAGACCCCCCGTCTCTGCGAGACATGTAACAGGAGGGATGTGGAAAAGGGCTGGAGGAGTAAACGCTTGTTTAACTTGGCTTGGATAGCGGATAGCCGTATTCGCAAAGAAAAGGGCGCCCACCCCATTACCCCAAACACATCTCTAGTCCTCGAGTTGATCCGTCCCCGGGAGAAGTCGCCGGGGAAGCCGCCTGATACGGTAGGCTCCACGCCCAGACGGAGGTGGCCAGGCGGGGAAATAGCCGAAACGGGCCTGTTAGACAGAGTGGAGGAACGAGATATAATTCTTTTATTTCAGATGTCTGGCGCTGCGTAGGATACAAAGGATAGGACGGTTGTGATGTTCCCTATTCACATGTGTTCCCGCCCGAGCCGCAGATCGTGCTACGGGATCGCTGCCGCCGAAGGGGTTGCATTACGACGACGCCGGGAGGGTTGCCCCAATCGAGGACTCGGCAGCGCCCTGAGTCAATATGCACCTGCACCTATGTTATACGTGCGGTACCAGGCGAACCTCGGACGGGCTTCTTTGCGCCTGCTATTTAAGGACGGACCAGAGCTTGGGGGCTGCGCATTGGCCGGCGCAGTGGGCGAGATGGAAGACTATGCACACATGGCACAAGGCCGATTAGCCTCTCGTCAGCGCACCGGAGCACGCGCTTCTCTGCCGGGAGCGGGGCGCCGGCTCGGGAGAGCTCTCTTCTTACATTCTTCAACGCAGTCCTCGTCGGTTTCGCCGCCATCGGGGGGGTTGGTAACCCTCTCGACACACTCGTCGAAGTGGTGCTTAGCGGGAGCGCACTGCTTCGAGTTCTTGCAGTCTGCACGATGGGTATTAGCATAGGTATAGGTATATCTGACCACCACCTAGCAGTAGAAATCGCGGGTAGACGACATATCTCCACCCCGCGGGGAACAGCCGTCCCACGAAGAATACAGCATCCATGCATGCCAGACACGCCCAAGCGCAACGAACCTTCTTCAAATTGATCCTTGGGGTCCTTGGGTTCGTCGTCATCTTCCTCCTCCTCCTCTTCCTCGCCAGAATCGTCATCGTCTGCTTCGGGCGCCGCTGCGGCCTATAGGAAATCGCTTATCAGTATTTCTAGTGCGGGATAGACTCGGTATAGCGCTCGAGGCGGCGACATCGCGGGATGTCGGGAGTTCGCGGGATGCTAAGCCGAAGCAGCATGGAGGGGAGAGAGAGGCTCGAATCGTACCTTGTCCTCAGCTGGAGCTTCGGCTTCGGCCGCGCCCCACGGCGTGACTGCCTCGACGAGGTCCTGAATCGTATCCCAGATACCCATTGCGATAGGGCGAGCACTTAGCGGTTCCGATGCCTTGTTGTAGGGAGGTTGAAGGAGGGGTGATGATGAGGTGTAGTCTCGAAGAGTTATTGGCACCCGAGAAAAATAGAGCATCGCCAATTGAGGCCTGCTGATTGGCCGTGGCTTTTCGAGCTTGGATCACGTGGTTCTCGAGCCACCGGGTCCGTCCTACGTAAGAGGTTCAGTATATCGGGTTGCTGAATCCATTAAGTACCTACATAACCCGACATCGTGGATCCCAGGGCACCCTAAAAGGAGCCCTGTGATCGGTTGATTCGCAGCTGTATTTAAAGCTGTTCAATCGCCGTTTTGGCACCTAGGTTTACCCCCTTTCAATCAATAAGTCAGGTTCAGCTTTCAACGTTTTGTGTGCCTTATAAATAAGGCCGCGAAGCAACGAGAGTGAACCCTCCACAACGCACAATATCCCGTTGATACCGAGGGGCTGGGCCAATACAATGTACACGTATGGAGGTAAGTATATAGAGGAGTTATGTACCTACGGTATAGTAGGATTCCATCGCTTTAGAAGGTACCAATGGGTATTATATAGGTATTATATGTGTATATCCACCTGTAACTATGCGTATTTACCTGCATACCTACCTATATATGTACCTGTATATAGGTATATTTACTTGTACGCGTATATATCTGTACGCATACATATAACCAAACAAGCGCCTGGTAGCACACGGGGAGCAGCCTGGGGTGAACCGATTTGACGACATGCCCACCAATCCGTGTGTGTCGGTGGACAATTCGCATGCGGCCCGTCACTTCGGAGGTTGTTTGCCCAGAATTTATGGCCGATACAGGTGTATATATCCACGCAGGTGTCCCTTGCCTACCTACCTAGGTAGGTATTATGCGCGAGTAGATGGCACCCCTTCATCCAGCCGGGCCCGCATTCGGGTATTTCCAGTATCTTATCTCCAGGGGCTGGATCCATCTGATATGATAACCCTGCGTAACCGGCGTAGCAAACGATGCTGGCCAGTTCCACCCCGCTCTCGTATATGTATGTAGGTATGTATGGAGGTATGTATGTAGGTGTTGTATGTAGGTTAGGTGTGTATTGTATGTAGGTATTACCTATGTATGCATACATAGATGCCCGAGTACGGCATGTGTAAATCTACCTCTGCCTACATTGCTACGCGAATACGTTTTCGTAACCCAGCTACATACATATTGATCGGCTTGCATGAGGTGAGGTATATAGTGACCTGCTTCCTTCCTCCGTCCATTCGCATCCCCTCGGAGATCAGCTCCCTCGTGCTTCGTGCTGTGCTACGATTCCACCCCTTCGAAAGCGCTCGGGATGCTGATGCCGCCGCCGTACGGGCATATAAACGAAGGAGGTGGGCGCGTAGCATATGAGTGCCCGAGGTTCTCTATTCGGGGTATCAAGTCTTTTTTTTTCTTTGGCTTTCTTTTTTTTTTTCGTACCGCAAGGGGAAAATATCGTAATTCGGGGACTCTAGAGAGCCGAGTCCCCCTTACTCTCGTCGCCGCCCCGTAGTGACCGTTCCGCCGGGAGTTGCTCTCACTGCCTTTCTGCTTCTTCGCGCATACGCTCGTCGAAGCGCATGCTAACCGCTTGGGCTTGTGCCTCGTCGTAGTTTGGCGGGGGTTCGTCCGGAGTTGACTGCTGAGCCTGCCGCTGCCGGGCAGCTTCGTCCGCTCGTTGAGCTACGTCGCTGGCCTGGTTAGGATTGTTGCTACCTTGAGGGCCACTATATTCAGGAAGTTGCTCGTCGTGCACGGTTTGGGCCCAGTTGCTCTGCCCTGACTCCTCCGCAATCTGCGCCGCGTGGTGAAGTCGCGCCTTAAGTTCCACAAATTTCGACTCGAATTCACTGGAACCTCCATCTTTAAAGGTCAACCGTAGATTCACCCTGGGAAACTCCGGTGGAATGTTGCCGTCAGGCACCGGCCGCACACTAGCCTCCCAATACCACGGGCCGATCCACGATGAGCACATGCGGCTATCCTGGCAGCCCAAGATCTTGGAAGAGAACGACTTGAATTGGTCGGTGGGCTTGGAGGGAAGATATATAAGCTAGGGGCGAAGTGTTAGCCTCGTACTCGATCTTCATAATGTGCTATGCGTTGTTGCCGCTTACTCGTTGATTCGTAATGTACGCCGTTCCGCTCTCGCTCTTGATGTTAAGAGGAGGGGTGTCCGGCGGAGGCTGATTGAGAGCGGTTATGTTAAGAGCTATACGGCCCCTCGTTCTGTGTAGAATAGTCTCATGTGGCAAAGGCTCTATCTCCCCTGCCCGGGACAGCATCACCCAACTAGCTTCCAGGTCAGTATCCTCCTCGCCGCGGTTACTTTGACTGAGAATATAAGAGGCATGCTGGTCGTGAAGTCCGTAATCCATAATGGTGACGAGAGGCGGAGGTTATAAGTCGACTGCTCATACATGGGCGGCAAAACGAAGAGCAGGGCTCCCGGAGGAGAGGGGAGGGGAGGGGAATAAAGGGGGGGGGGGGTGAAGACGAATATTACATCCTAGAAATCACGAAAAGGGGGGACGAGGGAAGGGAGATGTAAGGACTCGTCAAGATTCAGACCGATGGGAGCGGACGAGAAGTTGATACATACTTTATTGACATTTTGGGCGAATGTGAAGGTGGTCAGCTTCGGGTATTGTGTAAAAGTTCTTAACTGGTGCCAACCGAGCACCTGGGATTCGTCGGCAGGACGAAAACGGGCAGGGTTCCAGCGATTCTGGTCGACAAAACTGGCTCGGTGGGCTCTGGCTGGTCTCGGAGCGGCACGGCTTGCAGGACGTTAGAAATAGTGATGGAGATGTTGATACTGGTAATGTGGGCCACTAGGACGGTAGCCGCTGGGACTCGTCCTGCTGGAACTGGGAGACAGTACGGCACGAATGATAGGGCGCTGCAAGGTCTCGCAGGTGTGGAGGTCCTCGGATATCCTTAGTGGGCAGCGAGATGCTGGAGATGCCGTACAGCTTACCTGCTAGGCAGGTATGTAGGTCCGGGAAGCAGGTAAGTAGAGACAGGTGACGGCTAGGCGGGCAGCTTAGCTAGCAGGCAGCGGTGCAATAGTAGGGCGAGATTCTCGGCCTTGCTTCGCTGCGCGGTGTGCGTCGTATGGGTCGCCGTACGTATGTAAGAGATGCGATTTTACACCATCCTATCCCTCTTGTGGCGTGCTAAGGGTCGAACGGGAAAGGGCCGGGTTTTGTGGGGGGGGGGGGTTAGAAAAAGAAGAGCTGTTAGAGGTTGGGCTCCTAGTCGATACGGTGAATGTCAGATCGCAGGGTCACTTGCTTTCTCTCTCCTGCTAGGCTAGCAAGGCAGACCAGGCTCTTGGGTTCCGGTCACGATAGTAGGTGCACAGTCGAGCGATGACGAAGACTGGCGAAGACACGGCGCGGCCGGGGGAACAAGCGACGTGCGGCACGGCTACCTGAGGTAAGGGTAGGTAGGTACGTATGTAGGTAATAACTCTGGAGGCAGGTACCTAATGTAGGGAGGCATGTAGGTACCTAACGGAGGTAAGTGGTCGGCCATGCAGCTGCGGTGGGTAAGAGTACCCAATGTACCTACCTTAGGTGCGTAGGGCATGGCTGCCATTCACCAGTAGGAATTCACCAGCAATCCTAGGATGCCTGACAGGCAACGCCGGTAGGTACCTCTCAGGTCGGTAGGGAGGCCAGGTACCTAGGTAGGTAGGTAGGTACGCACCATCTGCGTAGTAGGCATGTACCCTCCCCGAGCTAGCCCCAGGAGAGCGACCGCGTTGTGGTCAGGCGCCTGCTACTGGCCCGAGAGAGGAAACAGGCTGGAGAGGGAGGTGGGGAACCAGGATAAGGTGCCCGGGCACCGCCAAGGTTTGGATGGCAGAGGCCTAAGGCAGAACGCTACCTACCTAGGGGTACCTACCTAAGCATGGGATCCGCTGACATGGCCATTAACTGTAGGGAGCAGGTCGCCGCCGTATGGGGGGATCTCTCCAGAGACGGGTACCTGGGCCGTCAGCTGGATAACGTGCCAGCTCATGTACCGCCAACGCGAGGCGCTCATTTGTCGGTTGTTTCGCTCTCACATTCACGAGAGGGGTAATGGGTGGGGTGCTTGGGTAGAGCCCCAGCGACACACATCATGACTTACCTAATCGACTCCTCCTCAATGTCGCCTAGCTGGTCGGCTCCGCTTTCCTCTCATAACCTCCCCTCTGGGCAATGGGCTCGGTACCGCGCTTACCGTCTTGGTGTTCATCGGCAAGCGAGCTGCTCGCCGGCGCCGGGCCGGGGGTCCTCCTCTAGGTTTCACATGCTTCTTCTACGGACGTCTTCCACATATTCGCAGCTCCGCGACAAGCTTAGGCTCTAAGCTACCTAGGTACCTAGAGGAGGTATCCTCCAAATCTTGTTCTACACCTCGTCCTGCTCCTTCATGTCGATAGGAGGTACCTACTTGCTCGGTACTTCCTGGTCAGCGGGAACGGGGTTCTCTTGCGGGGAGGCTGTTGCTTCTAGCGCCTACCTAGGTGCTTATCCTACAGGATGATGCCCGCCGGCCTTGTTAGGTGGCCGACTCCCCCCACCCCTCCCATCTCGTGGGTACCTTGGGTACCTATCTACCTCCTAACCTAAGGTGTAGGCATTACGTAGGAGGTAGAGGTAGGTTAGGTAGGTTAGGTAGGTACCTAGGTATGTAGGCAGGCAGGCAGGCATATGTAGGTATCTGCCAGTCCAGCTTCGCCTCGCGTACCTGCTGCATCCCCCCCATCCCGGTGACTTCATCATGTAGGCATTACCCCCTTCTCCTCAGGCTGGTACATGCCTCCTACATCATACTGACATATCTACCTACATATCTGCCTACATATCTGCCTACCTACGTACATAACCTTGCGTATGTACATGTACGCCTGTTCATTTACGGCAGGTTCGGGTTACATCGATCTCAACCGCCGCGGCTTGTACTACGTAACACTGTAGAAAACATGGAACGTTCGGTCGCCTATATCGCGTACCTAATAAGCGCTTGCTCAACGGCCCAACCAGCAGGTTGGCGACTTCCTGCAGAGCGTTCCCAACCGGGAAAAGCGGAAGGGCCTAGTCATGTCGTGATCTGTGCAGTCAACTCGATGGCTACGTCAAACCTGGAAACTGCCAACCGTCCACCACGCGCGGCTGCCCCGGAGTTGCTTCGAGTTGCTCCGCGAGCCATCGGGCTGATTACATAAAACCAGACGGCGCCCCGAAGACCTGAAGAGAAGCTAGCAAATCCGCTCCCGGTAGGTAGGCATTTAAAATTCCCTGGCTTTCTTCTTCTTCTGCTGCTCTCCCGGCAGACCCCCCAAAAGTTCGTCCTCGCCAACCTCGCGCGGGCGCGGCATTGGCAGATGTCGGGCGTTGCGCTGTCTATGCGTCGTCGCCCACGTTAAGCGGCGCGCGAACCATCTTACATGTGACGATGCAGGACTTGCAGAAGGAGACGTCGAGCCGCATCCCGCCGTCCCCAACTGTAACGGCTTCGACATTCCGAGGGGAGAAAAGGCCCTCGCTTCGAGTCCAGTTTAATACCAGATGCCCCGGATTGGTTCGATGCACACGCCTGAGCTGCGTTTGGTGAGGTTAGAATTGTCAATTGGAAGGCGGCCATCCCGGGAACCTCCGCTCTCTCCCATCTCCATGGATGTTGCTAAGCAGATTTCTCAACAGGACCCTGGGTCGGGTGGCTCGGCCATGCACTTTCCGCCCGTTGTTGGTGATGTCCTTCCTACCTCCCCTCTTCTCCGAATCCTGCATCCATCGATGAGGGCATTCCTCCCATGTGTTAGCCGGATCTGCGGGTGTCTCGACGAGCTACCCTCGCGAGCTCAGACTCCGCGTACGCCGATATGCATAGCTTCATCGTGCACTCCGTCATTGGCCATCGAGTCTGCATCGGCCGTCAGCCTTCCGGTTTATCCCATCTCTCCAGGCCTATCAAATGTTCGAAACCGGCCCAAGTTGACGATTCCTGCAGAGGATATCACCAAACACGCATCTGACACGCCTAGGGGCGAGTCTGGCCGTCGCTCGGCCGCCAAGTGCGCTGAGACCCCATAATATATCCTCGGGGAACGTCGTTTTCCCCGGTTCGCACACACACCTATGATGTGACTCTGCCGGCTTTCTACTGCGCTGTCATCCGTGGGATCTACTGCCTATCCGCGGCTACTTTTTTCATTGGGCCAGCTGCGAGGTGCGGCTCCGCAGCGAAAATGAGACTCGTCATATTTTGTGGCAGCCGGTCGACACGACGCCGCGGCGAGATTACACGCCTGAGACCGTGGGCTGGCCTGGTGAGGAGGACTACGGAGAGATGGGTCCGGATAGTTGCCCTGATTGGGTTGAGGTTAGCACTACCTCGACCCCTTGCAATCCCGAAGAACTGTAACACCCGCAAAAGGACTGGTGACCTACTAGATCTGATTCGTCTTGGAACCGGCTGAGCATGCACTGCAGATCACTGGCTCGGTCAATCGCTTCCTGAACGGAACTTCAGTCAAATGAATACCGTCACTCGTGTTTCGTTTATCATGAAGCCTCTCGACGCCAACTCCAATCAAAGTACCTAGTTGGCGGATACAAGCGAAATAAAACTTACTAGCCGGCTACATGGCTCGTGGAGTCTATGCAGTGTCGTGTTCTTATAATCCTAGTATACCTAGTATACCATCTCGGTATATAGGGGCTAGACTAAATACGGGGTACTATATCCCCAGTATGTATATTGATTCGTCTCCCAACCGGCTACCAGGCGACGCAGGTGCAATGCGGAGATATGTCATAGTCGTTAACGTCAATACATACCATGTGATGTGGCGGCTTTATACTGCTTCCCGAACAGTTGCGGACCAGGCTCGAGAGCATCTAGTAGGTAGAGAACCTTGGGAGCGGTATGAAGCTGAGCGTGGGTCCCCCCGCTTGTCCCCCTCCCCGGCCCCCCCGGCGGAGGATGGGAGCACGCGACATGATTGTGCGATTTACGTACAGCACATGCTAATGCCTACTGCGTCTACCTCGAGAGGTTGTTAGGACGAGACATGCATCTTACAACATCGCCGATTGCGGTCGGACCACACGGGGAGAAGCTTGCTTCCAGCGAGGTACCTCTATTATTAGCCAGCCTAATAGGGGCTGACTTTCTCACAAGTCTCTCTGACACGCTGCTCCCGAGACGACTTCTCCCTTCCACCTCCGCCTCCTTCTCCCTCCCTCCCCGAGAGCAGATACGATGTACGATGATAAACCTCCCAGGGGGCGGTCAAGGGTTGGAGACCGTTCTGCGTCTGCCGCTGACATTGGCGGGCCGCACTCGGCGTCCGTTACGGTCGAATGGGAGCACCGGAAACTTGGTTCGTGTGTGCTCCATCACCTAGCTCGTGAACCGAGCTGACTGGCGGACCTAGTTCCCGCATCCTTCCCCCCTCCCGCTCGGGGACAGTCGTGATGAACCGTCACCGCTCTCGCGCCTGCGGTCGTGGCTCGTGAAAAAAAGGACTCGAAACGCCTCTCTCGGCGCCGAGGTAGCTGATCTCACGGATAACTGGGCCTGGCCACGTAGGGAGGGTATACATGCTCACACGAGTTACGGCCGCCTAGCGCGACATCATGATACACGCGGAAGAGGGAATACATCTCAAAGATCATCTGATTTATTGAACCATGTCATCGTCGTAAGCATCGTAATCATCCAATCTAGGGTGCACCGGCCTATCAGTAGCCGAGCCTAACCGGACGTCATTACCTAGGGTGGTGGTGAGGAGTAAGGAGCGAGGAGGAGGAGGAGGAGGATGAGGAGAGGGGAGAAGGAGGGGGATGGGGGAGGAGGGGATGGAGGGAAAGATGGAAACCCAAATCATGAGGCATGTCGAAAAGAGACCTGTGAAGAGCCCCCCTCCCCTAACCAGAGAACCGGTGACGAAGGAAAAAGAAAACTCAGACACAGAGAATCTGACAAAAAAGTCCGATATCCATCAACGCAAAACTCCTAGCCAACGCGCAGCCAGCAATTTTTATTCTAAACACGGGATACCATTCCTTCATGTCCGTTTCCGGGGGAACCGGCGCCGGTACTTTGCTACTCCAACGCCGTAAGAGGTCAGTGCAATGAGTGAGAGGGGGGACAGGAAAGGGGGAAGCTCGTCTCTACGAGAGCCAGTTGCCGCTCGTCCTCGCCGCCGGAGAAGCCGGGCCATGGGCGGCGGCTAGTCCGAAGCTGAGCTTGGGTATCTCGATCTTGGGCGCCGGCTCCTCCTTCGGCTTGGCTTTGGCGCCGCCGCCGCCGCCGCCGCCGCCGCCTCCCGCCTGCTTCCTCGGGGGCTTGGGTTCGGCGGGCGGGCCGTACCGCACGCCCTTCACGTCCCACCCGTCCTCGGCCGCGGCGGCGACCCAGGTCCGTAGGGCGTCGTGGACGCCGGGGTAGAACTTCTCCTTGCAGAGGCGCAGGCTGCCGCCGAGGCAGCGCTCCCACCCCGAGATCTGGAACTGCTCCCGGAGGGCGTTCCGCTCGCCCGCCGTCGGCGTGCAGGCGAGTATGGCGTTGAGGAGGTCGAGGTGCGAGGCCAAGTAATTGGTGGCGTCCCACTCCACGCCGCCGACGTATGGGGCGGCGGGGACCGGCGGGCGCTCCTGGGGGAAGTGCGCCTGCATGTAGGCGGCGCTGTCGATCCCGGACGGGCCGGCACCCTCCCGCGTCTCCTTCTCCCGGGGCAGGTAGACGACGTTGAGGTGGTGCAGGAAGATCCAGAACACCTCCTTGGTGACGCTCACGGCCTCCTTGCACCACACGCGGTAGGGGCGGTCCCGACGCATCTCGAGCACGAAGCCCAGAGGCCGCTGGTCCTCCTTCGGTTCGGGGTCACGTAGGTGGCCGAGCACGGTCTTGGCGCGAACGGGGCGGTCGGCAGCTGGGGCTGACTGTATGTAGGTGAACAATACCGAGGTGATGATGTTGCGGGTCGTGAATTCGCTGGGGCCTTTCTTCTCCGGGTCGAAGAGCATGCGTAGAAGAGCTGGGAAGAGGGTCGCCTGGATCGAGTGGAGGTACTGCAGCGCGAGGGCCGTGGTGCAGAGGGCCTTGAGGCAGAGGAGATTCTCATGTAAAAGGGCATCTTCATGCTCCTCTCTATCGTGGGGTTAGCATGACCATTGTTCCAGGGAAAAAAAGAGAGAAACAGTTGGGGGTAAACATACCTCCATTCCACCTCCATGATGCGATGCAGTAGCCCTACGATCTCTTCCATCCCCCCCTGCCGGATGAATTCCTCTGTCCAAGCTACCGTCTCGTTCCGCAGAAGCAAGCGCAGCTTATGGAGCTTACCAACCTCTACCAATTCCGGCTTCTGGACCTTGCGCAGATAGGTCACGAAATCGAGAGGCCCCTGGTGCAGCTTCATTTTCGACAAGATGCTGGTCCCCGAACTTGATCCGGCAGAAGGGGGGCGTTCGCTAGCGACGCTGTCGGTGGATCGGCTCCGGAAATGGCGTCCTATGGAGCCTTCGCCCTTCGTTTTCTTCGTTGGGGAGCTTGCGTCCGACTTCTTTCTGCTCCTCGATAGTGTGAAGCTCCGGCCCCGAGATTTCTTGGCCTTGCCTTGCTCAACTGCCTGGGCGGCGCTTATGCTGGAATCGCTGCCGTGGCTACCGGGTCTAACGTTGTTGGGGCCTCGGGTCTCTGCCCAGTCCTGTCGGATGAACTCCATCTTGATAGAATCCGCCAGACTGCGCATCTTGTACCTCTGGTGTTCGGGGATGTTTCGCCGGTCGAGCATCGCTTCGAGGTGCTTATCGATATCCTTCGGGTCGAGCACCGGCTCGGCGGACTCAGCGGAAGGGGTTCTCCCCTCCGACCCAGCGCTGCCGCCGAACATGCCGAGGCCACGGCGTATCTTAGACGGCGAGCCTCTAGTGCTGTTCGCGCTCGAGTTCGTCTCGGCCGCTCCTTTGTGGTCGTCCTTGGGCGTGTAGTACGCGTGGTAAGATTTGGGTCGTTGCTTGGTGGCGCGGATGCTCGACACCATGTTTGATGATAAGTTGCTACTAAAGCCGTGTGCGTAGACGTTCTTGCCGGCGTCTAAATCGTTCTGCTTCTCAAGCGCCCCGCTGGAGAATTGTGCGTAAATCGGAGGCCGGGCCGCGTCCTGCGGCTTCTGGTTCTCCTTATCCTTTCTCGGATGCATTCCGTCATCGCTCGCAAGCTTATTCAAGCCCTTGGAGCTCTTGGGTCGGCTGAGAAAGCCTACCAGGTTCGTGGCCGACTTGGTTTTCTTGGGTTTGCCCTCCTCTCTGTTCTTGCCTGACTTGGCTAGCTTCTCGACTTCTTTTGAGGGCGTCGATGAGATTGTCTGCACGGTGCTGAGCGTGTTCCTGATGGGGGACGAAGGGGCACTCGGGTAGCCGTGGTGCCGCCAGGGAGGAGACCGGGAGGGAATCCCCATCTGGTTCTGCTGGATCTCGCCCAGGGCGCTAGGTCGGGAGAAGTTTCGGAAATCGATTGCTTGCTGCATCGAGGACCGATGGCCAAGATCGGGGGGGACCATCAGCTCGACGGGTGGTAGTGCAGATCCGTCCGAGTTGTTTCGTCGATGGAGGAACGACTTGAAAACATTTGACTTGGACCGCTCATGTCGAGGTGACCGGGCCGAGCTGGGAGATATGTTGGCGGAAATGTGGTAATCGTCGATTGATGCCATTGTGAGGAGGGCACGTATGTACGGACGACGGCGATCAAGGATGATGAAGGTAGCAGTAGGTGGTGGTAGCTGAGACAAAATATGCTGTGCCCGGGAGAGACGGGCAGTGGTAGACCAAATGCTACCAGAATACTGCCATACGCTCGGTGAAGCTGTATTCAGCCTCTGGACATGGCAGCATCGGACGGGCGGCTAAGAACGAGTTGACACCAAGTTGGGTTTCCTCATCTGAATGCCAGCTTCAAACAAAGGAGCAGAAGGGGAGGAGGTAAATTTGCAGGGCTGGAGGAGGTCCGGCGCTGAAGAATTAATTAGGTCTGACAAAATACATAAGTCGCTCGACCGGTCCATGGAGGTATGTACATGCATACGTACATACGTCCTTCCGTTCTGTATGGAGGACCACCCTTGGCCGCAGTCACCCTCAGTTTTGGGACGCGGTTGCTGCGGCAACCGATGCTCCCTCCGCCCACCGGGAGCGACGCGAAGTACCTGGTTAGCGTAAAAACCGGGTATAGGCACGGATACTTATGCGCTCTGTGAAGTTATTACCGTGTTTTATTGCCTATCGCTTATCAGTAGTTCCCCCCCCACATCGGCCGGGTCCCCATCCGCCCCATCCGCCCCGTTCTCGAACTTCTAACCCCACCACGACCTCCCCGTCGTTGTTAACTCAACAGTACCCGCCTAAGTACCTACCTAAGTACATCAAGGTATACATAAGAGGTACCTTAGGTAGGTACCTAGGTATGCATTCAGTATCTGCGTGGGTACATAGAGTGCGTAGTACCTAATCTAACTTATAGCTTAATATTTCCATACGTTGGGTACCTAGGCACGTAGCTTGGGCGGGTATATATAATCGGTACGTCACATATTTAGGAGGTACCTACCTCTGTAATGCACCTCTCAGATACGTGTACCTATCGATGTATCTACCTACTACGTACATTGTTGCCTCACGCAAGGGTGGGGGGATGTCTGTGTATGGGCCCGAACCTCACTTGCTCAGGTACCTCCTGACCGAAACCATGGATGCTAGGTACCTCCTAAGGTGCTGCATCCGAATTTCAGATTCTTTCCATCGGTGACTGGTTAGGAGGTACCTGGAGTCTACAGATCAGCCCAACTAGTCCCCTGAACCTCACCCCAAAGCGGGTCGCGGCTTCCTAAAGATTCTATTGGCTCTTTCCTACGACCTTACTCCACTAGTTGGTTGGGGTGAGATCCTTTTGATTACTTAAGCCTCTACCACCGCCAACTGCACCACCAAGTCAACTAGCACCACCAAGTCAACTGCACCACCAAACCACCACCACTAAACCACCACCAAACCACCACCACCAAACCACCACCACCACCACCACCGATTAGTTAATTGTTTATTAAATGCTTCTAGGGCAACTTTTAATCGCGAAAAAGAATAAATCAAGTGCACGTTCGTACGGTGGTTAGAAAGGAGAATTTAGTGACCCTTGTACGAAAAGTTTAGGTGACAGGGATAAAGTTTGGTTGACAGGGAAAAAGCTCGGCAAAATCGCCTAATCCGGTTAGAGGTTGGGGTGAGGTACAGGGGACTAGTTGGGCTGATCTGAGACCTCGGTACCTGCGAATTTGCGCTCACACGGAAATCTCTATTTCACTTTGCCCTCGGCAATCACACTATAGCGTTTCCTGGGTACTCGGTCTCGAAGCTATCACCACCCCCGCCATGCCGGGGCCTCCAAACAAGAAGCAGAAGCGGGAGAGCTACCGCCAGGCTCAGCGAGAAAATGGGGCCGCCCATATGCCCCAGAAGAGGTTCTATCGCCAGCGGGCTCACGCAAATCCCTTCTCGGACCATAACTTGATATAGTATGCCTGCCTGCTGTCTTTACATGTATTCCTCGTATGTGATATATTCCTATGCTCACCTGTCGCAGTCCTGCGAGGCCAGAGGACATGGACTGGTCTGCGCTCTTCCCGGCATTTATTGCCGATATCCAACCTGGCCCGTCGGGAACAGATGGTTGTGCCGAGACAGTAGCCACGGCCGCATCGGCACCGCAGAAGCTCTCGAAAGATGTCGAGGTGGTGGATATTGGATGCGGTTTTGGCGGTCTGCTCGTGGCTTTGGGCCCCCTCATGCCAGACACGCTGCTTCTTGGCATGGAGATCCGGACCCAGGTCACTGAATTTGTCCAGGACCGGATTAAGGCGCTGCGGGTGCAGAATGCGGACCGGAAGCTGTACCGGAACATTGCCTGCCTGAGGGCGAACACGATGAAATTCTTGCCCAACTTTTTCCGCAAGGCGCAGCTGGCTAAGATCTTCATCTGCTTTCCCGACCCGCACTTCAAGCAGCGCAAGCACAAGGCCCGGATCGTGTCCGCCACGCTCAACTCTGAGTACGCATACGTCCTGAAGCCCGGTGGGATCGTGTACACCATCACAGACGTCGAGGACCTCCACGGCTGGATGGTCCAGCATTTCAACGCGCATCCCGCGTTCGAGAGGGTGCCCGAGGAAGAGCAGGAGGCGGACGCTTGCGTCGAGGTTATGAGGATGGAAACCGAGGAGGGGAAGAAGGTCGAGAGGAACAAGGGCCCCAAGTTCGTCGCCCTGTTTCGGCGCTTGGAGGATCCTCCGTGGTGAGCTCGTGTACATACACAGGTGTAGGCATTCTTACCACCAGCATCTAAACTGACTGGGCCACAATCCGTAGCTTGATATTACTAGGATACTCGAAATACTACGGGAACAACGCTACATTGGCGGGGGGCCATCTTTCCGGGGGTCGGAGGTTTCCATGAATATTCCCGGAATTCCACGTCAGTTCGTCCTAGGCGACGCCGCTCAAGCAGCCACGACTTTCCTATATTAGGATAACCCACAGCATGTATGCATTTAGCTGGGTAGTTCACGCCTCACGCTTCGAAGAATAAATATGCTTGCTGCTTACGACCGTACCGACGACTACCCATCCAACACCAGCTGTTTGGCTAAGGTATGCTGCATGTAATGTCTGGGGTACATGCTGTATGTGGGTTTGGTGCCTGTAGCCGTTTTACCTAGTGCCCAGGCCGCCGGGGTTCCATGCTCCACGCCCACGAACATACACACGTCCTCAGACTGCCTCCTAATGAACGAACATCCTCACTTCTCGTGCGTACTTGCACACGCAAGTAAGCCTTTATGCATAGAACACATGCTTCTAGTAGCGATCTCTACCGGATCGCGTGCTACATACCCACCTAAGGTACGTGATGGATTTGGTTCAAGGTAGGTATCTACCATCGTCTTGTGCAGAAGATTCTTCTTGTTAGGGGGATTGAGCATGCAGATAGGAGGTATAGAACTGACTCTATTCGTAGTTGAATTGTGAGTAAGTGTAAGGGGAAGTGTAAGGGTTGTAGTAGGAGATTAGGAGGTACATTATCTCCTACCCTGGATATCATAATGTACCTGTACTACCTGTAGGTACCTCCCTAGGTGCCACCTAACCCAATGTGTGTATATGTAGCTTACGTGCATTCCTACCTTACGCATAGGTACCTAACGAGCCCTCCGCTTCTTATCAGTCGATAAGCACACCTGGCAGGGGGGGCTTGCGAAGCGCCGTCATTCCCATACAGCATGATACGTACTCTCTCAATCGGTCAAGCAACCCTCCCCGTTCGCAATAGACCATGACACCAGTCTTCAAGCGATCTGGAACGGAGTATGGCCCTTAAGGGGAGAGACGTCGCTTTCGCTGGTATCGTCTGCTTCATCGCATGGGGCTATGCCACTAGCTGGTTGCCAGCCCTTCGATGGGCTGGATATGCCTTCGTCGCTGGTGCTATCGCCACCCTTCTGGCCTGCCTGCTCCTCCTACTGACATCTCGGAGCTCTGCCTACGACCAGCGAAACAGATCATCGAGACCCAACTCGGTCAGCTTTGCAGGCGCCGGATCCTGGCGTCGGGAGGTCGCCGCCCTACGAATTCGACAAACCTATGTTAAGCGTCCTCTTTATCCCGCCTCCCCCTCCGTGTCCCTCGCCTTGGACGACTTGCTCGGCCTAATTATACGAGATTTTGTCGAGTCGTGGTATTCGAACATCAGCAAGAACCCGGTGTTCTCCAATGAGGTGGACAGGGCAATTCGACACGCGCTGGACGGAATCCGCGACCGCTTGCTCGAGACAGACCTAGTCGAGGTGGTCACAGGTAGGATTGTTCCGTTGTTGACGACTCACTTCCGGGACTTCTACGAAGCAGAAAAGGCAGTGCGCGGTCGCAAGTTGAACCGAGATGTCACTGAGTCCGAGGAACTCGACCTGGCCATCGCCGCAAAGTATAGAGACGGCAAACTCCATCCCGCCCTGTCTCTGGCCTATTCGGATACAAGACTGCTACAGCAAGACCACCTACGACGCACTGTTTCCAAAATCCTACCAAGCGTGCTCCCCGGTAGCCTGCTTGACAGTCGGGTGGTATTCAGTATTGTCCGCGAAATCGTCGCCTGTGCTATCTTATTTCCCACCTTGCAATTGCTATCCGAACCAGACACGTGGAACCAAGTTATGGAGAACTATGGGCGGAGCATGTTGCAGGACCGCTCGACGGTTCGTAAACTTCGTGCGGCTTTAGATGCGCATACGTCGCCGGCGCCAAAGAGATCCAAACCGATAGCGTTTCCGCGGCTCAGTGTAGGGGATGGCGAGCGTCGTTTTGAAAGATTTATCAGGACGATCCGCAAGCTCAACAACCTATCCGACGCCAGGAGATTCCGAAGTGAGGTAGCGAGCCAACTGAAAAGGGACTCTCAGCAAGCCAGCCAAGATCAGGTCTACCTCCGTCGATTAGAGATGGGCAAGCGACTACTTGATCAGAGGGTTCAGCAACTGGCCGCGGCGGGTGATAAGCAGCCCGTCCCAATGTCAAGTAACCTGCCGCCAAATGCCGGATTATCTAAACTCGAGAATGCGTCGTTGGTCGAGCTGCTGCGTGACACATCAGGTCTCTCTTATTTCATGGAATACATGGACAGGCAAGGCTTGATGTCCCTCGTGCAGTTCTGGCTGGTCGTGGATGGGTTTCGAACGCCCCTAGAAGATGATGGTCCCGATGACGAGCAATTACCTTCCACATTAAGTCCCTGGTCTGAATCCGATCGGGCTGATCTCGCCCAAATCGACCAAGCATACTTGTCTCGGCCAGAACTCAAGGTACCAGCTGGGTCACGGCGTGCCATACGTGAGTTCCTCGATGCTGGTGCCGCAGCCTCGCCAGCACAATACCACAAGGCACGACGTGCTGTACTGCGGACGCAAAGCACCGTGCTCGAGGATATGCAATCTAAGCATCTCGGTTCGTTTAAGAAGTCAGACCTGTTCTACAAGGCCCTCGCATCAGAGGAAGCGTCACAGAGCATTCCCCTTGCTCAACAACCTTTAGCTGGGCCGTCAACAGCTCCGCCTCCCCCACTTCGCGCTTCACAGTCGTATGGGTTACGGGCCTCGCCCATGTCGGCGTCAGGCACCAACACCTTGAATACCCAGGTAAGACGAGGTCTATCTGCCGTGGACTTGAAAGCCGCAGCTACCCATGGTCCGGATCTTTTGATGGGCCATCGACGCTCGCTAGACGACAATCCAGTTTCGCCCCTATTTGATGATGACGACCTTGAAAATGATCTGATGGTTGGATCGGTGCAAAGCCTTGATCAGGAACCATCAAGACCCGTACCTGATACCCAGGTTGTCCAGGCGATGGAAGAGGCACTCAATACAATCATGGAGGACGATCGGCCGCAAACTGCAGAGGACCTTCGCGAGTCGTTATTCGGGCACGACGATGGGACGTCTAGCTTGTTCTCAACCCAGGATATTGGCTCGACCAGGGGCTCGCTAGACCATCAACGTCCAATGCAACCCGGAAAGGATGTCGAGAAACCCAGTTTGGCGTCTCTCGGACTTGTCAGCCCAGCGTCTAGGATCGGTGTTTTCGTGGATGACGATCTCTTTGGGGACGAAGATAAATTTTTGTCGGACGAACAAGAAGACCACAATGCAGAAGGGAATGGCGAGGACGAGGATGAAGTGCATGAAGCCGCGCCTGGAGACCTGGGTCTCGCGGAGGCCATTGCTGCCCTTACCAACGACATTGAACGACTAGCTGCCCAGGAGGCTGTCGTGGACTCACTTACGAAAAAGGCGGAGCTGACCAACAATACTGCCGAGCTACGTATCTTGCGGAAGTCGAAAGCAAGTCTGCGGAGAGAAATTCGGCGGAAAGAACTACAGCGACAGCAGTACGTGATTCAGGAGAGCGACAATAGCCTCTATGGTCGGGCATCGATCAGGATCAAGTCGATTCAGGTCGGCCGAGAGGAGGATGGCAAAGAGTTCGCCTTGTACGTAGTCGAGGTACAGAGGGACGCGGGGGAGAAGATGCCAGCCGCCACCTGGATTGTAACGCGGCGATATAGCGAGTTCCTCGAGCTTCACCAGAAACTACGCGACAGGTACCCGTCAATACGTAATCTCGACTTCCCGCGACGGAGGATGGTCATGAAGCTTCAAAGCGACTTTCTCCGCAAGCGGCGTGAGGCTTTAGAGCGATACCTACGCCAACTACTCCTCCTGCCGGACGTGTGCCGTAGCCGGGATCTTCGAGCTTTCTTATCGCAAAGCGTGATCACCCAGGGAGAGGACCTAATGAGCCGGGAGGACAAAAAGGATATGATAACCCGGTTATACGACTCCGTCGCCGATGGCATGGAAGACATCCTGGGGAACATACCGGTTCTAGATCAGCTATCAGTAGCAGGACAGAGCCTTATCGCAGCGGCAACTAGCCAGATGAGCACGATGCCGCTCAATGTCAACGAGGATGCCATGACGACGGCCGAGGCCGAGGCCGAACTGAACGCCTTCGAGGACAAGGAGCTCGAACCGTTCATCAAGCCGATCTGCGACATCTTCCTCGAGATATTCGGCCTCAACCGGGGGAACAATTGGCTCCGCGGGCGGGCCGTCGTCGTCGTATTGCACCAACTGCTCGGAGGCACTATCGAGCGCAAGGTCCGAGACAATTTCCGCCTACTGATCCAAGAGGATGCCGTTCTCAAGTACATCGGTCTCCTGAGGGACAGCATGTGGCCCGGCGGGCAGATGAATAAAAACCGACAGACCAGAACGGCGTCGGAGAAGGCGAAGACTCGCAGAGAAGCAAGTCTGATGCTCGCGACGCTTGTCCCAGATTTAGCCGGGAATGTGGTTGGGCGACTGAATGCGCAAGCGGCCAGTCGCAGACTTTTTGCAACACTCAACAACACGAGACTCAAGTATGTACAGCGATCCCCCCCCCCCCTCTCTGACGGCGCGCCGCGATGCTAACGAACCACTACCCCGCAGCGCCCATTTGGTCTTCACGATCGTAGATGAACTAGTTGACGTTCTATTTAACGAAGTTTGATTAGGTTGGAGGGGGGGAGGAGGTAATACTTAATGTTGGTCTCTTCGCTTGGGCACGGCATAGCATTGGCGTTTGGATGGGAGGGTTCCAGCGGGAGGGAAAGGCAAGGAACGGGTTGATAAATTACTGCATGGTTGAGGGGTGTTGGCTGTTGGCAGGGAAGACGTAATGGGGGAGTCGGAGGAGGCGGAGGAGGAAAGTGAGAGACGATGAGGCTGCCGTTTGCCACATCCCTGTATGAAGTTGTTTCCGTGGCCGGCAACTTGTCATGTGAGGCGAGCGCCTCCGCCAGGTACTACCATTGACAGTTCGTGCCGGGCCGCTACCTTAGTAGGTGCCTAGGTACCTAGGTATCTCTACCTCCTAGGTAGGTACCTCTACTAATATCCCTACACACCTTACGTCTGATTCCAGTATTATAAGAGGGGGTAGGTGCCGGTGTCCTAAGGCATCTCTACCTGCTGTTGAGATGTCCCGTGTCGTCCTGCTTTCTTACGATGCATTCTACACGACCCAAGTTATGTGTACCTACCTACCTAAGGTTATGTATGTAGAGGTACGTAATGTGCCCAACCTAATGTAGGAGGTATGTAGCATGCGGATGGGAGGTACCTGCTTGCCAACCCTTGCCTGGCTGGGGTTAGTAGGTGCACCCTTCTCTACGGACCTGCAGATCTCACATTGCCGGGACGCGGGTCCTAGGTAGGTATGTACCTAAGGTAGGTACCTTGGTGAGTTCTGTGTTGCTACTTCGGCACCTACCTACCTACCTAGGTACCTCTTAGGCAATGTGGTAAGAAGGCGACTACAGGTACTGCCAGTGTTTCGCCCAATCGAACGCGCCTGGGGACAGCCTTTGGGTATACGCACATGTAACAGGATGGACAGAACCAATTGATATGTATCAGCGTGCATGCGTATAGCATAGCACAATAGTATTATAGCAGATTGCGTAGCATGAGTGGCTGGGCGCAAATGAAGACCTGCCTGAAAATGGCAGATGGCAGTAGATCAACCCGACGATCAAAGAAGCATGTATAGTTGCCAAGTACGTGTGCTGAGTCTTCTCCATCGGTTCCTGGGGGGCCGTCAGAAGAGGCTTGCCGCCAATATTGTATATACCATTGGTATAGAACATACATCCATGTCATCGGCGTGTATATAGTACATGAGGGAAAGAGGTAGGTACCTATAGAGTACCTAATGCACGCCTACGATACTATACATGTACAAAGTATATCCGCAAGTACACACCTCATCGTGTGAACCCCCGGGCGGCGCTGAACGGAATTGAAGTGGAACCTGCCTTCCGCCGTAGGTCAGGTGCAACAGAGGAAGCTGTGAGTGGATGGCTGCACGTACTGTGCACCGAGCCTGCCTAACCATCCGTAGATAGTGTATGTGTAGGCATGTACTCTTGAGATATATATCCATGCTCTGGGGTACATCATGTCTCTGGCACATCTAGCAGGTACGTACATAGGTAGGTACATACATATGTACATATATGTACGTACCTGCTGCCTCCACACTGTCCAATGCACCGTACGCCACGCACTCCTCCCTCGTTCTTTTTTTTTTTCTCTCGCGACTTTCTTCTCTCCCACTCGTAACCCGTCACCTGTCACCCATCACCCATCAACTCCGTCTCTGCATAATCACATCGATCTTGTCGACCTCACCTACTTACCTCTCCCAAAGGAAGACGGAGCCTGATCAAAATTGCTTGCTACCCAGTGTCGCTGGGCTGCACCGTCTCTGCCCTCCCCTCTGACACGCATAGCCGGCCTATCTATCATCTCTTCTGCCTTTCCCACCCTGTTTATCTCCGTCTCCCGCACCTTTCGACGTCCCTCCGGACCTGATTTTCGCCCACCAACCACCATCAAATCTGGTTTGGGTGACAATTTTCTCCGCCATCATCCCAAACCCGCCCAAAAAAAAAACTACAACCCCCAAAATTCCCAACTAGCCCATCACGCTTTCTTGCGACGCCTCGCACACTGACTTCAATCCTGAGTTCCCCTGGGCGCTGGCGGACCTCAGCCCTCCCTTCAGTGCTACACTTGCCTTGACCTGGATCCCAACCCGTACAGCCGTATTTCCCGAGCGCGACCATGGCGTCTACCGAGGTTTCTTCTACCCGACTCTACTTGGGCAACCTGCCCAAGGGCGGTAAGTCATCGTGCCCTGTTTGCCGGCTCGCGCCTGAGGCTGTGCGATTACGCGCGAAAGTGCCCGGCCTCAGCTCGATGTCGCCGTTTTGCTGTTGCTAACTGGTCCCCCCCGTCTAGCCACCAAGGGCGATGTTGAGGCCCACTTCGCGACCCATGGCACTGGCGAAATCACCGAGGTGAAGCTGATGAATGGTTTCGGCTTCATCGAATACAAGGATCCTATGGATGCGCGCGATGTTGTTCCTGGTGAGCATCTCTCTAGGACCCCAACATGCTCTCTCTCTCTCTACCCGATGTTGTTATTGTTTTACCGTCTCCGGATGCTTCTGGTACGACACGTTGGTTCACTAGCTAACCCTTGGCCCCGCCGCAGCTTTCCGTACGTCTTGGACCATTCCTGGCCACCGTCTCTCCTGCCTATGATCGTTTTCCCGTCTTCCTGGCTAATATGACGAAAAGATGGATCCGACTTCATGGGCGAACGTCTGACTGTGCAATTCGCTCGGGGTTCTCGCCACCGCGAAGGCTTTGGTGGCCATGAGCGCAGCGCCCCGCGTCCTCGCCGTACTCCCTATCGCATGCAGATTACTGGACTCCCCAATGATACCAGCTGGCAGGTCTGTTAAAACTCCCGTTTCTCCGTTCCTTCGCCCTCGGATTCTGGCTTCAAATCATCATTTCCCTTGGTACAGCGGGCCGTCTTGCGACGTGTGTTTTCTTCGCCTCCACAGCGAGGACGCTGGTATCCAACGTCTTTTTTGTGGTGTCGTGGCTGGCGATCTACTTCTCCCGAATCCTAGCGGACAGGTCTTGGGAGCGAGTCATGGCGCCTCAAGGATTTCCGTGTTGGACGTATCCGCCGGCTTGGATTGGTTTGACCGAACTCCCTTGCTGGTGCTGCTTCTGGAGTTGGAGATCTTGGCCTCATCCGCATGTGTTCCACACCGCTCCTCGGACTCCCACTTACATGGAATCTGGATCTAGGACCTCAAAGACTTTGCTCGGCAATCAAGTCTGGATGTCGTCTACTCAGAGACGGGCCGTGACGGCAACGGTCGTGGGTAAGTCGCAGTCCCGGCTGCCACCTCGAGGATTCGTCGACTGGCTAGATTTTATTGACGAGCCGTGGTAGTTTCGTTGAGTTCGAGACCGCGGCTGATTTGAAGACTGCTGTCGAGAAGCTTGATAACCGCGAATTCAAGGGACAACGAGTGAATTGTGTTGCCGATGTAGGTCTCACGGCCCTCTGTAGCGACCGCAGGCTAACGTGATCCACCAGACCCAGCCGGACTTCCCTCAGCGTGAGCGTGGCGCCCGCTCTCGCTCTCCCATCGGCCGCCGACCGTACGGCCCACCAGGTGAGGGCTACGAGAGGCGTGGACCACCTCGCACCTATAGCCCCCGCGGCTACCGCGACGATTACCGCGACAGGAGCCCTCACCGCCGAGAGTACTACGAGGATCGTCGATATCGATCTCCGCCGCGTCGCGGTCCGGTCGAGGAGTACCCGGCCCCACGTGGACGCTACGAAGAGCCATACCGGCGCGACTATCCGCCCCCACCGGACCCGTATGTCAATGGCCGGCCGTACGATCGGCCCCCGCGAGAGTTCCCTCCTCGGGAAGGTGGATATGGGCCTCGTGAAGGCGGCGGCGGCTATCCGCGCGAGGAGTACCGTCGCGGAGGCGGCGGCGGCGGCGGCGGCTACTGGTAACCTTCTTTATTCATCTTTCTGAAATCGATCCACCCCTTACGTTATCTAGATCCCACGTCGTATCGCCCTGTATGGTTGGCTCGCCACGTCACACCGGTAAGGGAACTATGGGAGCTAGGACTCAAGTAGGTAACGAATATGAGGACAGGAGATGCCTAGGAAGGGGGAGGTTTGGCTAATAGGGGACTTGCCTAATGACTTTTGATGGACAAATTTTCGATGTCTTGATGAGGGTGACAGGATTAAAATGGGTTTCTGTTTGAGAATCCCTGTCGGGCCATGACAACATATTTTCGGTATCGGCTTCTGGTTACCCGTGTGTATGAAGAAACAAAAGTGACAATTGCTTTTACGAATGAAACGTTGCGTGTGCGCGCGCGAGAGTGTGTGATATGCATATGTATGTGTAGGTATATGTGTATTAATGAGGTATCTCGGGGAATCGCAAATCGAAGAGAGGGACGGAGTTCTCGCCTGCCTGGGTCGTAACAGAATCCGTTCAGACATTTTTGTAACCCAACGCGGGCTCTTGCGGTCGTAATGATTATTAATTACTGTTCGGGCGACGCGGAAACCGGCTCAGCCGGTCTCGTCGTGTCATCATGCCGCGGGGCTATCTCACTAATCCGGCCCAAGAATAACGCTGCTCGAAGATCAGAGTCGGCATAAATGACACACCGACGAAGCGCCAAGGCGGAGCAACCTGGTGGGGGGGGGGGGTGGAGGAGATCGCCTTTCTGTTTAGCTCGACGACGGTCTCTCCAGTCAAGCTGCTGGCCGCAACCCACAGTGTGGGCTTGATCCAAGGTAGCTACTAAGCAGAATATGACGAGGGATATTCCTCCGTACTCCCCAGATACGTGTGCGGTCCCGTCGTGATTAATAACCGCCTAGCCGTCGGAGAGAGTGGGGGAGGTTTACAGAAGGTAGTAGTGGGCGAGTCGACGGACTTAAGTGAGACTTACTGAGGGGGGAGGCGGCGCGAGCCGGTGCCAATGCCCGTGCCCGATTCTTCAGACGAACACACATCATAGATGGATAGAGAGTCTTGTTTGTAATTCAGAGAACCTTCCAGTGTGCTGAAGAGTTGGGTCTCGCCGTCTGTTGGAGAGAGTGTTATCGGAAGAACAATCCCTTCTCGATGCTGTGCAAGGCTCTACCGAGACGTCCGCTGTCGACAGGTATAAGTATCATCGCCATCAGCCGTCCATCTCCGTTTCAGGCTTTCTTCTTTCCCCAAGTCCACAACTCTCGCAATCGTCCCGCAACGGTGCAATATATATCATCCTTCTCTACGGCTCGAACAACGGTACCCGTTCTACCTCCTGAGCAGGTCCACGATATGTCGGAACCAACCGGCCTCGTCGCTAAGAGCGGCATCGAGCTCTTGACCTTTGGTCCGTCCCCATTCGCGATCGGTACACCGGGTGGCCTAGCTAACTCTATGCTGCTATTCTAGGCACGCCGAACGGCTGGAAGGCCAGTATCTTGCTCGAAGAGCTGAAGGCTGCGTACGGCAAGAAGTACACATACCAGTCTATAAACATCCTAAAGAACACCCAGAAAGAGCCGTGGTTCACAGCAATAAACCCCAACGGCCGCATCCCGGCGATCGTCGACCACGACCGGGGCGGCTTCGCCGTCTTCGAGGGCCTAGCCATCCTTGGCTACCTGACGCGCCTCTACGACCCCGAACACAGGTTCAGCTTCCCCGTCGATAGCGAAGACTACACCGTCTGCGAGGAGTGGATGGCCTGGCAACAGTAAGTTGGATTCCGGAGAGGCCGGCTGGTTGCTCCTGGCGCCTACCATTAGCTCGAGATCAACGTCTCTGGTAGCGTGGAGGGAGGTCTCAGCACAGCCCCAGCACCTCTATGGCTGGCGCGGGCGTATTATCTAGGCAGGTATCAAATTTCTAACCTTACGAATAGCGGCGGCCTCGGCCCGATGCAGGGACAAGCGAACCACTTCTTCCGCTTCGTTAAGGAGAAGATACCCTATGCCGTGCAGCGCTACGTTGGCGAGACGGAGCGCCTGTACGGGATCCTGAACGCGCGCCTCGCGGGGCGCGACTTCATCGTCGGGCCGGGGCGCGGAAAATTCAGCATCGCCGACATCAACCTGCTGGGGTGGTGCAACATCGCCGTCTTCAGCGGCATTGACATCGACGCGTTCCCTCACGTCAAGGAGTGGATCGACCGCTGCCTAGAGCGCCCTGCGGTGCGCAAGGGCATCGCCGTGCCGGACGAGAGCCAGATAACCAACGACACCATTAAGAAGTCGCTGGAGGCGGACCCGGAGAGGAAGAAGGCGGCGGAGGAATCGGCCCAGTTTCTGAAGGAAAGTAAGGAGAAGTACGGGTACAAGTATGCCTCGCCTTGAAAGGGGCGAGAGACGAAGGACGGATGGGGTTCCTAAAATGAAGAATAGACGGGGGAAAGGAAGAGAGATCGCCAACGGCAGGCCAGGGGTGGAGCGAAGTGTCAGATTGATGTAACGCTATGCCCACGGCAATTAAACGAAATATCAGATGCTCTCTCCTCACCTCCAACGTGCTTGCGTACCAGTGAGGTGTCGTCCTAACGGCGATGGCTTCCGGCCGGAAGAAAAGAGACCCATAACTCGGTGCTAACTCCCCCGGGAGGAGGTGCGAAGTCTTGCCGTCTGCTCACGACCCCCGCAATGGAACCTGACGATCCATGCGTAGGGGGGGCGCGCTGCATGATGCAACCTCGATCTTGGTCCCAGGAATCCACTCCGTCGGGGGGCAAATGAGGAGAGGGCACGCAAGGTGGCCCGCGGTGTCGTACGGTGATAGGATGGAGGTCTCTGGCCTGAAGCTCGCTCTCCTCCGGTATAACCGTCGGGGCCGCCGCCTCTCAGCGTGACCACGAGGGAGCAGCACAACAATCTCCCATCGTCAGCATCGTCACAATACTCATATCCACCATGGCTGCTCGCTCGGTTCTCTTGACGGCGCTCGTGGCCGCCGGTGCCGCCGTCGAGGTCGCAGCCCAGGATTCCACCGTCATCGACGTCGACATCCCCGACGGTCTCGCGACGCGGCCCCTCGTCCCGGACGTGTACGGGTACTCGATCGAGCCCATCTGGGTCGACGCCTACACCAGCACGCCCTTGGCGGCGACGCTCCTGCGCGCCGTCGCTAACGTCACCGGCAAACCGCCACCGATCCGTGTCGGCGGCAACACCGCCGACCAGACCTACCTCCACGACGGCCCGCTGCTGCCCGACGGCAACGTGTCCGCCGCGCGGCCGGGCCTGCCGGCGGCCAACCGCTTCGACATCACGCCGGCCTGGTTCCGCACCTGGGGGGAGTACTTCCCGGATGGCACCGAGCTCACGTACACGCTGAACCTGGCGGCGAACGCGTCGGGGTGGGCGAACGCGGTGGCGCAGGCGGCAGCGGCGGGCGCCGCGCTGGGCCCGCGGCTCGCGCAATTCGAGCTCGGCAACGAGGTGGACCACTTCATCGCGAAGGGGTGGCGCGGCGCCGACTGGGGCGTCGACGCCTACGTCGTGCAGTTCCGCAACCTGACGGGCCAGATCGCCGGCGCGGACTGGTACGCGGCGGCGGGCGCGGCCGCGCCCAAGTTCCAGGCCGGCGTCATCGCCGACCCGCCCTGGGTCCACGACCAGCACGACGAGATCGACGACTTCAGCGTCGCCAACCTCACGCGCGACGGCGCCGGCGGCATCGCCGAGCGCCCCGAGGACCGCGCCCTCATCTCCAGCTACGCCATGCACCTCTACCCCCAGTCCTCGTGCGACCCAGCCCGCTGGCTGCGCATGCGCCTGGATCTGCTGTCAAACCACACGACGCTATGGCTTGGTAAGCGAACCGCCGGCGCCCTTCCCCCCAGGGCCGCTCTATTTCCCCGTCGTTCCGTCTCCCCTCGGTCTTCTCCTGCGCGCCCGCTAACCGTTCGGCAGTAAGTCGCTGACGACCCCCACCCCTCCTCTCGGGCAGGTATCGTAGCCTTGTAGGTCGGTGCGCGCAGGACTTGCTAACACTCAGGCGCGGGGGGGCGCAGAACATATCGCAGTACGGGCCGCAGATCGCGGCGGCGGAGCGCGCGGGCGCGCCGTTCGTCATGGGGGAGACGAACTCGGTGTCGTGCGGGGGGCGCAGCGGGATCAGCGACACGTTCGGCGCGGCGCTGTGGGGCGTCGACTACGTGCTGGGCGGCGCGGCGCTGGGCATCCGACAGACCTTCTTCCACCTGGGCGCGCAGAGCGAGTACAGCGCCTTCACGCCGGCCGCGTACGAGCTGAAGAACGAGTCGCTCGCCGCCGGCATCCGGCCGGGCTGGTACGCGCACTACTTCGTGGCGCGGGTGGCGGCGCCCGTCGCCGGCGCGAACCGGACCCAAGGCGAAGGCGCGCCCGCGCTCGGCATCGCCGCCCTGCCCGGCGCCAACACCAGCGCGCTGAGCGGCTACGCCGTGTACGCGGGGCGCGCGCTGCGGCGCCTCGTCTTCCTCGACGTCGGCGTGTGGAACGGCACCGCGGGGCTGGGCAACCCGTCGACGCTGCGCGCGACCGACGCGCGCGACGCCGCGCACCACAGCGCCGGCGCGCGCCCCGCCGCCACCCTGCGGCTCGCCACGCCCTGGTGCGCCGGCGCCCGCGTCGCCGCCGCGCGGCTCGCCGCCCCCGGCACCAACGCCAAGAGCGGCGTCACCGTCGCGGGGCTCGCCTTCGACCCGAGCACCGGCGCCGCAGCCGCGGCCGACGACGCCCCCGCAGAGACCCTCGTGGTCGCCCACGGCGGCGCGCTCGCCGTCCCGATCCGCCGCGCCGAGGCCGTGCTGCTCGAGCTCCAGTCCGCGGGCGACGGATGCGCCGCGTCGCTCGTCCCGATCTCGCCGGCGCAGAGCGCGGCGACGCTCGCGATCGGGCTCCTGGTGGCGGCGGTCGCGGGCGCGGTTGTGTGGGTTGGCATGTGAGGGGAGGGAGCGGGGAGGGGGAAGGGTATGGATAGTGAAAGAAAAGAAAAAGGGGAAAGAAAAAAGGGGGGGCATTAATATGTGGGGTGTGAGATAGTGTCAATATCCAATAGGGGCATGACTGGTCTTATGTATACTGCCGAAGAATCGTAATCCAGGAAAGGTATATATTGGTTCCCAGCAGCTCGCTCCAGCAAGGAGACACAGTTGATATTACATGGACAGGAGTTCAACCTAGTATTCGAGAGGGGCTTTATATGAGTACTCCTTCCCCCGTTCTGAACCTTCGACTGAATCTCTAAATGGCAAATCGAGAAGATAAAGACAGGGAAGGGGGGGGCGAGAAGTCAATATTCTAAGCTGATGCGCCGGATCGCAAACCCATGGGTTCGCCAGATATATACCGGCATCATTCGCTGGTCAGAAGGAGAGAATAACAGGGCTTGTGAAATTGCCGGCCTGCAGGGGGTGTGTTTACTTCGTATAAGGAAACACAAGGGGGTTGCCACGCCACGAATTTCGTCTCCTTTCCCCTCGGAGTCAGACGGAATCCAGGGGTTGCATCGGGGGATGGGTGTTTAAGAACATCCGCCGTCTGGGCAGAAGCCTCCTGACGCTCCCAGGACCGGCTTGACGTCGTCGTACGGGGTATAAGGTTTTCTATGAGTACCTGAGATAACCGGTATGAGAACACGTAACGCTCCAAGTACGAACGTTGAGCATTATGTTCACCGCCAATGCTAAAGCGGAATATCTCATCCATCTGTGCCTTGTGCTGTAGTGCGGCGGGGCCCTGGATGTACAGATCACGGGGATGTTAGTTAGAAAGACTTGGTTAAACCCACCTAAACTAATCAGTACACCTACCATTGGGGGTCACATTCATCATGTCGGGTATTTGTTCCCCGCCGTGCTGGTCATTAGCCAGTGTGTCGATACCCGTAGTCATCCTCGTTCACGCGTATAGGTTGCTGGGCCGCGCCATCAAGCTAGGGCATGAAGCTTGGAGTTCTTATGATCGGTACGCAGGTAATCTAGGAAGCTAACGTCCCCAGCATAGGCATTGAGATAGACCTAGGGTGCGTTCCCACGGAGCAGCGGGGCGCCGCTGGCTGGTCTTGTCTGTACGAGGGGCTCGTGCCATCGCGAAACCTTGCTTCAAGCCATCTGATGGGCTCGAAGGCTAAGCGATCTAACTATGTATGTTAACAACTGGGCCAGCTAGTAAAACAGGTGCTTTACCGGTGACAGACAAACCGTCAGGCGCCGTGAAGCTGGGCTAGAGGACTTGGTCAAGCACAGAGTCAAGGCTTGACGGATAAGACCTCACTCAACCTAGCTCAATACGCGGGGTAGAGGGTATTAATCCCTTCCTCCTTTTCAAACCAGGGCCGGGTTGGAGGCTTCAATATTAATGTTCGTCTAATCGCTCGAAATGTTGCGTACCTCGTATCTCGTATCTTATGTTTAAGATACCGTTATTCCCCTTCTATATTATGAGCTAGCGTTGAGTTCACTTCATGCGCTCAAGTTGAACCTGTCTCGGACCCTCGCTACTTGTTTCAGAGACAACGCAATGGACTTCCTGGGTTTCTAAACAACACAGTGTTCTAATTCGTTCACTGCGCTTTGATGGAAGCCATTTAACATACTAGGACGCTTATGTCGGCAACTGTTCGATGGGCTGGGAGCCTGGATTACTGGGTACGATGCCGGAAAGAAGTGAAGGGTGTATTTTTATCTCCGAGGATAAAACTGGATTGTTGGAACCGAGTCGGACGCAAGAAAATATACGAAAAGAAAGGGAAACCTGTTACAGGCCCCGCTAATCGCGAGTAAGACGTGCTGTGAAGAGAAACAACGCCTTCAGATAGGGGGGTATCGTTGGTCGCCTGAGCTACTGCAGTGGGTGTTAAGATTCGTTGGCCGCGGGACCACCCATTTTAAATAAATACCTAACCATCTATAAGTCTCGTAGCCAATCCTGAAAAGTCGTGAGGTCGGTGTTAACGGGTATTCAGTTCGGAGGTCATTTCTCCGCCTAATATCAGATATTAATATGAACAGCGCATGTCTTGACCAAGACTCAAATGGAGCGTTGGATATCTTATTTTCCGTTGAGATATCCTGTCACAGCGACTCCTCTAATAATACCAACTCCCGGAATCCCTCTTTCCAAGATTTTGCCTGTTCAATGGTTGGTTTTGGGAGTGGACGGCGCATGTAGCCACCGTACCCCATCCACCCCTGGAGTCCGGCCTTGACGCATATCACGCCGCCCTGGATCGCGATCCAATCGGCATGAGACAGGGTTTCTTGCATCTTTTGAGCCTCGGGGTGCCGGCCTGCCTTATATAACTCGATAGTCTTGATGCAAGTTTTCGGCGCAATGTTTGCAAGTCCAGCGAGCACGCCGTGGCCACCAGCTATCAGTGATTGTATTGAAAAGTCGGCTGACCCGGCCAGCACAAGGAAGTCTGGCCTTTCCGGGTCGTAGGCCTTGGTCCGCTTCTGCACCACAGCCGCTATGCGATTTAGCTTTCCGGTGTTTCCGCATGTCAGCTTAACGCCGACGATCTTAGGGTGGCGTGCCAGGTGTAGGATTATATCAGAGGTTAGGTCTAGGCCGTTCGCCGCGCTCGGGAAGTTATATATGATGATAGGTATGGGAGATATGTTGGCAACCGTCGAGAAATACTCTATGATAGTCTTGGACGACGGAGCAAACGACGCTGCGTAGTATGACGGGGGCAACACGAGGGCGTAGTCGCCTCCCGCTTCCCACGCCTCGCAGCAGTACTGGATGGTTTCACGAGTACTCTGGGCACCACAGCCAACAACCACGGGGATATGCGAGAAGCCAGCGTTGTCTAACGCCTTGCGTGTAGTAGACGTCACTTGCTCGCGTTCGGCATGAGTTAGATGAACGGCTTCTCCATTTGAGCCTTGAGTTGCAATGCCGGCCACACCAGCCTCGGCGAGTCGTACCGCGTGGCGAGCAATGGTATCGATATCAACGTCCTCCGTCTCCTGATCGAAGAAACAGACGGTTGGGACGTACACGCCAGCTCTCAGCGGACGTGCTGCACGGAAACTTCTCTCCGTCGGGCAGCATCCAATAGAGCCATTCGGTGATGGATGCGATTCGATTGGCGGTGGGCGGCTTGTCTTTGGTTCCGAAGTAGTCGGCCAGAGGGAATCACCGGGGAAGCTAGCCGCAAAGTTTCCAGCTGGTGAAGACACGTAAACGTGAGGTGCCATGGTCAAATCAGAAGGGAGTAGCTGCGGGACGGATGATCCAAATACGTGGAGGATTGAAACTTTGTTACTCCCAAGGTGAATCCTAGTGTTTGATGCTACCGAGCGGTAGGACGTATCGATGCTTGCATAGTAGTGACGGCAGTGACTGCGCTCCTAAACTAGAGGGACCGACAGATCAACAATATAAATACTTGCGTCTTTCTCGTTATTGGAGTTGCTTTGTTGGACATCCAGGACGGTCTCGGCAACAAGTCATCACAGGAAGTGATAGCTCAAGCATATCCATCAGCCATCAAGGAAAGATCTACATCAACCGTATTTCCCAAGTCGTAGAGACAAGGGTCATCGAAAAATTTTTATATGACGCGTAGAGATGGATACAGAAGCCTAGTCGAGAGTTACTACGTAAACGACGTTGCCGTGCGTTTGAACCGTCTAAAGAGGCTATGGGTCACACCTCATGACGACTTACGAAATCGGTTATGGTTGCAAAATGGTGCGTCGGGTGTCCTTACTATGTATATCCCCCAAGTCTTGCTTGTCGCCTTGTGGGGGTAGGACTGATATTAGCACATCCGTGATTCCCATGATAATCGACATATTATGTGATGGACATTGGGCTAGTTGGCGACGGCATTTGCCACACGAGCCGCGAGATGTGACAGGTCAAGGTCCTAAGTGAGAAATCGAACCAGGGAGCGCGGCTACCTAGGAAATCCGATTCTCAGCCAAATGGTATCTAAGGACAATCAATTATGCGAAGACACGCGAGCGAAAGGTAGACTTGACGCTAGTTAGAAGAAACTAGGTCCGAAGGTGGTGGGTGCTACGAGCTGGAGGACAGAGAGCACTGCTTATGGCGAAGGACCCGGGGATCAATTAAGCGTCCACTGAACAGCCGATCGGGATCCAGTGCGGTCATCACCAGGTCGAAAGTGCATGCGATCTGCGCCAGGACTCGTATAAGCCGTCTAGCCGGCCCTCTGGGGGTGGATCCGACAATGACTCCAGAATTTGCGGACGACCGACTGCAGTGTTACCACATTAGACAGGCTGACAACGGCCGCGAATGATCGACTTACATCTTGACCCGACATCCAGTGGTATCTCAACCAACTCACGAGAGTGGCACATCCGACGTCTTCAGCCGCTTTGCTTCTTGCCCTCACGGTTAGTCCCGGGCAGAGGAGGGTAAGAAAAGGCAGGTAGGAATATCCTACTCCCTTAAGCTAGCCCTGGAATTAGTTGGTGCTTACACCCTAAGAGACTGCTCACACATGGTCGGCTAGTACGACTAGGGCAGTGAGTACTGTGGCAGGCTCGGTGATTCATTGGGCCACAAGCAGAAGGCAGTGCTGGAGTAGTAATTCCATCTAGGCCATGCGGTGAGGGGTGGGAGGCGCATCGCGATCCAGCCCTTGAAGAAGCGAATGGATGTGGGGTTGGTACAGTACCGCTGCTGGTCCGGGGTTCGGATCACGCTGCTTAGAAACTGTAGTTGACGATACGTCGTCTGTTGTCTTTCTTAGGTGTAGTAGCACTGAGTTGGTGGTCGGAAAGGCCGTCGTCGGCTACCTGATAGGACGACAGCATAGGGTTGGCGTTCCAATGGCTCGAGTCAAGTGTCCAGAAGGTAGCATGCACTGAGAGATGAGGCGCCACGGTTTTTCATAACCGTGGTCGTCGTTGTCGTCATTGTCAGCAACCTGCCTCTGCTGCTTTCCCTTTGATGTCCGCTCGGAGATAGCTATCGTAGCGCATAACCATGCTTAGTCGACGGCCAGGTTTCTCGAGAACACGAGGTCGGGGCGTCGGGCGTCGGATGTTGGGGGTGAGAAGATTGATGTTGGATGTTGCGAAGTGGCGCTGGAACTGGCTGGGGGTCGTCGTCGTGTGAAGGATAGTGGATCAACGCCAGGTAGGTGGAGCCGATAAACCCCCTTTTACTGTAAGTAGTCCCCTTAGTAAGATATATATTCCATTACCGGAATATCTTCCCCGCACGGGTATTAGAATGCCCCCCATATGCACATACGCATAACTCGAAACTTGGATCGTGAGGTGGGATTATAAGATGGCGGCACCATATTATCGTCGAACTTGGTAGCCCAGAAGGGGCTTGTAGGGGGCATTATCTCCTATCCACTACGTCGTTAGCCGATTTCACCAGAGCCACCCGTTCCCCAGAGCATTCCAGTATCCATCGGCTGATACGTTGATACCTGCTCTTCCATAATGCCTAATCCCTACATCGAAGCACCAACCCCCACGGTTGCTCTCCGTAGGCGCCGGTGCGGAGGACTTCCATCTCATATAGCTATCATTCCACCAATTCCCTCCCTGATCTGCTGATGTACACCGGACATACCTATGTGCATTCTTGTCGCGTTCTCTTATTGGTGGCTTAACTCCCTCAACTGTCGGGTTCCCCAGCCATGGCACATTCAGGTAATATTCAGCGCAATCTCTAGCAATCGATGAAGGGGAAGAGTGGGAGTCGCTCTTCCTCCCGAGACCTTTTCGTGCCCTCCTATAGGCCGATACGCTTGACGCGACCATCCACGGCGCGCATAGTAGCCCCTGTCTCCCTGCCACTCGGCCCCGATCCCTAGACATGACAAGGTGACAATTCATGATAGAGGATTTCCCTTCACGGAGGCAGGGTACCATTCTAGTGAAACAATGGGCACGGCCGCGATGGGAGGTGACCATGAGACTATGTGATACTAGTTGGGGTTGCATCTCGTAGAGGCAAGTTGGAGCTTGGCTTCAACGCGAAATGACGAAGGGACTTCGCCACGGATGGGTGGTAATCATGTGACGATCCTCGGAAGCTTGTCCAGCCAGGTTTCATTATGATGTTGGGATATTGCGATGGTTGCAGAGACGTAGCAGCGGGCCTCGAGTCCGATTCAGGGCCGATAAGCAAGCATTCGGCATGGCGAGCTCACTGCCCCTTCACGCAACCGAGCATAGTACAAGCCGACGGGCGTCTCCAAAGATACCCAGCTTGCTTATCTCTCTCGCAAGCCGTTTTCCCGACAGATTGGATCAGCTTGATACCAGCATACGAGACCATGCGAGACAACAACGTCACCCAACCCACCCTGGCGTATTGCACAACTATACATCAATAACTTGCGTCTCCTTAGTATCACCTGATTAAATCGGGGCGCCATTGTATCGCGTATCCGTGATAACCTCGGAAGTCAGTATTAACAGCTATGTGTCTTCTATGTTAATCCCACTCGTTGTTGGTTGTTAGAGCCATGAGATAATGTACAACTATCAGCGACAAGTATAGTACATGAGTAACAAGTTGGAGCATTTCGCACTGTTAATACACCACACCAGCAGTCAGATACATACCTCTTCTAAAAGGTCAACTTCAAATATTATAACCTCGTCAACCTAGTGTGGATTAAAAAACTACATACTTAGTATATCACGTATGCGTACCGCGAAGTCCTTCCGTCTTTTTAAGAATACGCGGCGCCCAAAGATTAGCCTGCTCCGCCACCTAGGCTGCTACATGCATTTCCGATGAGTGTCAATTGAGGTACTCGAGAGCGAACGGCGCAGCGTTGGGTTGTGTTACGAATGAATACCTACATAAGCCTGCAGAATCCGAGTTGGAGAAGTAGGCGCTTACGTTTTCATATATTCAATACTTGTGACAGGTTGTATTAAGTCAGGCCTAGAAGCTAACTGTTAACCCCGAGCGCCAGGTACAGTAGTAATACCAATATACGCATATATTATGTCAAGAAGCCTTTACCCCTTTCTTCCTATTTCCATACAAATTCCAATACCTACAACTTCCGTATGGAGGCCTAGTGCGAATAGAAACACCCGGTATAACCTAACTACGAACTTCTACCTGAATCTATTGTCCCTCGCATGTCTTGGTAGGACTTTCTCCTATCCCATTACCAGATGTCACGTGGGAAATCCTCCCGTATAAGCCCCTATCTCCAAGTCGTAGAATATTATAGGCGCTTACGTTTTACGCAACGCTAGGATGATAAACCAGTAATTTGAATCTATGCACACCTATACTTGTGGCTACGGGCCGCGTTGGTGCCTAGCTATGTAGAAGCGTCGAGCGGATGTATAATATTACCTGCTTAATCTTATCAGGCTCAACGGGATATTGCCGGAGGGCGACGAGGCAGACCCAAGCTCTCCGGCCTCTTGGGGGCACGAAATGGACCATGGAAGGACTGCTTCCTAACCTTGAAAGCCGGCGGCGATGGCTCTGGCCCGCTGTTTCTACGGATAGCTTCTCGAGCTGCCCCGCGACGACCATTGAAGGACACGGCCGAGAGGGCACCGTAGCATGCGTCTCATTTGAGCACATTTCGGGGTGGCATCGCAGCGGCCCCGGTGGATAATAGCTCAGGGAAGTACTCGGATCAGAAACGATTGCCATTGTCGCCGGGCCGACTCTCTCCCACGCCCCCCCTGGAATACATCTCTTTCTGCTACAATCGACATCCCGAACCAACGTCCGGTGGGTGAAGGATTGGCAATTGCTCGAGTGCAAGTGGATTATTCACTGGTTCTGTACCCCTGGCCAGTAACTACCTAGAAACGTGCGGCCCGCGTAGGGGGCCAGATCCGGTTAAACTCGACATCTTGTGTCTCAATCTATTACACCCGCCCAGACTTGATTCAACGTCACCTATGTGCTGGGGCTATCTCGGTGATTTTTCTACAGCCGACTAAGCCTTGCTCTCCCGAAAGGTCGGCCGAATTTAAAAGAACGACTCGAATTTCTGTGTATGAGAGATTGCACTGTCACGTTGGCATGCCTGTACTTAATATCCAGTGCCCCACGTTCGTGATTTGTCTATTCTGCGAGTCGCACGGGTCATTATAGTTCTAGTTCGAAGGGGGAGCGTTGGCAGAGGGTCTCAAATTTGAAATTTGATCTGTTCCACCTGTAGTCATCGATTTTCTTACCTCGTTAGGCTTGCCAATAGCCTTTAATTAGACGCTAGAGGAATATTTTAGAGTGTCGTGATATCCTGCGTTAAGGATGAGAACTGAATACTAGATCCCGCGTTGGAAAAGATGACGTTCTAGAAGGTCAAGTGATTCCTCGGGAGTTGTATTAGAGTCGGTGACTTGATTTTAGGGATAATCTTGCTGAGAACAACCGAGATATGACCTTGTTATAGGTCGGTCAGGTTGAGTGCGATTCTATCTCCCGATGAGTTCCCGACTTTAGCCTCAATACGCCACTATCAACATCCCCTTCCCAGATGTGCACCATCGAAGTTATTCATGAGACCCTGTCAGCAAACATACCTAGACCAAGATTTCGAAACTTGTTCGTCAACAGGCCGTAACGGATTCCACGAGCATTGCAATGACGTTAGGCTTTTCTACCATTTGATTGATACATAGCTTGGTATGGAGTATGGCTTATCAGGTTGGGAATGTGACAGGCCACTTTCGGTGGATCACTGCAGCCAAGTATCAAGGGAAACTAGGGCCGCTATTTCTCAAAGACGTCTTCGCCTATGTAAAAAGGCCTCAAAGTTGATTGACAGGGAGCAATATTATGGCACGGAATACCTCAAGGGACGGAGGAGATGGAAGTAATGCCTGGTAGCATGTAGGCGCTTTCCAGTAACACCAAAGACGATAATAGATGGGGCTAGAGAAAGCAGGAATAGCCTCCTCCCGATGTTATTCCCATTCGGCTTCGAAGCCGCTCGCCAACATGTGCGCATGTTTCGTATTTCAAACGGCCCCCTAGGACTACGGTATCAGTAGCGATCGATTCCGTGGCCTAGAAACGTCACGGAGCAAGCGCGCTCGGAGAGACTGACATCGTACCGGCACCACAGTTGCAAAGGTTTCCGGTATTGAGATGGTTTCGTATCGCCGTGGCCCCGCCGCGATACCAAGCATTGATTCTACCAATTCCCGTATATTTAGATTTCTCACGCCGTTTCGTAGTCGGTGTCGAGGCTGTGGGGGTCGTGTATCCGATGGGATCGTGGATTTCCCCTTACGGAAGTGCCAAGGGGAATGTGTAGTACATGCGCCACCACTCCCCCGTCATTGCGAGATATCTGGCTCACGAGAAGAGATGAAAATGGCTCGGTTGTTTCGCCCAACGCTCGCTGTGACACAGGCTGTGATTGCATTTCCCTCAAGTGCCCAACGACACGAGGGAGGTTCCCGTCCATCCAATCCCTCCTTAGGCTCGAAGGGATCCTCCAACCAGGGCCGGCGACCCGGAAACGGCTTTCTAAATACGGGATTCGGAATCGCCATGGGCTAGGTTCGGCTCTCGCGATGTAACGACCCTGTCGATCTCTGGTCGACCTAAAGCTTGTGAAGCTTAAGGCTGGCCAATGAACCCCTGGCACGAAGCGCTGGATCCCTGCGAACGACACCGAATGTCGTCGTTGGTGAAAACGGGTGAAGATGTCCGACCTACAGAGTGTTGTGTCGGTAAGAAGGAGGAGGCTGATCTAACATCGCAGCCTCCCACCAACATCGTCAGGCACAGGCTCCGGCCAGCGGCCCCTACACATCTACCGCGCGCTTCACAATACGATCAGTTTGCGATAGCAGGAGTATTGCTTTTCGCCCATCCTAACTGGGTAGCAGACGGTTCCTATATTGACTCTCGCATTATGCACCTCCGGCGCACGCGAGACCTAGTGACTATTTAGAGCCAATATATCCGTTTCGGCAATGATGCGCGATATTATTGATAGGCCGCGCAGAGCTAGCGCTAGGAGATAGGGGGCGTCGCCCTGATAATGAAAAACTAATCAAAATAACGGGATTATTGGTTGGCTGTTGTTGGACGGCCCTGTATTCCCTTGACGTGTTCCGTCTCTGCTTCGACTTGGCCTGCCTTTGTACTCACCCACACTTGCAAATGCCCCGGTGGGCCTAACATAACCCGTCAGACATCAACGCTATTTTCAAAAGGGTGCTTCGGGACGTTGGTGGCCCATAGTGACCACCCGGTTCCTATGCCGGACTTGAACTGTGCATCGAGTAAGAGTACATCTTGGTTTTTCTGATCTTCACTCGCTATTACTTCGGCTTCGCTCACACATAGTGGAATTCGTAGCGAATCGCGTAGCATTATACGAGGATACGAGCACCATTCGGTGTTGGCAAGGAACACTACGTAGCTCTGGCCGGGAAGCTCGTTGCAAAATCCCACGCCCGGTTCATCTAGCGTATACGGTAGCGATGGTATATGACTGAAGATTGTATGTATAAGGGGCGTTGAGGGTATTTGCAACACGTGGAGGGTGTGACTGTAGGTGTGACCGTCAAATCGTGTCTCACAAGGGGGGCCATCATGGTGTCTCTAAACACACACCCAACTTGTCGCCTAAATCGGTCGGGTAAACTGTGCGTCTTAAGAGGCTCCGGGAATAGTTAATAATTCATATATAAAAGGCTCGGGCGCAGAGAAGGCATCGATCGAGGTCGAACAGCATCTACTCGTACAGGAATTTGCGGAAGTTAAGGAGTCCAACACAATGTCTCCCGCATCACCCGTCGCCGGCTTACTGCGTGCCCGACTGTCTGTGACAGTCTGTGTACTCGGAGCCCTCTTCCTTCAGGCATTGACTGCCGAGGCCCGGACAGGTTCATTCGACCCCCTCGAGTCGACCATCGACAGCGTACGGGCTGCGCTGCTTGCGAATTCGACCACCTGCCGGAACGTGGTGTCCTCATTCCTTGCTCGTATTGACGAGTTCAACCCGACTATCAATGCTCTTGTCAGTTACAACCCGGATGCCCTCGCGGCCGCCGACGCGCTGGACAAAAGACTTGCGGCTGGCAATGTAACGGGGAAATTGTTTTGCGTTCCGATCCTGCTGAAGGATAACTTCGATGCCGTGGGAACAAACACGACTGGGTCGAGTGCTGCTCTGGCTGGGAACCGTCCAACCGTAGACACTCCTTCTGTGAAGGCCTTCAAAGACGAGGGCGCTATTATCCTAGGCAAGACTAATATGCACGAAAGTATGTTCTCGTTACTTGATACACATTTACCATATTCGAACCCCCGTTCGCGTGGAAGGCCGTACTGTGATAATGGGCGTCTGGGTGTCCCGTGAAAGCCATTGCTGACAAGTACTATAACAGTGGCACTGGAGGGTCTTTCTGTTTCCTCGCTAGGGGGGCAGACCATTAATCCGTACGATCAAACCCGGACCCCGGGGGGTAGCAGCGGGGGCACCGGTGCTGCCATCGCAACGAGTTTCGCAGTATTCGGTACGGGTACGGACGCTGTCAATAGTCTTCGTAGTCCTGCAAGCGCAAACAACCTCGTGAGCGTACGGCCGAGCCGCGGGCTAGTATCGAGAGCGGGCGTCTTACCCATCAGCTTCACGCAAGACAGCATTGGCCCCATTGCGAGGAACATCCCGGATCTTGCCGTCGCTCTGACAGTTATGGCGAGCGTTGGGCCCGACGAAGCCGACAACGCCACCCTCTTCGTACCTCCCGAGGCCAGGAATATAGATTATACGCAGGGGCTAAGTGACGGGAGCCTAGAAGGGCTCCGGATCGGGCTTCTCAACGGATTCTTCAACCACACACCGTCCTACGAGACGACTCCCGTAATCGAGGCTCTACAAGAGACTATCGAGTTCCTAAAGTCTCAAGGGGTTGAGATCATCAATGTGACAGAATCGATATACGACACGTCAGCCCTCGCTAAACTTGACGTTCAGCGATGGGAAGGCAAAGAGGCGGTGAATACCTACCTCTCTACTCCTAGCCTTACCGGGGATAGGCCGACTACCTTTGACGAAGTGTATAGCGGTGGGAAATTCTTGGTTATCCCGGCCCAGTACAATTTCATAAAAAATCTTCAGAACTCGTCGGTCCTTGACCCGGAATACGCAATATCTTTGCAGGGAATCGAGAGCCTCAAGGCGTCTGTCAACGCGACCTTCGTTAGCAACCAACTGGATGCTGTCATTTACCCCGAGCAGAAGAATTTGGTGGTCAAACTTGGCTCGCCGTCCCAAGCCGGACGTAATGGCATCCTCGCCGCGTTGACGGGGGTTCCGGTCGTTACCGTGCCGGTTGGCTTCTCGACACCGTCGCAGGATGCCCCAATCGGCGTCCCTATCGGGATGGAGATACTGGGACTTCCGTTCACCGAGAGCAAGCTGTTGAACATTGCTAGCCACTTCACTCGTCTTCGTCCACTACGCAAAGCGCCGGCATTCGCGGATCAGAGCGTCTCGGTCGGATTATATGGCTCGATGCCTCTGATGCGGCCGAACAGCTCCAACATTCCTCCGGCATATCCTATGGGGGTTCTATCGTAGAAGGGGCTGGATATCAGTGAGAAGAGATTGGCATTGACTTCCTGTATGTCTAGTTATTACTGTCGCGGCTAACCTTTATTCACCGCGCTTCATAAATTCCCGAGATGATGAAACCCCCCAGATACCACCTACGGGGCATGTTTTTTTTTTGTATTGGGAGGGATTGGGGCTAGGTATTAAATAGACAGCTAGATCTGCCCCAGGGATTGGAAGAATCACCGTTTCTCTGGCGTCTCACTGCATCATGCCGAGAAGGGCCTGTAAGATGACTCGAGGGGGTCGGTCGGGAATACGGTTCTCAAGCATGGAGGTACACATATAAGTGGGAAGTAGATCTCGATCTCCCCAAATGCCTCGTGTAAATGGCGGTAACGCTGTACGGCCGAGCTGAAAATCAGCGTGTTAATATTCGGAATCTTTGTGGCCAGACAGGGTGGGGGGAGATCTGCAGATGCTGTACCAGCACACCGTTACCGTTGTTCAAGGTCGGAGGTCTTATCCCTGAGCATCCGCGTTAGGTTATGTCGAAATACGTCCCTGTCAAGATCCGACAACTCATATGCATACAGCCTCTCGCTTCACAGACACCCCATTCTCGATCACAGCCCATGGTAGCCCACAAAACCTCGCCTGAACTTTCCCGACTTCTGTTTGTCTCCCTCAAGAAGGATGATAGAGATGTTACAAGACGACTAGACATCGCTGCCTTCGAAAGAACCCGCAACGACACGATAGCACAAGTCGCCGTTCTCAATGTTGGGAAACTAGGGATTGGGTATCTTTACAAACCACCGCTGTTATTAGACAGTGAAGGGGAGGCGGAAGTTGCTCCCGTCCCCATTATCCAATTTCTTGCCGTTTGCTGGAGACCAGTTGCAGTACGGCGGGCTACGCGCAACTGAGGGCGACCAAGAACTCGAGATTACAATTCCAAGGCACCCACCTTGCGCCGTACAGAACAACGGAGATAAGATCAGTCACACGAAAATCGCCCGAGGCTCGCTGGCTCTCACCCATACGTCCCCACTTCGTTTCTTGGAAGGGGTACAGGGACCAAGGCGATGTGCAAGGAGCTCTACCAACGCTGGGATGGTTGTTCTTGCTGGGGGTTCCTGCGGCCAGAAACATGCTCGGAATTATTCAGAAATTGCCTGGGCCCGAGAGGCGAGATAGACAAGAAGGTGGTTAAGTGGAACGAAGGAATGTGTAACGAATGCTGGGATAGACTCTTGGAAGAGGCGAGGGAGATGGCCGAGGCCGAAGAAGCCGAAGCCCTAGCCGCAGCCTCTGCGACCTCCAAGAGCCATTCGTCAAGTAGCAGGGGATTCTAGAGAGTGGCCAACCCACCTGACCTCTAGTCAGTTAGATGGAATCGGGACGAGTGTAGCGGATGAGATCCAATAGCTGAGAACCAAAGCATCCGCCCACCCTTTTTACTCGGACCGGTTTGAGGATGCTGCTGCTGATGGGGGAGAGACAGGGCCGGATTAGAAAATGTGTACTCTTCGGCATTCGCAGATCACCAAAAGTACCCAGGCATCCGAGCGAGGATAAGGGAGAGATTCCTACGGAGAGAACGCCAGGCCCAGTAGATAGATGACGGGCTATCCGAACTTGAAAGCAGAAAGGGGGGATGCGGTGAGGAAAGGAATAGAACGCTGGCGTGGAAGTATTCGAATTGAGATGGTAACATGATGCCGCGTATAGAAAAACAAAGCAAATAGGTGGCGATGGCGGATCAAAGCGAACCTGCAGGGCATTGCTGCTTTTATCCGCGTTCCGTAGGAAATATAGGCATCTAAGACAGGCGCTTGGCGGAGGCACTCCTAGGCTGAGCTGTCTCGGCACTGCGTAATACAGTAATCGAGTTCAATGAAGACTAATTCACGGAGACGCCTAAGAGTGGTGGAAGAGGAGATGATGGTGAGGATGTTGGTGGTGGTACTCTGAGTCGGGAGAGGCAGAGGAGGCAAGAAACAGCGAATTGACAGGTTATGGGCAGTTTGTTACCAGGTAGGACCCAGCAGATAATGTAAGTACCGACAGGTACCTCAGTCCCTGCAGAGTATATTACCTAATGTACACGACATTCCATCATGGATTAGCTAATAACGCGACAGGTCTAAGTCATGTGCTTTCGAGATTCAGACCCAGCAGGATCTCCACTCTTGGCACCCCTCCGTCGCGATAACACTCCGAGCATGCCAACCTGTCATGCCAATGATTCCCTGTCCAGCTTATTACCACTGCGCTATGTGCTCCAAAATATCTTTATTCTTGTCGGGCTAGGTTGCGTGTCTGTTAAATTTATCGTGATCTAGGTACATTCGGCAGCGAACATTCTCTCATGGCCGGAAGAAAGCGCGCCGCAGCTAGGAATCATGCCGGGAATGCGACAGCCTCCGGGCCATCCCGAGCGACGAGGTCGAGAACGACGCGCTCTAATATTCCCGACATCTATCGAGAGATGCTCGTGGAGGCGAGGCCGAATACGGCTTCGCCCGAGCGGCCGTTGAAGAGGAGACGGCCTGGCCAAAGGAACGATCGATCGCCCAAGGAGCCGAGCTCTCCGAAAATCATGGCGGGAAGGGAGAATGACGAAGACGAAGACGACGGTCTGCAATTTGAAGATGTACCACTTCCAGCCGCCACAATTCAGACGGTATATATGGATTCGGAAGAGGAGGACGAGGATGATGATGATGTGCAGTTCGAAGACGTCGACCTCTCGGCCACTCCCCAGACTCTAGATCCAGCTGGAGACAACTCTCAAGACCTCGAGCTCGACTTATCTACGCGAGCGACCGCTGCCCGTAAAACTGCGGATAAGCGAAAACCGATGAACAAGGCGGAGAAGGACCGCCGGGTTGAGATACACAAGACGCATCTACTTTGCCTCTTGGCGCACGTTGCTCGTAGGAACCAATGGTGCAACGATGCTGCCGTCCAGGGTAGTTTAGCGGCGCTTCTCACCAAGAAGATGGTCGATTATCTTAATCCGAGCGAAAGCCTCCCCCAGTTTGGGCGGGCGCAATCTCTCAAAGACGGACTACAGCAGGCTGGCACCATGTTCAAGACGAAATTTCAGATTACCGAGCGAGGCATTCGGCGGGCGCTCTGGGCTGAGAGGGAAGAGCACTTACGGAATGTATCGATGCATCGATCCCGTGCGTGCGAAGCTGAGAGAGGGCTAACGTAGTGGTCACAGTACAAACTCCCGGACGATATAGAAACCCCTATGGAGAGAGCGACCTTCCGGGAAGCGGCAAAGTCTCTCCGCGGCTCTCGAGATGTAGGTGCGCAATTATATTGTGCGCTTCTTCGTGCCGCCGGCGTTGAAGCTAGGCTTGTGTGTTCGCTTCAGCCGCTCGCCTTCGGTCCCGGCGGGCCCCCCTTGGGAAAGCCGCCGCGAGCGAAAGGAAAACTGTCCCTCGAGGAGCAGTATGCCCGAATGCCCAAGTATGATAGCACTTTCGAGTCGCCGAACGTAACTAGCTCCCCAATTCGCAGGCGATTGGGCCATCCAAACGCTACCGCATATCAAGTGCCTGTAATGCCTGCTGCTGCTAGCTCATCCCGACCCACGCCGCCAGTGTCCAAAAGGATCCGTGAATCCCCCCATCCTATATATTGGGTCGAGATACTCGACGAGGCTCACCAGAAATGGCAGCCAGCCGATCCGTTAGTGACCGATTCATTCTGGAAACCCCAGAAATTCGAACCTCCGGCTTCCGATAAGGAGAATTGCATGGCTTACGTCGTAGCCTTCGAGGCTGATGGCACGGCTAAAGATGTAACACGCCGCTACGCAAAGGCTTACAATGCGAAAACGAGAAAAATGCGAATTGAAAGCGCAGAGGCGACTGGCGAGAGGTGGTGGCGCAGAGCTCTGCGGGCATACTATCGCGGCTACGTCACCGACCTAGATCAGATCGAGAATAACGAACTGACGGCGATAGAGGCGCGGGAGCCGATGCCCCGCAATCTTGCCGACTTTAAGGACCATCCAATCTATGCCCTCGAACGACACTTGAGGCGAAATGAGGTACTTGTACCCGGTGCGTCGTCTTCTGGAACGGTAGGCCCTGGTAGTACTGGCCCCCTGGAGAGAGTTTATCGGCGCAGGGACGTGCGGATTGCTCGTAGTAGAGAGAAATGGTATCGAATGGGCCGCGAAGTCTTGGCGAACGAGATACCAGTCAAGTTCTTGCCCAAGAGAACAAGGAAGACGGATTTGTTTGGTGACGATGCGATAGACGACAATGAGGAGACAGTTGGGACGCCAATATATACAACGGATCAGACCATCCTCTTCAGACACCCACCAGTTGTCGATGGCCGTGTCCCCAAGAACCGGTTCGGAAATCTAGACCTCTACGTGCCAAGTATGGTTCCCGAAGGCGGCGCCTACGTGGCCGACGAGCTTGCCACCCGCGCGGCGTTTATCCTGGGCATCGATTACGCTCCCGCTCTAACTGGCTTTCACTTCAGCGGAAGGCACGGGACGGCGGTCTTGTACGGGGCGGTCGTCGCCGCCGAGCACGAAGAGGCCGTCCGGGCTGTGGTCGCGGGTCTCAGAGACCGCGAGGCGGAAAGGGAAAGAGAGCAGAGGAGCCGGGAGGCACTCAAGACCTGGCGGCTGTTCTTGAGGAGCTTGAGGGTCCGGCAACGGATATGGGCCGACGTCGACTCGAACGACGAGGCCGCAGCGGAAGAACTAGACCAAGCGACCAACGCCGAGGATGAGGATGGGGCGCAGTCAGGAGTCGAGGGTGACGAAGCAGGTGGCGGTTTCGTCGTAGATGACGACGACTATGCAGGGGGTTTCTTTGTGGAGTGACTCGCGTCGACGAATATGGTCGCAAGAATACGAAGTAGCTCTGGGCGGGCGCGCCTCGCTACCTTGGCATGCATACAAATGTTAAATTTCAGCTGGTCGATCTCCAGTTCTAAGGCCGGCCGTGTCAATGTGAAGTAAGACGAATCACAGGCGAAATTTAACATTGAGAGATTGGGATTCTGGAGGCCCGCTTGGCACGGCTCCTGTGCCACCGTGTAGGTGGGTATGAGGCACGCTTGAATTGCTGTTGGCGACGCGGCCTACTCCAGAGTCAGAGTTATATCCATAGCCGACGAATCTCGATTTAAGGTTCTCGGCGGGTCGAGTTACACGCATTACTCCATCCTATTTTATCTCATCGTCTGGACGGCGGGAGGGGGTAGAGAGCTCGGAGGATTCCACTCCTCGAAAGTGCTACTGTAGGTACCTATGTGTTCGGGTCCACAAGTCGCAGTGTAGCATAAGTCATCTTGCCACCCAATGCCACTCTGAGTGTTGGATAGGGAGGCAAGTGTATACCGGCTATATAGGCTGACGTGAGGCTAGTGTTATGTTGTAACATATCTAACTCGGGCAATGGATCGAAGGTGAGTTCGTTGCTAGTAGGTAGGTGGGTAGGCAGGTATACACATGCACGTATTCCCCACCCCATCTCAGCGCCGATACTGGAAATCAGCTCGCCAAGCTGATGGGAAACCTACCGAGCTCAGGGTAGGCTATATAGGAGTGTGTAGCAGTGGTAAGGGATATACGTCGTTAGGTTAAGTAGGTACCTAGGCATGTGTAGACGACTCCTAATTTGCTTGGTCCAAGCATGCCGTGCCGTCCCTCACAACCACAATCGTATGTGCGTGAGTGGGTGTGTATAGCTCCTTGGCTAAGCCTAGCGTTGCTCGAGCACCACGAGATAATACACGGTAACGGGTTGCGTAATGCGCAGCCTGATCCGGGTAGGTGAGTAGGAAAGCATCGCCCCGAGTAAAAGGCATGTGTAGAGGCGGGGGTTGTTGTTATTGCTATAGCGTGGCTATAGCAAGGCTATAGCAGGTACCTCTAGGTAGGTGATGTTACTGACTGTGTTGTTTGTTTCCCTGGGCCGCGATGGTGGGACGTAATCGATAACGTCGGAGGGTTGTTGTCGCTTGGCTCTCGCTAGCCTCTCGAGGTTCCGTCCAAGGCGTCTCTAGTAGGTATACGAAGAGGGCACAGCCACGATTGTGCTGCATTGGCGGCGCTGGGTTAGGCGTACCGCGTAACGTCGTAGTGCGTGGCACCACTGCGACCTAAAGTCCTAGGTGCCTTAGCGACCTCCTTGGCGAGTCGGTTGTTTCTTCCGGCGACCCTGGGGCTCTGCCGTCAAGTGCTGGTCCCGTATTCCGGTCCAATAGAAACTCCGTCTACACGGGTGTAGGTACAGGCCTGTAGTCTACCTTGCCTTCCCTATCCCTACGACGAAGTACATGCCTAACTCGGCGGGAATATGAAAATAGAGGTATGCCTTGGGTTAGGTTAGGAGGTACCTACCTACCCACCTACATACTCATAACTGCATATATGCATACGTATGTACATTAGGTACCTTCACACACATATGTTAGTACGTGTATAGACCTGACACAGCCCTAATGCCCCGTCAGTTTGGGTACCTACCTACCTAACTTCAAGGTGCCTGCTGTTGCGCAGCGTAATACTACGTACCTAGGTAGTACCTACATGCATATGCACCAGCCCGACTGCATCGCTCTCTATCGCGTGGAAGCCTCAAAGAATGCCACCCCCAATACCTCGGTACCATATCTGAATGGCGCTGACGCCTCCGTACCTCCATCAACATCAGTTCATACGTAGGCTAGCTCTTGGTATGTCTTGGTATGTAAGCATCGGCGGGCTTGGTTCTATCCTTCTTTTCGTGTATGAAAGTCTTCCTCTTCGCCTTTCTTGAAACCTCTCTCTCCCCCATCTCGTCTTTTTGGCCTCATCTCCGTCTAGTAGGACGGAAAGCCGCATGCTCCGGAGTGCTTACATGGCGTCGTAATCTTCATCGTCTTTTTTTCTTTTCTTTTCTTGTCAATCGACGCCGACCCGTGAGTCAACTCCCCGAATCCCCCGCGGGACATTTTGCGCCCGGAGGCGACGCTGTCGACCACCAAGGATGGCCTTCCTAGACCAGACCAACACCTTGACCGGGAAGAACCTCAAGATCGTCCTAATTCGCCATCCCATTGCTACCGTTATTCGAGCCTGGGTGCTGCCCATCCTCCTTGCCGCCTTTCTGAGCTTCGCGCGCAATCTATTCGTGCCGCCGGCCGTCTTCGGCATCGGGAGTCCTCACCCTGTCCGGTCGCTGCAGGAAGGGTTGGCTGCAGCAAGTGACACCAATCGGAACACGGTCGTTTTCATAAACAATGGATTGGTTGGCGGCGACATCGATCGTGTTATAGACACGCTTTCGGACACGGTCACCGATGCTGGAAAGAATGCGACGAGGCTGCTGGAACCGTCTGACCTATTTTACGCGTGTCGGAGCTCGCTACGCGGCGTGTCTGAATGCTACGGCGCTGTGGTTTTCCACTCCTCGCCTACTGAAGGCCAAGGGGGCCTGTGGAACTACACTCTGCTGGCGGACGGTGCGCTGGGCGCTAGGGTCGACACGACCGACACTTACAATGGTGCCCAGATCTACACCCTTCCGCTGCAGCGGGCCGTCGACGCCGCCATCGCCGGCCTCTCCAACGATCCGTTCCCGCCCGTCACGGAGGAGTACCCGTTCACTCCCGAAACCCAGGAGGAGCGAGCGGCGAGGATCCGACGAAACTACCAGTCCGCGTTGACCAACTACCTAGCCGTTTCCTTCTTCACTGTTGTCATTGGCGTCTGCTACCACATGACGGGCCACATGGCTACCGAGAGGGAGATCGGCATGTCTCAGCTTCTGGATGCCATGATGCCCACCAAGTACCGGTGGGAAGCCCAAGCCACGAGACTGTTCTCGCACCATCTCGCCTTCTCCGCCATTTACCTCCCCGGCTGGGTCGTCGGCGCCATCATCATCGGGCGCGGCGTCTGGGCGAACACGAATGTTGGCATCGTTATTGTCTACTTTATCTTGGCCGGCTTTGCCCTCTCGTCGCTCTCCATCCTTGGTGCTGCGTTTTTCAAGCGGTCGCAGTTGTCAGGCGTTGTGACGATAATAGCGTACATCCTACTAGCGATTCTGGCCCAAACGCTCACATCGCCTAGTACCGGTACTGTTGCGGCCTTGAGCCTGCTGTTTGTAAGTTTGTTCCAAATCCATGAGTTTGGCCATTTCTCGGAGCTATGACACTCTCTACTTTTTCTTTTTTTTCACCAAAGAAAAAAAAAAACCTTGAAGCTTTTGGTAGTCTACTTCTTGAAAAGACTTGATCGTTAACTTGCGGCCATCCTAGACGCCTTGCAACTTCGTTTGGTTCATGACCTACATAGCCAGGTACGAACGCCATTCGTTTCCGGCGGATATATTAAGAACCCCCCCAGAAAATCCCTGGGACATACCTGGCATTGTTCTCTGGGTCTTTCTCATTATCCAGATTATCGTATACCCTCTCATTGGCGCCTATCTCGAACGTGTGTTTCACGGCACGACCACGAAAGGGCGCACTATTCTTCAAGGTCAGACCGCCGAGACGGCGCCCGCCGATGCGGTTCGCCTTGAAGGTTTCACCAAGATATATTACCCCAATCCCCTGGCTCGATTCGTCCCCTTCCGCTCCCGGCCAAAGGAACCGGTGGTGGCTGTCGAAAACCTGTCGCTTACCGCACGGAGGGGCCAAATTCTAGCCTTGCTCGGTGCCAATGGTAGTGGAAAGAGTACGACGCTCGACTCGGTAGCTGGTATCAGCAAACTGACCAGTGGCAATATCACAATCGATGGCACTGGGGGCTTGGGTATCGCGCCGCAGAAGAACGTCATGTGGGACGAGTTGACCGTCGAGGAACATATACGAATCTTTAATCGGCTCAAGTCTCCAGGGAACAAGGCATCTAAGCAGGAGATCCGCGACTTGGTCGTCGCCATAGATCTCGGCCAGAAAGCCAAGGCGCAGTCCAAGACCTTGTCTGGGGGTCAGAAACGAAAGCTACAACTGGGGATGATGCTAACTGGCGGGAGCGCTGTTTGCTGTGTCGACGAAGTCTCATCTGGGATCGATCCTCTCTCTCGGCGTAAGATCTGGGACATTCTTCTGGCGGAACGTGGAAAGCGGACAATCATCCTGACAACCCATTTCCTCGACGAGGCCGATCTTCTCGCGGACCACATCGCCATCCTCTCCAAGGGCACATTGCGGGCGGAAGGGTCTTCGGTCGAGCTTAAGGACAAATTGGGCGCTGGTTATCGCGTTCACGTTTTCAACGCCAGGGATATCAAAGACCCTCCCCAATTCGAGAACGTCGAGCGAAAGATCGGTTTTGATGTGATAAGCTATATCGCACCATCGTCAGGCCTCGCCGCCGAAGTTATACGCTCGCTAGAATCCGCGGGAATTCACGACTATAAGTTTTCGAACCCGACCATCGAAGACGTTTTCTTGCAAGTAGCCGAGGAGGTTAAGGACAAGAGTCCTGTATCGCCAGTACAGCGCACCCCCTCTGGCACCACGAGTCGGGAGAAGCAATCAGCTGTCGAAGAAGGCGCTGAAGCTAGTGAACCCGACAAAGATGGATTGGAATTGCTCTCGGGGCAACCGATCGGTTATGTGAAGCAAGCTGGAGTGCTCTTTCTGAAGCGCTGCACTATTTTCAAAACAAACTGGTTTCCTTATGTGGCTGCGTTCCTCATCCCGATCATAGCAGCCGCTCTAACATCTCTCTACGTCACCGATCAACATCCAGTTGGGTGTAGCCCGGCGGGTCAAGATGCAATTGACGCGGAAGACTACTCGGAACTGTACGAACAGTTATTCCTGCTCGCCGGCCCGTCCTCACGATTCAGTGACGGGGACTTTCAGAGGCTCTTCCTCCCCATTTTCTCGGGACAGGCGGGATCCGCGAATGATGCGCCCGGTTCCGCCGGCTTGGGCGCGGCGGCCGGGTTCTTTGAGAGCCTTCACCTAGTCGATTCTCTACCCCAATTCAACCAGTTCCTGGAACAGCAGCGAAAGAATGTCACGCCTGCTGGATGGTGGCTCGGAGACGCCAATTCCCCACCGACTGTCGTATACGAGGCTGACGCCGGCGACGTATTCACCTCTACCTTCGGGCAGAATGCACTGAACATCATGCTCACCAACACCAGCATCGCCACTACTTTTGCCACCTTCGAGACCCCCTGGGCACCATCGACCGGCGACTCGTTGCAGCTACTAGTCTACTTCTGTTTGGCCATGTCTATCTACCCTGCTTTCTTTGGCCTCTATCCGAACATCGAGAGGCGACGGAATGTTCGCGGGCTACAATATTCCAATGGCGTGCGATCTCTTCCGCTCTGGGCCTCCTACACGCTGTTCGATTTCTCCATCGTTCTCGTATCCTCCGCCATCACTACCGGCATCTATGCCGCGCAATCCGACGTGTGGTACCACGTGCCCTACCTCTTCCTCATTTTTATACTATACGGCCTAGCATCTACCTTATTGTCATACGTCATCTCTCTGTTCTGCAGCAATCAGTTAGCGACGTATGCCTTCTCCGCGGCTGGCCAGGCCGTCGGCTTTCTAGTCTACTTGATCGCGTACCTTTGCGTCCTCACCTACGCGCCGGTCATCGTCATCGATAGGTCCATACTAATCGCTCATTTTGTGATTTCGGCGGTCGTGCCTATTGGCTCAGTGGTTCGAACACTTTTCGTCGCTCTTAACCTCTTCTCGGTAACCTGCGACGGAGATCAGGTTCAGAGTAACCCAGGCGCCATAACTGCCTATGGTGGACCGATTCTTTACCTGGTCTTGCAATCGGTCATCCTGTTCGCTTTCTTGCTCTGGCATGACAGCGGATCGGGTCGCAGTCTCCTCAATCGCTTCACTCAAAAATCCATCCAGCCTTCTGAAAATCCGGCCGTTTCCGACGAAGAGGTAGCGAAGGAACTTATCCGCGTAACCAGTACTCCACAGGACAGCGATGGGCTCCGGGTGCTGCATCTCACGAAGAGCTTTGGAAAAAATACGGCTGTCGACAATGTCACATTCGGCGTTAAACACAGCGAAGTCTTTGCCCTACTGGGACCCAATGGTGCGGGTAAATCCACGACCATCTCCTTGATCCGCGGCGATATCCAACCCAGCCTCAATGGCGGCGATGTCCTCATCGAGAACACGTCCGTTAGCCATCGTCGCGCCGAAGCCCGAAGCCACCTAGGTGTGTGTCCCCAATTTGACGCCATAGACTCGATGACGGTCCTCGACCACCTACGTTTCTATGCACGCATTCGAGGCGTTCCAGACGTGGAACACAACGTCCAGGCCGTCATTCGCGCCGTTGGGCTTGAAGCTTTCTCGACTCGCATGGCGCACGCGCTTTCTGGCGGAAACAAGAGGAAGCTATCTCTCGGAATCGCGTTGATGGGCAATCCCAGTGTCGTCCTCCTGGACGAGCCTTCGTCAGGGCTTGACGCAGCAGCCAAGCGAATCATGTGGCGCACGCTTAACGCGATTGTACCGGGCAGATCGATCCTCCTCACCACGCACAGCATGGAGGAGGCCGACGCTCTCGCCAACCGGGCTGGCATCTTGGCGAAACGCATGCTAGCCATAGGAACTTCCGAAAACCTGCGCCAACGGTTCGGTGACGCAGTCCACGTCCATCTCGTCAGCAAGTCGGCCCCGCACTCGACACCCGAAGAGATGGAACGTATGAGGGCGTGGGTGCTGGCTACCTTCCCGGAAGCCGAGGTGGAACAGAAGACGTACCACGGGCAAATGCGCTTCTCGTTGGCGGCCAGCGCGGTGGTGAGCCATAAGAAGGGCAGCGGGAGCGCGGTCGGCCAGCTCCTCATCATCCTGGAGGAGAACAAGCAGGCGCTCGGCGTCGAGCACTTCTCGTGCACGCCGACGACGCTGGACCAGGTGTTCCTCACAATCGTCGGGAAGCACAACGTGCAGGAGGAGGGCTACGGCGAGAAGAAGAAGCCGTGGTGGAAGAGGGGCTGGTAGGGTTCCTCACGTATCCATGATATCATTATATATATACCCCAGGGGCCCGCCCATACACACCTCCACATCTTGATCGGTTTTTCCTTTTTAGATTTTATGGGTTTGCTCATCCGTTTTTTCTTCTTCACAGAGCATAGAGGGTGCTTGGACACGCCGGAAGAGCGTGTATATATATATATATACATATACATATATATAGCATACGATGTATGGAAGCAGGATTGTACCAACTGGCTCGAACAAATTACGTGTACTATATATACCTTCATAGCGTATACAGAAGAGAATGACGAGAGAGTGGTTAACGATTTAACTCTCATGGGGATCGTGGTAAAGATAACCATCTCAAAGCCGGTTGGTGTAGAAGATGATTCCAACACGATCGCAGCCATGATCCCGAAATAGTAAAGGTACGGGGAACTATCTCGAGTTACCATAGAAAGAGTGCAAAAATCAATTCACAAGCACTGCAGCCATCTGCATACGTACGCATCAAACCCGTCTCTCCCGTCACTGACGAATCTGGCTGGCATCAGGGTGTGGTAGAGATATCTACTCATTGGGCAGGGGTTTGGTTAGACAGACCTCGCTAAAGGCACCTAGGCAGGCACCTATTTCCCAGAGGTGATCAAGAGACAAAGAATAGCAAAGAACCACTTTCCAAATAACGACTACGAGAGAAAAGCAAAAAAAAAAAAAAGGATGTGAAGTACATGCACAGAATATTTCCCGAACACGGAGAGCCAGCGCCGACAAAAACAATGCAGGGCCTGACCGGGGATTGAACCCGGGACCTCTCGCAAGCTCGCGCCGGGCACAGCGGCAGCCGCGCGCCCCAGCATGCCCAAAGCGAGAATCCTACCACTAGACCATCAGGCCGAACCAGAAGGTAGTTCCAAGGGCTCTTATTGCGGTCTATGCAGCGTCTCCTCCCGAAAACCTACTGCGCCCCTGCCGGTTGTGGCGTATTACGGGACCGCAGACCCGCGCCGTTTTTTTTTTCATTTTTCTCCTTCTAATTCGCTGCGCTGGCTGCGTGCGCTGGCAGACAGCCTTGGGGGGGGGGAGGGGGGGCAGCCTGGGGCAACATGGCAGTGAGCGTGTGGAGGACAGCAGGGGATTCGAGGAAGGCCTGGTGAGGCAGACGGCGAGAAATTAGACCCTCGGGCGCGGGGCGCAGAGGGAGTTTTAGCGGCCGCGTCCGCTGGCTGTCTACCAGTTCTAGGGGCTGCGTTTAGTGGTTTAGTGCGTTTCACTGCGCTTTTATCTACCCACCGACACGCTAGGAGTGCAAGTGTACATGCGCAACCCTCTGGCGCGTACGGCGAGACAAGCTCCGACGGGTTACCTGTGCAGAACCATATTTCGCGACGGCTATTAAAAACAGGCGCTGTGATGGCTTGTTATGGTGCTGGTGATTAGGAGTTGTCGACCGACCGACTCGAGATACATCCCTCTAACTACCTACCTAGGTAATGTTTTACCCGCCTTAGATATCCACGGTACCTACGCCCTAGGCAACCCAGGCTCGAGCCGTAGGCTTCCTAGAGGGTACCTACCATTACACGCTCGTCTGCTGTGTACCTGCCTAATAGTAACTAAGCACGCCCTATCCCCTCGGGAGGAAGCTGAAGCCTCCGCGCTGCAACCCACAGGGCCGCGCTCAATTCAACCCCCCCTTCTCTCGTTTCCTAGCAGTGTCGCCCTTCCGTGTTCAATACATGGATTCGATGGTTTTATTACAACTACTTAGGTATGGTTACACGTTTCTACAAGCAGAAGCCTCGGTACCGGACCGAGGCACAAGTGCCACAGGGTTCGATAGAGAGAGGCAAGAGGCAGGATGCCTTCTAGGTTTCCCCGGTGGCCAGAGTAGGGCGCTCGCTCGCTCGGCAGAAACTGCTCGCGGAAGGCTCACGGATCTGACTGAATTGGCGGGTTACGCAGGCATGCGGTCTTGGATCCAATCCCTGGCCAAAAATTCGGCTTTCGGGCTGAGGCTCAGGTTCTTGCCGTGACCTCCAACATCGCGAATACTGACCCGCTTATGCAGCCCTTCCATCCACTCGTCCCTCTCCGTATCTCCATCAAACAAGGACGAGGCGTGTTCCTTATTCTCGTTATGATAGGCGCCCCTCTTCACCGACATGCCGAGGTCCTCCGCCTGCGTCATGAAGCAGTTGCCCCTATCGCCGGGCCAGTACTCCCGAATCAAGCGCTCAGACGGCGGCGGCGCCGAGTGCATTAGCAGCATCTCGGGGATCCTCAACCGCGAGCGCCGCGAGCTTTCCTGCTCCGCCTCCGGCGGCGGGAAGTTGACTTGCTTCCACGATGCCAACTTTGTCGATCCCCTCTTCTGCTGGGGTCGTTCTTCCAGCTCGGCCAGCTCGCCGGTGAAGGACTTGGGTACAGCAAATTTTGGGCGGTGGAAGAAGTAGTACGGGCTCGCGAACGGGTCGAATAGGTCGCCGGGTATCCCGAAAAGCTTCTTCGCCTGCCGCCCCAGCTCGTCGAAGCTAGAGTCCGTCTTCCACTCTTCGTCCTCGGGGCCGGGATGCGACCTGAAATTCAGAGGGTGTCCCGGGAAGAAGCTAGTCCAGTTGTAGATGCCGTTGTACGCGACGCATCCCCGGATGCTCATCCGCTCCTCGGGGTAGGTCTCGGTTAGGGCCAGCGACGCCGCCAGCGTCGCGCCGAGGTACGAGCCGCAGACGTATATCTCGCGGGGTTGGTCACCGGCGGTCAGGTTCTCGAGGATCCAGTTGTACGCAATCGTGGTGTCGTGGATAGGGGTCGGCCAACGGAGATTCCGATCCTGGTTCGGTTGTGCCTTTTCCCAGCGCGGGAAGTCCCTCGCGGAGGACCGGACGAACCCGGCCCAGCGGTAGTTGATCACCACTGTCGGCTGGCCCCGGATGAACTTGGGCAGCTCCGCCGGCTGTTTGGAGCTGGCTATCGAATACGGCGGCAGATAGATCATCAAGGGATCTGGCGTCAATATCTTGGCGGGGTTGTGCAGACTTAGTTTTCAGTAGTCAGACATGGCAATCTCGCGAGACTGCTTACGCGTTTTTGACTTCTCCTGTACAGCTGACTTACTCGACGGTGATTTCGCCGGACAAGCCACAGCGGACTTTTGCTTGCAGCACCTGTCCCGCATTGCCAGCGACGGCGCTAAAGCACTTGGGCCTTTGGCTGCGGAGGCTCCCAAATGCGCAGCTTCTGACTGGGAAGAATCTCCGCATCTTCCTCCTCTCAGCGCTCTGGTTTCAGCTTCGCGCAGAGGCTATCCTTGACGAGCGCAACTTCATCTACGGATTGCCTGGGACGGTAGGTCAGGCGAAGGAGTCGAACCGGGATAGAAAAGCAGCCAGGTACGCAAGACGCCGGGGGGTAATTTTGCCTGTCCGTCATTGGCCAATCGTTAGGCACGTCGTGCGTCCGCCTTTGGCAATTTCCTGACGTAATCACTCTCTTAACCTAATAACGGGTACCTAACTAGAGGTAGGTACCTAGGTAGGATAGGTACGTACCCAGTGTAGCACCTGAACAATCAGGCATCCAGAATGAAGCCCTGCGATTGGTCAGATTGAAGAAAAACACGCAACTGTCAATTGTTCGTAAAACGCTGTATTTAAGCCTTTTTAGCAGTTTAGTTTTTACACCTTCGATTGATTAACTAGGCTCACCTTTCAACACGCTTTGCATGCCTGATATATACGGCAGCGGAGCCACGAAAGGGACCTGCCAAAATGCTCAGGGTAACCTATATATAGGTATAGTTACTGGTAGTAGCGGCTTATATGGCGTTGTGTACGACTTCTTAATCGGACCTCCGTATAGTGGCATAGGCATTCTCCTGTTCCCGCTCTAGGACATTCTAACTCAGCATGGAATAGGTTACGAGTCAAACCGCTCTCCCTCGTCTTCCTTACGCCACCTACCATATATCATCGCCTACCCTGTCCTCCTCAACCCCCCTACCCCGTCCTCCTCATCACCCCTACCCCGAGTTCCCTTGCTCTCCCATCGGTCATCGAACTTTGCTCCCACCACCGGTCTTTTTACCTTTCCCTACCCTTCCCTACCCGTATTTACCTGACACATCTATTACTCTTCCCTTTCCAGTACAGAGAAAACCCCCTGTGCCCTCTGTTTTTTTCCTGTCTTCTCACATCCACACCGATGAGAACGCGGAGCCTGGTCTCGTCACTGCTCCCCCGTGGACGACGCAAATCTAAACGACAACATGGATGAACAAACCCAGACTATCAACCGCTCCGATGATGATAACCGTGGCCGCAATGCCATCATGAGCAACCATGTCCAGCTTGGTCCCGGACACCCGCCGTTATCTAGTCTGGTTCCCTGCGAGTCACACCAACTTAGCAGCTCGTTGCGCGCGAACACCCGCTGGTGGTTTGCCTCTGCGGCGTTCCCCATGGTAGCTGGCACTCTAGGCCCGGTGGCCTCGGCTTTTAGTATTTGCGCCCTCGTCGAGAGTTGGAGGCAGCATATCCCGCCAGGTGGGGGTCTGGCTGCGGCCGTCTTCGTCCCGGACCCCCGGTGGCTCTTGGCCCTGAATGCCGTGCAGCTTGTCATCGCCCTAGCTGCCAACATGTTCCTCCTGCTCAACATGACCAAGCGGGTGGGGTTCTGCGTCGCGCAACCCATAACCATTGTGGGCTGGTACATATCCGCCATTATACTCGTCTCCCTGTGCGCCACGGCCAGCGGGCCGCTGCTTCAGGATCCACCCATGGAATACGTCTGGTCCCAGGCTTTTTATTACGGGATATTTGCTGCCGTCCTCTACTTCATCGTCGCCTCTTTGATGACGATCACCTTCTGGGGCGCCCAAACCGGGCACTATGACAAGAACTTCGAGCTGACCAGCAGCCAGAGGACCCTCATGCTCCAAACGATAGTTTTTCTCTCATACCTGCTTCTAGGCGCCCTCGTATTTTCGAAGATCGAGAATTGGAACTTCCTTGATGCTGTGTACTGGGCCGACGTTACTCTCTTCACCGTTGGCTTAGGCGATATTTGCCCACAGACTCGCCTCGGTCGTGGTCTTCTTATACCATTCGCTCTCATCGGCATTATCTCTCTCGGCCTGGTGATTGGATCGATTCGAAGTCTAATCCTCGATCGGGGCAGGCATAGGTTCAACACCCGCATGCTTGAAAAACAGCGCCGTCTACTCATTCGGCGCGAGTCAGCAAGAGGGGAACCTGGAATATTCGAACCTATCGGTGCCGAAACTGATAATACCGAGCCAAATTTCTCTCGAGAAGAATTCATGCGTCGGCAGAAGGAATTCCAGCTTATGCGGAAGATTCAACACCAGGTACGTTCCGATTTGCCTACGTTTTGGCCCTCGACACCGCCTGCTGTCACATCCATGTTTATATTATTATTATACCTATGGTACCATTCGTACATGCTAACTAGAAGTAGTGAGTAGCCCATCTCTCCATTTGGGTCTCGCTCGAGGTAGATATAGGCGTCTACGTTTTTATGCGACAGATACCAACTATTCTCTCGGGGCCCGGAGGATGTCAAGCGTTTAACTTGAAATACTGAGGCAGAACACTAGCACTAACACGATATAGGGCATCGGGAAAAGAGAAGTGGACATCGATGGCAATATCCGCTGGAACGTGGTTCACTCTTTGGCTCGTTGGCGCGAAGGTGTTCCAAGAATGCGAATCGCAATATCAGGGTTGGACTTACTTCGACAGCTTCTACTTCGCATTCACGACTCTGACAACTGTCGGCTATGGGGATCTTTCGCCAGTATCTAGCCCAGGAAGGCCTTTCTTCGTCTTTTGGTCTCTCCTCGCCGTACCTACCATGACCGTTCTCATATCAAATGCGAGTGATACAATCGTGAAGGCTATCAAGGAAGCCACACTTATACTCGGGAGCATAACAATCCTACCAGGAGGCCGCGTATTTAAGAAGGATATCGAGTATATATTAGGAGAACTCTCCTGTGGAGCGACCCTGTCGGACGAAGACATCGAGGAAGACCCTCCCGGATTTCTAGGTGCAGGCGGAAACACACATATTGATGAAGGGAAGGACGAGGCTGAGGAGGAATATGGGGGAAGCTCATCCAGTACTAGCGATCTTGGGGGCCCCGAGAGCCAACGCGTAGTCGAAAAAGATGTCGAAAGAGGAGGGCTCGAATTATTGTCTCATGGGGCGAATTCGACCGCATCGGTCGGTAACGGCGCGTCCAAGTCGACACGTGTTGGCTCGACAGCCTCGGACACCATACCAAACGAACTCCCCAAGACTCGCGCCGAGTATCGGCTGGTCTTAATAGACGAGATCATGCGGGTAACTCAACACCTGCGACAATCACCGGCGCGGAAGTACACCTTTAAAGAGTGGCAAGTGCTATCTATGCTCCGTTCTCGAGCCTCTCGGAATCGCTTTCGAATCCATCGCCGGCATTGGGCTCGACGTATGCTGATTGACAATTAGGGCATGGTACCTGCGCCTCATCGGCGAAGACGAGAGCAACGCTGAGACCCACCGCGATCCCGAACACCCCTTCCAGATCCTCGACTCCGACCCCCGCGGCGGTAGGCCCAAGTGGAGCTGGGTCGGGCACCGCAGCCCGCTGATGGACGACACGCGCGTGGAGGCCGAGTGGATCGTGGAAAGGCTCGAGCGGAAGCTGCACGAGGAGCTGTTGCGGGCTGCCGGCGCCGGCGCCCGACAGGAACGGGAAAGGGGGGGACTACCGGAGGAAAGGAGGGGAGAGGGAAACGTGGGAGGATAGCTTCCTTCCCCCCCCCCCCCCTCCCCCTCCCCGCGCGCACGTGGTTTCGGAGGACGTACGGAGATGCCGAGGAGCTGGATACTGTACCTATATCGATTTGGGAATGGGCTTCGTCCCGAGCGTGTCGAGGTGCACGCACAGGGGCGCCAATGTTTCTGCCTACCTGCCTACGGTGTCACGTCGCATCGCGTGCGTGTTGTGTGTGCCCTACGTAACTTAAACCCCCGGCCGCTCCCCGTTCCTCGTCTTGGTCTGCTTCAGAGGGGGGGGGGGGGGGCGAGCAGGACGCCCCGGCTACTTCCGTAAGGCATCGCCGCCATCCGATCCGTTTGCGAGCAAACGAGACTTGCTGAGCAGCTTGACCGCCTCCTCCTCCTCCTGGGACGGGAAGCCGACAGGTGCAGCGTAGTAGTTGAATTACTACCTATACAATACCTCTGCAAACGATGACAAGAATACCTCTCCCTTCAACCCCAAGTCGCGGGAGATTTCTCGGTAAAGTTGTGTCAGGTTAGGCGGTCGTCCACAACCCCTCTCGCCGTCCCCCTCTCGAGGGGGGAAAGAAACGGAGACGCGAGGGGAGGAAAATATTATTATGATAGCTTCGTTCTTAATACAATTTGGGAGAATTTAGCTTGCCTTAATACTCGGGCCTCCAACCACTTCTTCGACCTTCGCAGTACATCGCCTGATTTTACGTATATCTCCCCTTTTCCATTACTTGGCTTGTCCCTCCCGATAATTGTGCCCCAACGTAATACACCCTGCCATCCGTGCGCAACATATCAGAAGTGAGCAAGCAAAACAGGGCAGGGTTAGGCAGGGAATAGTACATCCCCTCCGTTTTCGGTGTGCCTGTCTGAAAATTAAAATAAGCTGAGTTGAAAAAAAAACAAGGCCCGTCGAGAAATCGCGGGGGTTTTTTGTGGTTCTTTCGTAGTTATAACAAGCTTATGATAGATGCTCGGGGAGATCGGTGCCCTCCGTCCATTTGGTACTGTAGAGTAGAACTTGTTAACGACAAGACGAAAAAAAAAAGGCTCGGCTTTGCTAGGTAGGTTACGTACGATGGCTGAAGTTGGTCTTTAGTAAGGTGCAGGTCTCCCCATTTGTCGGTATTGTAAAATGGGCACGAGTCTCCTCGAGTACAGGGCACCCGAGGGCAATGATGGGAGAGGTAGCAATCGTAGTCGACACAGTATGGCCCAGCGGGACACAAGCTAGTCCGGGCCTTGTACCGGTGGATAGCTAGCTCTGGGCCTGTTAACTCAGCATCGTGCGTCTTGTCACAACCAACGCCCCATTTGCAACGGCCCTTAAGGTAGTAGTCGTTACAAAAAACCGACGGTTTGATGGACTGAAACTTGGCCTGATAGGTTGACTGCGCGGGGGTTCTAGGCGGATGCTGAGTGGGCGGGTCAACGCGATAATTATCCACGTTGTAATAAATAACCTTGGACGGTTTCTTAGGTTTGGGGGCCTTAACTGTGACATTTTGATGATCGTTGACGCCACCTGCCGTAGCATAGCTGATAGAGGTACCGCCGTTGCCCGAGCTAATGACGCTGGCCGCGCGAGGCGGCTGCGTAGCCAGCTGGGAATTCTCCTGCTCCGGCGTAGAGACAGACTGGATCGGCGACGCCGTGACGGTGGCCATCGAGCGGGAATCCGGAGTTGACGCAGATGACCTCTGCTCCTGCGGAGGGGGCAGCACAGTTGCGGCTGGCCTCTGCGCAGGCTGCACGGGCCGAGCAATCGGCCCAGGCCCGAACCCTGGGGGCGGCTGCGGAGGCGAGCGGGTTCTAGTAGACAACGCCAGAGGTAAGCGCCTCGTCTCATTGCCCAACGGCTCAGACCGGAAAACATCGTCGAAACGTAAGATGGGGAATCCGAGGGTTCTGAAGCCGGGCTCGGCAAGGGTGGTCTCCAAAAGCACCAGTCTATTGTCAGAAACCCCCTTATAATCACGAAGGTCATGCAGGTAACCATTATCGTGACAACAGCCAGCCAGGAATATTTTCTTGCACTGGACGTTTCTATGGTAGTGGCTAAGCATGCCTAGAGAGAGACGAGGTGAGCAAGATCTCACGGGAGCAAAGGGCGCGGCCACGCCGTTGCCGCCGGGCAGACAACATACGTCTAATTTTGGAATCGGCGTTCTCTTTTCCCTTGCCGACATTAATGAAGTCGAAGTCGGCACTCGTGTTGGTGAAATGTTCGGCAAACAAGCGCATGTCGTCGTCATAATCGATAATGCGAGACATGCGCAGCGACTTGGCCAAGTCGATGAGGTTAGCGTAGACCCGAACAAGGATAGGCACGTCGTCGTGCTCAAGTCCCGTATCCCGGAGGCTGTCTCGGACGGCCTGCTTGAGCTTCATCGCAGCCCTCTCGGCGCCGGCGACAGGGTTGCGCAGATATTCATCCGCAAACTTGGCGCCATCGCCGTCGATAAGTACGACGACGAACGGATCCTTGTTCTGATCCAGAAATTAGCAAATACAGCGCGCCGCGGAAGGCTTGGCGGGATAACGAAACGGACAAGTTTCTGTAAAAGCCAGTCCGCCTCGGCCTTGAGGTTAAGGGCTTTCGTCTGATAACCAGCCCGCGATCTCTTCTGGTCTTCTAGATCGAGTTCGAGCTCGTTAATCTTCTTAGCGTCCGCCTGGAGCCTCTCCAGAATACCCTGTCACGCTGGCCATTAGCGAAGCACGGGGCGGTGGGCGAAGCTGTCAGACGACGTGCATGCATGAACGACTGCCTCTCGCTATCAAACTGTTGGTAATGTATAAGTCGGGCCTTGGCCTCTTCCGTAATGGAATCGGGATCCTGCCCGTTTAACATGATTGAAGAGCCCATGTAAGCAGGCTCGACAGGCGACACGGCACTTTATTTTTCTGCCCTCGGTCCGAACCAATGCCGTACTACAGAGCCCGGTTAGCTAGCATCGGCACGTGTCTGGGAGCATTGGGGCGAGGCTCTGGCGACATCCGCGATAGGGTCATCAGCCTGGGAGTCGGGCTATTGGACGGAGCCCTCTCCGACGGCCGGGGTATCGAGATCGCCAGTGGCTAAGATTCTTTCTCGGGATGGGACGGAGTAGGCAGGCTGGCAGGCTGGCCCGGCCTGGCAGCCAGGGCAGGTCAGGCAGGGAGGTAGGCGGGGAAATGGCATTACCTCCTTTATCCCGTGCGTACGAGGCTGGACAGGGCCTGGATGGGCGCGAATAGGTGCAGGAATTGGGAAAAGGCGGACAATAAGAAAACGCGTCACCAACTTGGATTGCGGAAGAGGGAGGTGAGTAGTGATGGGGTTGAGCTTAAGAGCCCAACTTGACCGACTGTCCCTCATCTAGGATGGTGGGGTGGTGGGAGAAGGAAGCAAATCACCACGTGACGTGGCATTCTAGAGATATAGCACCTTGGGTACCTGGGCAGGCAAATTAGGTGAGGAGGTACCTAAAGCAGCTGCGCCAAAAGCCACCGCCGGTCCAAGGCTACGAGGTCGAGGTCGAGGTCCTGTCACGTAGTACCGAATCTCGACCACTGCTGGATGGCATTAGGCTAGGCTACGTAGAGGTACCTAGCCTCTAACCCAGGCGGGTACCTAAACCTTCCCCAAGCCCCCCTATCAATCAGAACCTTGGGCGCCGGGGAGCCTCCCGTCTGATCTCTCATACTCCCACATTCGGTACCTAGGCTACTCCTTGTTAGCGCCTCACAGGTGGTAGTAGTACCTAGTAGGTCACCCCAGTATTACCCCTGAAAGCCCCCGGCATGGACAAGCCCCCTACCCCCGTCTTCCTATCGCCCCATCGTTTGTTCCCGTAGGAGAAGTCGAACCTCGAAGCTTCAAGCTGCCTGGCAACAATGGGCAGTTGATGCCAGCGTAGGATGCCCAAACAACCACTTCTGACAAGACGCCCCTTGGCCAGTTGGCCAGACTCTTCCCGTCTCGCTTGCCGTGCAATAAGCCCGGTGCTTAAGCATCCCGTCCAGCCTACCGATCTGTCTATCTATGTACCACACCAAGGCACCTTCGAGCCCATTGGCTCACCGACAAAAGCACGTACTACGTGGTCCGCAGGTAGGCAGGGAGGTTGTGTGAGCCACACAGCCCATTGTCTGGCTTTCCCTGCTTTTCATTTCGAGCGCTATCAGCATGCCCGTCAGCTTCTGCCTGCAGGTTTTGGTGCGCCCAATCTACTAGTCATCTGTCAGATATATGTCCGTTCTGTGAGACCTCAGTACTACAGGTTGCTTCCTTGTGCTTCCTCTCCTGCTGCCAATACGTCATGTATCCCGGGCTTTCAATTCCCCAGATCGGATATCCTGAGAAGCCATCGCGGTCCCGTCCGGGTCCCCGCACACTAGCTTCTTAGCCCATCGAATCTGCGTCCAGTCGGCTTCCCGGATACTTATGATCGTGAGAATCAGCCCTGTTGCTGCCTTGGGGTCTCTCTTTGGCCTGCATAAGCAACGGCAGATCCTAGGTTCGGCTTTTACAGGTAGGAAGGCTGCGCTCTGACGGTCGAGTCGGCCACCGACCCTCCACCCCGTAAGGATTCCTGCGGGGTATGGCCGTTGGTCCTTAAATAGGTCGACGAATTGGAAGTGCTGCCTCCTCTCTAGGTTCTCGCGGTTCGAATATGTTACCCTCGCGAACAGTTCGAACACGGCATCGTGTTGGCGAGTTAAACATCTTACAGACTGGTTGATCATCTCCCCTACCCGGAAACAGGTCCTGAGGACCGTATTCGAGGACAAACCTAAGATCGCAGAACCATCACGAACCTTCTCGGGGAATGGTGGCCGGACGAACGGTCTCAAGCGCGTCTCATCCCCCACGCCGGGACGGACCTCGCCAGAATTATGTACGGGCGAAATTTGATCCACGGACGACGACCGCGGCGCATCCCGGCAGTTGACAGCCGATGCATTGTCCGGTATCGTACTTACCGCGGCATACACTGCATTCCAGTCAACGCCCTCATCAAGCAGGTCGTCTTCAACATCGCCAGGCTCCTCTACTCTCCCTACTCCTTGTAGACCCCCCTGCGTCGCCTTCGGCTTTTCCGAGCAAATCGGTGGTGATGAGTGCTGCAGAGTTGCATCGTATTCGGTGGCCGATCTCGAGTCACGGTCCCAGTCTTTAGTGACACTGGAAGGCGGGACCTGTGCTTCCCAAACACTATTCAGGGCCGTATCAAGAAGGCATGCCATCTCCTCTTCCATCAAGCCGTCGACTGGATATTCATCTTTCCAGTCAGTAATAGCGTCGCCAGGCAGCCTATCCAGCACAGCCGTGGCTCCTGCACACTCATTGCCACGCTTCTCCGCCCGTAGTCTTGTACCGCTCAGTGGGGTATGTTCGCGTGGCTCCGTTGGTGTGTCAGTTAGATCGCCGTGGCTTGAGCTCCGGGCAGCATAAGCTGTCCTACGAGCGGAGGCAGTCGTGGCTGGGACGAGAAAGCGGTCATTGGCAAGGGGAGGATCGCGGGTTATGTCCGATCCCGCCGCGGAGCCGACTTCTAGATGCCGAGTGGCCTGATACTGGGACCCACCACCTGGCTTTGGAGTCTGTTGAGGGGCCATTTGTTGTAGGTAAGCCGGCCTATACGGGTGTTGATATCTTGCTAACTGGCTTAGGGCGGCGTCGTGGCAGGCAAACGTGTTAGAGATTAGGTGATGGTCGCCTACACCACCAGGTTTGGTAGGCTTGAGGACCTGGAAAGGACCAGTAGGTGGCGTCGCGGGGGAACACTGCTGGCGCTTAGATTGGCATTCTCCCCCGTCGTCTTCACGTTCCACCCGAGGACGCTTTGCGCCGCGACTAGAGGCAGGGACGGGACTCGGATATCCCGACGGGGGGTGGCGTGCGTCCTTATCAGCACGGCCGACAATATACTGGTTGGATTCTGGCGAGACAATACATGAGACGTTAATTCGAGCAACGCTGTTTCCAAACGGCGCCACGGCCGCGGCCGTAGAAGTAGAGGAGCCATGGGATACGAGCGCGGGGGTCTCTATCAACGGTTGTATATTCGAGCCGGCTTGGCTATTTGGTTGGCTGGGATCGCTCATCGCAACTCGTCGCAGAGCGCCACGCTGAAGCCCGAGCGGTGGAACGTGTCTCGAACGTCTGCCTGTATCCTTGTACGTAAGTATGTATGGTACATGCTCCAGACCGACGGGCACGTAGATAGCTGAGGCAGACTCGAGAAATCGAGGAAGGGGATGACAGATGACGGCGTCTCCGTCGCGTAGGTACTGGTAGATCTGGAGTAGGGTATGAGGCAGGTAGGTGAGAGGAGCCGCCACGAGCTTGCCTGCGGGTAACCACCAGCACCATGCCTGCGAAAGGACGGCCTTAGGTACTTTTACCTACCTACGTCACGCCTCAGTCACTCAGCCAGGCACGAGAACCGTGGCTGCTAGTGTCGCTTCCACGACGCATGTACCCGCCCACCTACCCAGTATGGGTGTTGTACATATATTAGATCAGGTACCGACAGATGCGGATACGTACCTAGGTACCTAGGTAACTGCTGTAGGTACCTCTTCCCAGGTGCATGCTTCAGTTTTTGCACAGCTTAGCCCAATGCGAGGGCAGCGATTTGCCATTTTCCACGGCGCAATACTTGTATGGCTTCGTATAGACCATAGGGAAAAGGAATCGCAGATGGGCAGGTGAATACCGGTTAGCTCGATAAAAATACCCATCTATGGAATACCCACCTATGGGTATCAATCGGGCTATAGGGGAATACCCCTCTCTGCCTCCCCCGTCCCTTCACCATCCCCTCTCCACCACCTCGCGCTCTCTCGTCTCCCCCCCCCCCTCTCCGTTCCCTCCCCACCACCACCTGTCGCGACTCTCCCGTATTTCTCGCAAATGGACGAAATTGACGAAGAGCTCCGTATTAGCAAGCCACAAATTATCTGCCCGCCACCCCACCTTAACCTCGTCTCGTCTCATCTCTCCCGCATGACAACCGACACAGCCACGTATACCTCGTGAGCCTCGTGAACCTACCTAGCTAGGTACCTAGTGAATCTCGTGCATCTCACCGGCTCCCCCAGCTCTCCAGTCCCGCCAGCACCCTCCAACAACGTTCTTAGCCGAAGGCCAGCTACCACGGCCCGTATCTTGGAGATACCGCAGCTCGTCGGCCCATCGGCCGGCTCTGCTTAGCTCGACGTCGGGAACCTCGTCCGCGCCAGACAGAATCGAAGCTATCTGTGACCATGTTCTCCCAGGTATGTCGCGCGCGCTTGCCGGGGATTGGCCGCCCGGCCCTTATCGCGGTATCGCCGCTTCTCTCTGAATAGCGGATCGTCCTTTTCATATGTGTTTATATTAATTCGCAATGTTCCTAGCCAATGTGGTACGGCGTGGGGATGGTGCGCCCGGCTAGGAATGCATTCGAATGGTGTTGACTCCTCTGTAGAAAAAACCGTACTCCGCCGTTACGGTGACAGTTGAACGTCTCACCAGCGAGCAGTACGAAGAAGACGACCTTAGCGGTATCCCCGACCTCGTCGAGGTCATCAAGCTGCAGGCTTCTGGCCCCGCCGAGGCCGCTCGCGCGCTGAGGAAGAAGCTGAAATACGGCAGCGTCCATCGGCAACTCAGGGCGCTCGTGCTCCTGGACGGCCTAATCCAAAATGCCGGCCCGCGCTTCCAGAGGACCTTTATCGACGAACCGCTGCTTGAACGCTTGCGTGTCTGCGGCACCTCAGACCTGTCCGATCCGGACGTAAAGAAGAAGTGCGACGAGTTGTTCAGAAGTTGGGCAGCCGAATACAAGAATACGCCGGGCCTCGAGAGGGTCTCCATGCTTTATAAGGTAACGGCGCTCGACAGGCGAGAGATCGCCCTAGGCTAATAGCAGTAGGAACTCCCACGACGCAAACAGGTCGTCACCCAGGCGAAATCTAGGGTCCTCCGTGAAACTGAGCAAGACCCCTTTCGTGACTCCGAGGACGAAGCTGAACAGCCGCCGCCGTCGTCCCCTCAGGCTCCGTCCCCTCAGGCTTCGTCCTCGCGGCACCCTGTCGAATACCCTCAGCCAAGCCAAACCGTCCAATCATTTAGTCATGTCAAGTCGCCTTCCGGCTCGGGGTCCTTTTTCTCAAGCTCCTCCTCCAAAGACAAGAAGAAAAAGGAGAAGGGGAAGAAGAAGCATAAGACCTTCAACCTCGAGGCGGAAAAGGACGCCATGAAGGTTGCGATCGCCGAGTCCTCCATGGCGTCAACAAACTTGACGAATGCCCTTCAGAGCATAAACCGAGAACGAGAAAGGATATCAGAAAATGCCGCCGCCGTGGAGCAATTCGAAGCTTGCAAGAAACTGAGGAGAAAGATTCTACGCTACGTACGTCTCTAGTAGAAACCCAACATGAGGGGCTGTAGGCTGACATTGGTTAGATCTACCACGTCGAGGACGAGCAATGGCTTGGCGGGCTTCTACACGCCAACGATGAACTTGTCGTCGCCCTTATGACCTTTGAGCAATTAGACCGCTCCATCGACGCCGATAGCGATTCCGAGGACGAGCTTGCAGAGCAGGCACACCTTTATAGAAGTAAGATAGGACTATGTCCCCCCTTTGAATCACCTCCCTTTCTCCGTTGCTTACCAGCAACAGTGGCGGCCGAGAAGCACAGGCAATCAATGTCGTCGCCGGCGAGCCCAACCAGCCCGTCAGGTCCGGTACCAGACGTGTCTAACCTCAGCATCAACCCAACCCCTCCTCCCAGGCCGGTGCCACCCCCACGGCCGTCTGCCGCGTCCAAGCCAACGATAACCCCACGGCGAGCTCCTGAGCCAGAATCAGATGACGACGACGATTACGCCGACGAAGACGAGAATGATCCGTTCGCGGATAGAAACGCCGTGGTGATATCTAAGACTGAAGGGGGGGAGTTTAGGTAGTACGTCTCTTCAGCTACGCCGCAAGGTGATGTGACGAGGCTGTTGTCCCATGGAATTTAATATGGGCAACGCCTGGTGGCGAAGCGGCAGACTGCGTTTGGACCTGTTTTTCTTCTTTTAATCCAATACTCTCTACTCGACTACGAGATTCCCGCCAGATATACTCTGAGGCGTTGCTTTTACACGATGAGACGGAAGCCGTGTTATGTTTTTTCTTAGATGTATTAGTAGCGCGGTGGTATGCTGGTTCTTCTTGTGGTCTTCCCTGTACGCCGGGGCATTCGGGTTCGTCTGTGTAGTAGGTGCGTCGATGGAGATCTGCCGCTGCAACGGCTTGAAAATGAAGCACCAGAAGTCATCCCCGTGATACGACTTGTTCCTCGTAGGAATCGGCCCGCTTCCTCCACGTAGAATGCTCCAGCTCGGTGAACATAGCCATTCGATAACGGTATACTTATCTTTCATACAATTCCAACCTGGTACTTAAGCACCAGCACAAGTAGATAGCGGATGCCTATGTGACTCCGTTCAGCATTGCTTAGGCACCTACTACAGAGCTCATACCCCTTACCGCGCGCTCACGTCCTGTGGGCGCTCCATCAGCTACGAGTCAATACATACGCACATAGTCCAACTCATGGTGATTTAGGTAAAGTGATTAGATTTTATATTGGCCGGATTGTCCTTCATCTTATGCCAATGAACCTTAAAGGCAGGCGTCTGAAAAACTCACGTACGTCACGCATACCAACGACAGAAACTTCTCGTATACTTAGACTTCGTTACACCCCAATCTCAAATCGCGGATCAACATTATGCGCTACATTTGCGCCAGGGTAGATTCCACCGGCCATACTCTCTCCACTCGAGCCTACACGACCAGGACGTGTGTACGTCCACAGCCCCGCGATCACGAATCCCCGTAGCCGCTAGACAAGCTCTCGGGTCCTCGTGGGCCGGTCTTTTCTAGATCGATTTTCTTCCTCCTCACGAGTGGAAGTGGCACGGAGACGCCCTAGATAGGCGACGCGTGAGGTGAGAAAACGAGGAAGAGGGCGGGAGCGAGTAAAGGGGTCGAGGACCGTGGCAGACAGGGTAGACTGTATCCGGCTCTTGCGTGCTGATACGGGCGCTAAAGGGGCCACCAGAAGGATATAAAGTAGTCTAAGAGTCGATATGCTATCATATACGAGGACTAGACGAGCAATTCACTGGAAAAATCTAGTACTACGTAGCACCCCGTATGCTATCCGCTCTCCGTCCACGACATCGCCTCTCTCCTTTTCTCCAGCCACACACCCACGCACCCTTTCATCCTCCCATCTACTAACCCCCCCTTCCTCTCGACACACAACCAGTCACCAAACAGTCCCGCGTTCCACGGCTGGATCCGGCTGTAATCCCATCCCCTTATTATCCGCACACATACAAGTACACAAGCACACGGCACCCGACCCGAGAGCCCGCCCAGCCAAGGCGAAAGCGAGATAGTTCCCTCTCTCGCCCCGCTCCAGCTTCACGTCCTCGCCCCCTCCGAGACGGTGTCCTGATAACCAGGGCAGAAGACAACACAGCGCCGGCCACCGCAGCACGCTTCGCCCGTCGCCGCCGCCGCATATACCGCGCACCCGCCCCCCCCTTGTGTCCGACGGCGTAGGTAGCTAAGGTTAGTTCGCAGCACGCATGCCGCAGCCCCCCTTTCTCCCCGCCGACTCCGGCCGCGCTCCGCCCGGCCCCCCTTCCTCTTCCCGCTGTCAGCAGGGGAGATCGGGATCGTCGGCGCGAGGCCGCGGTCTGCGCGTCGGGGCGGGGCCTCCCGGTCCCGTCTTCTCCCCCCCCCCCCCCCCCCGGCGGCCCTCTTACCCACGGCGCGACGGCCGGTGGCGGCTCTCTGCTCGCTAGGGATCTGTGTCGGAGGGGCTCTGCTCGGCCCTGCACGTACGTATGCGTACTCCGCCGAGGTTATTTTCCGCGTCTGGGGTTTGGGTTTGGGCTGCTGCTGCTGCGGCGGCGGCGCTCTTGTTACGATTTCGCGAGTTCCCCATTTTAGCGATTTATTCTCTTCCTTTATTATCATCATCATCATTCTTATTATTAAACCTACCTGCGGTACGCTTCTCTATCCCACGCCTTCCCCCCCCCGGCAAACCTTCCTCTCCACCATCATGCTCCCCCGAACTCTCTCGGTCCCGAGACTATCGATCGTTGGGGAAATCCGGGGGCGCGAGGGCGGTGCGGGAAGGGAAAAGGGCGAGGGCGAGAGGGGAGTGGAAAGGGGGAGGGAGGGAGGGGGAGGGGGCCGTGTGAACTCAATATCCGTCGGCTGAGCGATCCTCATCCTCTTTCCCCTCCCCCTCTCCCTTTGCCTTTCCTCCCCTCCTCCCCGCATACTTCGAAAGAGCTCCCCCGCCGCGAGCTGGACCACCGCTTGCGTCCGTTGCCCGCGCAACGGCCGCCTCAGCTCTGCCTGGCGAAACCTAGAATCGGGGGAGGACGTCGAATTGCGTTCGCGTATGGGGCCAGGGGGGGAAAGGGGTTGGAGGAGGACGAGCTCAGCTGGCCGTTCTCACACCTGCCCCTTCTTCCCGCCCCGGTGGCCTTACCGATATCCGCCGTTCCCAGCGCGTCGCGGCGCTGATTACGATGTTGCTTTCCGCTTGCGTGTCAGGGCGCGCAACGAACGGGCCGATACGTTCATACACGCAACTCAACACAGCGCCCGAGTTCGTCCACATAAGGTCAGCGAGAGGAGGAAGGAGAGGTGTAGCAGGGTGCGCAGCCTGGCGTAGCCTCTAGGTCGTCTTCGGCACGACATGGCTTAGGGCCAGGCGGAGAGGGAGCCGAAGGGGAAGAGAGCTAGGCCCCTGACTATGTGCCTACCTAGCACCTCGTGCACGCATCATGCTGCATCTGGGGGTGGCTGACAGAGGAGAGAGAGGAAGGGTGGTCACCGCCCTTTTCCAGAGAGAGCGTGTATACATACATACACACGCACACATATACATACGTCGACAAGCCACTAGGGCGTCGCTTCATTGACTCCTACATATCCGGCATGCATGCTATGTATATAGACGACGCCATAGGATACCACTTTCTGTCGTCGCCTCGTTATTGCTACGAAGTTAGTTAGGGCTGTTCCCCCCTTGCCGGCATATCCCTGGTCGCCCGGGAGAGGGGGGCGGGAAGGGGGGGGGGGAAGGCGCTAAATTGCGCTGCGGCGATGAGATTCATGCATTCCGGCTCAGGACTCCGGCAGGTTCATGATGACAAGGCTCGCTAAGGCAAGCCTGTAGAGAGCCAGGTCGACGTTTCGAGCAGAAGCCGAGGAGGGGGGGGGAGGGCTACTTCTTCTGCTGCTGGTGCTGCTGCTGCCGCCGCGGTCACTTAACCTGTGCGCTCGGGGTATGACTGACTGACTAACTAACTACTTACTATGACGAGACGGGCCGGTTTCCCTGCATGTGAGAAAAGGGGAAAACTTGGAGAGGCTATGTTGGAAGCATTACCCCGGATGGTGGAAAGGATAAACCCCGAATCATGGCGTCACGGCACACAAGAGTACTTACTGTGTTATTTACATGTGGCACTTGGTGCGCCAAACCCTACCACGCCGTAGTAGTATGTAGCGTGTCGGCAGAGCTTCCCCTAGGAGTTTCGTAGGGGAGCTGGCGGCTGGCCCAACAGGCTTTCCCCAGAACCTTGGGTGCTCGGATGCTGACGATTCGCAGCCGATGCGGCTCCGAGTCGAAATGTGATGAGGTTCGGAGTAATGGAGGGGACGGGCTCCAGCAGCTAGTCCTCAGGAGTAGGCTGGCCTGAGTATCTCCGATAAACGCGATAAATTAGGAAGGGATAAAAAAAGAAATGCTCCTTAGTCTCATCTCGTATCCAGCCTTAGGAGGTGGTAATCTCTCGAGTCGTAGGAGAAACGGACAGGTAACACTACTTTCAAGCCTATGCGATGACTGTTTCCCTGTAGGTCCTTGGCAGATTGGAATAAAGGGGTATCTATACCTGCTGATAGCATCGCGGCCGAGCGAGGAAGAAACGCTGCGTGCTAAGGCGTATCTAAAATACGTCGCGCAAGTCGCTGGTTAGTATCGGTGCTGGCTTCTCGTAATGGAAAGGCCCGGGCAACTCGCCGCAGACGCTGCCAGGCTTGATGTTACATGGCCCCTTCACCGGCCACACTCCGCCAAAGCTGCCGGCGCCGTGAGGATGAACGGCAACTGCATAGCCAGACTCATCGCCCCAGACCGCCTGGGATCCCCCCCTCGGCTCAACTTTATCGGAACCCACCTTTGCTACGGAGGATGATCCTGGTCCTTTCCCTCCCCCTTTCTCTTCCCCCTCTCCTTGTACCCGAAGATAACTGTCCAAGGGATGGTCGGGCTAACTACAGCAGTAGTGCCGCTCGTTCATCGCCGTCCAAGTAGCTTCGGAGGCTATAGTAGCACGCACGGGCGAGCGCTTCGAGTTCGGAGGGTGTTAACAAGGAGAAAGAGATGAGCTATGTAACAACGGATTCTAAACCGTGGAGGTGAGGCGGAGCCGGTCGACTAAATTGTCGACGGTGATGACGGCCTCGCGCGCGCAATCCGTGAAATTATCTGGCGTGCTCCACTTGCAAGGACAGGCGGTGTGCGATACAGCGCCGGCCGGATGGCATCCGTTGTCGCGAGGGAAATTTCGGGCTTAGGGGCCTGTGTGCGTATGTATAGTAGCAGTACGTGTAGTAGGGCTCCCTCCCTTCCCGCCAGGAGCAGAATGGCCGGTGCGTTCGCCACCACGTGGCTGAGGCGACAAAGAGCAGGAAACCAAAAAGGTGGCATCTGCCATCGTCCGAGGCCGTGTGGCTGTCTAACGACTCGTCTCAGACCCGTAACCCGGCACATCTGAGTTCCAGCGTGTGCCTGTGTTTATCATTTCCGTGTATACGCATGCCATCCATGTGGGTAGACATAGCGTAGTAGCACTACCGACACCCATACCTACGTTTAGATATGCGGCATACGCTTGTGAGGGTGAGTATGTGTTTGCGCGTGTGTGTACGTGTTTGTTAGAGAGCATATACGTGTGTGTATGTGTGTATGTGTGTATGTGTGTATGTGTGTATGTGTGTATGTGTGTATGTGTGTATGTGTGTGGGTGCATGTGTACGTCCGTCTGGGTGTCCGTTGGTGTTCTCGCACCGAGCATAGAGGCAAGCTCATACCATCTCTCCTCTCGGTTGCTAAATACCCTCGTCAGCCCGCCCACGCATTCACCCCCCGCCCCCGCGTCGTGGTAACGCGTGTCTTCGACGGCACTGACAACGATCGATGGCCACGATGACCATTAGCCACGCATTGAGTGGTTTGCGTGGGGGGGGCGGTGGTAGGGCCATCAGGCCTCGAAACCCTTCCAGCCTCAGAGTCGCCTCTCTCGTGCCACGCCACCGCTTGCACGGGCCTTCGGTGCTATTTCGAGGCAGGATGTGATCTGGCATCCCTCGCCGCCCTCCGTGCCACACTCAGGATACATGGTAGCCTAGGGTCGCGGGTAGCGTGGTACGTAGCGTGGGTGGCTAGATTCCGGCTCGCGGGTGTGAGTGTGATATACGTCCGTAGGTAGACTGACCGATAGTGGACTTGGATCTCGGTTCCTTCTGGCAGCTCATGTGGAGTGGGCCGAGGGGCGGACATCATGTGCTAGAGGCGTGCGTTAGGTAAGCCTGGCCAGCATTTTCCCTGCCGAGCTGCTATGACTGCCCAACTTGGTTGGCGGGCTAAGCTTCACGTGATATGCCCAGCATTCCCACCCACCTTTGCAGCCCTACTCCCCCGTGACGGGCGTGTATGTACCTGGGTACAAGGTAGTGCGGGCACCTGAGCACATTTGGTACATTCGGTACGTAGGTACTCCTAAAGGCACCTAACCTAGGTAGGTACCGAGGGCAATGCGGCGATTGGGTGAGTGGGGCCACACCCAAGCTGCCTTCCCCCACCATCTTCTCCACCTGCCCGAAGGTATGGGCGCCAGGAGGAGGCGCGCTAGAAGCCTTCTAGAATGTTGCGGGGTCCCGCCCCACCGCGATGGGTCCTTGCCGGCCACCGTGGCTAATGACTGGGCGGCTAAATTTAAGCGTCGGTTGGCGAGACCCGATCGGCCGTCATGAGGAGAGAAGGAAATCAGAAAAAAAAAAAAAAAACAAGAACAAACCCCGAGGAAAAAAAAGACGGCGAGGGGAGACAAGGAGAAGAACACGCAGGGAGCGAGAGCGCGAGAAGTGAAAATATTGCGCCAATTGAACCGAGCAGGCGCCGGCCGCGATTCTGGGATGGGAAAAATAGGACCGATCGGCAATCCGAATGGCCCTCTACATACCTGTATAGGCATTCTCGTTGCAATACACGGCAACACACACACACGCGAATAAGAGAGGTATGTGGTACACATACGTCCCCCGTATGCTATTTATGCGGTACGTGCTTCCTCTTGCGTAGTTGGTTGGCTGGGTATGTACCTCTAGGATGGAGGCGTGTACATGCAACTCGCACGCAAATACTCATATGAATGAAGCCTCAGGAAAGCTCAGCAGCGCATCATCCCCCACCCTTTTGCCGCCCTCCCCCATTGGAGAGATCCTGCTAGCCCTCACCACCCACCACTATGGGGTGAGCTACATAACGTGGTCAGATGACGGGGAACGACGTATTGTTTTTTTAATAGCTCTGCAATATTTTTCCCTTTTATTTGTCCAATTCTTATTTATTTCCTCGATATTGCTAGGCCTCTTTTTTGTTGCACTCGCTCCCCCTGTTCGCTTCTCCCTCGACCCAATTGATAGAATCCCATCCTGCGTGTATATACACAATATATTAGGTAAATATAGATAAATCCCGTCCCCCCCCCGCCAGTCATAACAATTCGAATGGGCAGAGGGATATTCTCAAGTGAGTCACTTGAACCTAGGCCGCTGCATGTTGGTATTGCTGTTGTCGTTAGGCCTGCTGGTGAGGGCTAATCGCGTTGTAAGTAGCGAGTCCTGCCCCCCTCTTCTTCCCCCCCCCCCTGCTCAACCGACTGTCACGGGCTACGGTTGACAACGCATTGGTGCATGCAATGTGTCTCTGTGTATGTCTATGTGTGTGCGTGCGTCAGTACGGTTTATGGATAGTGTCAATAGCCATTTCGCGACGCCTCGAGCTGGCCTATCTCCCTTCGAATCTGTTGACCACGAGGCAGACAGTGGGATAGATACCTGATTGATGACGAACCTGAGGTCTACCCCCCCCGCGTAGACATTGGCTCGATGGACTCGTATTCACGCCAATCCGTTTTCGCCAATGAGGCTGGCCGCGTCGAGAACCTCCCGCCGTTCCCCCCTCCCATTCGCTCTCGTCGTGCCCGGCAAGGCAGCAAGGGCGCTGTCCCCAATTGAAGCCGATTGATGTGCCTGCTGGTTCATGCCTCTCCCTTCTCTGCCTGAGCGGCGGGCAGGTAGATTACGAGCATTTTCTCCCGACGCACCCTCTCCTCTGGCCGGCCGGCTGTGTCTCCCCCTCTTCCCGCCTGCCTTAGCTATGGCTATGCAATGCAAGCCGTCTCCCTAATTTCGTCATGCCTATCCGGTATCGAAGGTATGTAGGGGTGTGGATATCGTCAGGCAGGTTAACCCTAAACGACGCCACATGAAAATGACTGGCATATGCTCGGCGGGAACATCCCACCAAACGAGCAACGGCCCACGATGGTGCCCGTAGTTCCTTTCGGTAGCTTGGAGGGGGAAGAGTGGATTTCGACATACACACACCCGTAACTCGAGGTCATAAATCTTTTCTTTTCTTTTCTTTTTTTCTTTCCATTTTTCCCCCCGGGACGAACAGCTAGGCGCGCTCGAACCGTAGGACGGCGTCCTTGGTACCGCCATGTCCTCGTGAAGTAGCTGCAGCAGCCATGTGTTGGTAACAACTGTAACCGCGGCAGCTGATTATGCTAAGACCCGGCAAAGGGTTCGTAGGGAGAAGGACAAGATTGAGAGACGGAGAGGGGCTTTTTGGTATTATTCCTCCCCAGCCTATCCTTTCTGCCTCTTTTTTTCTCTCCTTTTCCCTTCTTCTGTCTGTCCTCCCCCCTTTTTCCTCTTTTCCCCCTTCTTCTCCCTCCCCCCTCCACCCCCCCGTGCTAAAGCTGCCGGATGGGCGAGCGTCGCGGAGAGACGCATTTCGGCTAGCTGTGATCTCGCAATAGCGTGTCAGTGGTGCATAGCCGGAATGAGAGCGAAAAGGAAAATGGCCATCTGATGCCTCCCAACCGGGCGCGCGGGGACTGCGGCCGTTGCTTGGTGCAGGTCCAAAAAGTCGGTGAGGGCCGGCTCTCGCGCCCTGATTTGTTCCGGGGGACTACGAGCGACTCGAAAGGTGTGGGAGGCCAACTCATCGTGCTGGCGACCCATTGATATACGGCAGATAAGCCCTATCGCCATTGAAGGTGTCATGCACGCCAGTGGGCACCGTCTTCGTCTTGTGCCGTCGTCTTGGCTCGTCCTTGTCCTGGAACGAACGTCTACCTGCGACAAAGGTATGCCTGCTAGCCGCTGTACCGGCAGCGGGCATATTAGCAGTATCGCAACCCAAGATCGTAGACGTAGACGATGTAGGTAAATAGGTAGGTAGGTAAGTAGGTTGGCTGTAGGTAGCTGTAGCTTGTGGTAGCACACATACACACACATCTACATCTACATGCGCTTACATCTACCTACCTACATACATCTGCATACATTCACATATACATACACATATGCTTATGCCTACGCCTCCATTTACACTTACATCTGTCTAGGTAGGTCCTGTACATACCTACGCACATCTCCTCCATACGTCAGTTTAGCTCCCTACTCCCTGTATCCTGTCCTTACAGACAGGCCACCCTTCCCTTCCCTACTCACCTCCGCTCAGCGGCTATGCCATGTAGGTAGGTCATCTACGTAGGTCGATGACGAGGGGAGACAACTCAGTCCGCGGCTGGTGGAGGGTAGGAATGAGACGAACTGAGGGGCCGGAGGAGGCCCCCGACGACCGGCCGCTCCGGGCCGGCCAATCATAAAAAAAGCGTAAAACAAGATATCGCAGCATCCTGGGAAGCAAAAAGGGAGGGAAGAGAAAAATATTTTCCCAAAAATACTCCCAAAAATACTAGGTAATATTAAAATTTAAATATCTACCCTGCGACGCGTTGCATGCCGCCGTGTACGTGAGTATTGTCGCACGTAGGTATATACATATTGCACATGTTGATATAACACCTAACCTACCTACCCACCCACCCATCATATCCACATCGGCGTAGGCATCTCATCTTCTACTCATGGATGCGGAGGTAGGCATGTATACCCGTGCGCGTGGAAGCCAGAGTGAAGTCATGAGTATCATCGACGACGCACGCACCCACATCCATACGTATAACCACGCAGCACGCTCATAGGCTGCAAGCGCAGCCGCACCTCTCTCGCCTCTTCCGATGCCGCAAGTCGTTATCGTCGAGGGTCGACATACATTAGGCCACCTTTTGCCCCTAAGTCCCTACCTACGTCCCTACTTACCCTCCCTCCCTGCCTACCTACCTACCTGCCTTTGGACGACTACTACCCACCGGCGGCCACCGCATCGCAGCGGACCTCGCAGCGGAGAGAGAGAGAGGGGAAAAGGGAGGGATCGTTCGGCTGGCTTAGGACGCACGCACGCGGGGTGCGGCGGCATCGCCGCCGCTCGCAGAGGGGGCGGAGGCGAAGGGGAGCGGCCGGGCTGATAGGGCGGCAGATTGCGCGAGGGCCGTCCGCGTACCGGCGTGGCAGAGGAAGGGGGGCGAGAGAGAGAGAGAGAGAGAGACCGGCCAGCTAGACAGGTTAATGTCGCACAACTCTAGCGCGTGGCCAGCTGTGGATGTGTGCGCGCGCACAGCATGCTGGGCAATCTGGCGACGAGGACGAGGACGAGGAGGAGCTGGAGCTGGAGGTAGGTGTCGGCCCCTCCCTCCCTGTGTAATACCTACCTAGGCATGTCGTGGGCTCGCACCGCAGACGGCGTTGCATGTGAAACGCGCGGCGGGCAGCGAGGCGAGGCACGTAGGTAGGTAGGTAGGTAAACTGCCATCCAGCGCGCGCGGAGGCTCTCGAGCGCGTGCCTAAGTGCGTACGTACGTAATGAAATGAGTTGCTATCGTCTGGCTCTCTGTCTCTCTCGCTCTCTCTTTATCTCTCGACGCCCGGCCCTGGATCACCGCCAGCGCATATCTTTCCGCGAGGAGGGGCCAATCCGATGCCCGAGCTTCCGGCCGGTAAAGTGTAGCAGGCGTGTTCGTGGCCCGCGTGCGGGCGGACGGCGTCTGTCACAGATAGGTAGGTAGGTAGGTAGGTAACGAAATTGGGCATCTATGCACGCAGAGACACGCCTACAGTCCTTCTAAGCAGCCGCCTGTAGGTAGGTAGGTATAGAGTGTGTCGGTGATGTATGGTAGGTTGAGGGGTGTGACTTATGGCGGGGAGCTCGGAAGCGTGTCACCTAACAATGAGGTAGGCAGGCGGTTCTATACCTAGGCTGGCAGGTAGGTAGGTAGGTAGGTAGCTCTTGTCTGCTTCACCGCCCCGAGTCGCAACACGCTAGAAGGTTTACATAACACAGGTAGGTAGGTTGTCTTAGGTACACTTACCTGCTGGTATATCTGAGCCAGCAGCGCCAATTAATTTGGGCTTCTCCCCGGTTATTATTTTCATTGCCTTTCGCTTTTTCCTGTTCATTTTATAAGCCTAGGTAGATATAGATATATGCACGTATTTATTTATACATTTTTCGCCGTCGAACAGGGTCCGCTGCGATGGCGACGTCGACTCTTCTCTGCCACCGATCCTCCTGTTAGCCGGCCGACTTCCCTGCGGTGGCCACATCGACAGGCGGGTAACAGGACAACAGCCCAGATGGAACATGCAGGGCATGGGCCCGGGTAGCATGGGCGCATGTGCGTACGCACACATACCTAATTCCAGGGCCGGTCGACGGGAACAGCAGACCTGCTCACGTCTCGAGAGAGGGGCCCTCTGCAGACGACACAGCCTGTAGGCGTACCCGGGTGCCCTGTCGCGTAACATGCCTCTGCCTCCCCAATGCACGATGCACATACCTAGCGACCTCCATATATGCCGTACCCTCCAGGCCTGGTTGGGTTGGAGTAACTGGATGGTATAGCCTCTCTGCCTGCGAGGTATGGACGCGGCAAAGGCAGACGGGATGAGCAGGGACAAGGAGGAGGAGGAGGGGGGATGCTCGGAGGGAGCAGTGCGGTGTATGATGTTAGGACATGCAGAGCCCGTCGGTGATTGGGGCTAGGTTCGTGTAAGTGTAAGTAAGGTAAGACGAGGCAACGAAAGTGCTTATTAGGTTAGTGGTTGTGTAAGTGTTTGGCTGTAGATATCTACATATGAGTAGAGAAACCCTACCTAAATCCAGAGAGGTCATAACCCCGGGCATGTACGCGGGCAATATACAGGTATGCTTAGATCTACCAAGTAACATAGCACAGCGCAACGGTATCGCAGAGATCGAAATGGCCGAATGTAGTAATGGCATGCCCTCCAACCTTGCACCTAATATGTCTTAGGCGCACCACAATACCTACACGCCTCTGCCGCAACCAGACTACGAGAGACACCAGGTTGACGGGCCCTTTCTCTCTCGCTCTCTTTCCCCTTTCGGCCTCTTCTTTTGCTTTCGACGTTGGTTTCCTCTGTTCCCTCCAACCCCCTTTTAACTCTCCATTTCACCGTTAGTTCAGTAAACAAGTAGACAAGCCGTGCAGGCCGACGTACGATCCCTGATGGGATCGTGGGCAGGGGAGGGGGGAGGGAAGAGTGGACGGAATGTCCTCGCTCGTTGGTGTTACCCGAAGTGCAGCTCCGCCCGGGGGGGGGGAGCCATCGTCGTCATCACTACCCCCCCCCCCCCCCCTCTTCCAGCCGTCTATCTGGATTCGTCGCAACCCCCTTCGGGACGCCCCCGTGTCCAGCTGGCGAATGCTGTGCTATGGTGAATTTTACTTCCGCACGTTATCGGTCGAGTTTTTTTTTTGTCGTCCCTGCGAGCGTCACCCGTCGGGCCCCGCCTCGCGAACTGACCAGCGACAGCGATGCGCGGCGGATCGAGCGTGCGGAAACAGGGACTAGGAAAAGAGCGCCGACATGCGACGCTGATCATTCGAGATCTTCGAGCGTTCTAGAGTCCGGGATTGACTACCTAGGTGTGTTACACCTCTCGACTTTCAACGGGGGTCTCTCAGGCATCCTGCCTGCTATACTACCTATCAAGCTGGCCTCCCCGTCATCTGCTCTGCATGGGAGCCTACGCAGTTGCATTTCCTAATGTGGACGGGTGGTATACATTCCTACGTATGCTAAAGTACTCTATGCACGTAGATTAGCTAGGTACCTAACCTCCTCAGAGCACAGTTATCCGAGCTGGGTCTGGATGGAAGAGGGCGGAAAGGACGGAAGAAAAAGGAGAGGAGAGGGAAAGTAGAGGAAGAAGAAGAAGAAGAAGAAGAATCAATAAATAAATAAACAATCAAGAAGGCATAGATAGATAGATGCATACAAGCACACATATCTATATTCTAGAAACCCAGAGGGCGGTCTAGAGATTCCATATCCTCCGACGATGGTCGATCAAGGGTCCCTCCCGGCTGCGGGTTGATTGGGTACATGGGATGATGCGCCGCCGTACAGCGAAGTGAGCGAGCGACCGCACGCGCATCCGGAGCGTCCTTTTATTTTCCTTTTATTTTTTTTATTTTTTTTATCCCTTTTTCCCTTCGAGCCCGCTTGCTCTCCGCCCGTTGCACCCGCCATCGACGCCCATGCCTGCTTTTGTTATCTCGCGTCCCCCGCCGGTGTGGTGTCATGGCCGTTCCCTTCTGGGCAATCGACATCGCAAATCCCATCCGTCTCTCCCGTCCCCCCCATCCAGGTGAATCAGCGAAAACCCCCTTCTGCCGGTCCCTTTTCCCATTACCTTCTCTGTCGTCCCAATCCGGTTCCCACCCTCCTCGACCGCTCCCCCCCCCCCCTCTCCCCCCAATATCTCTACTCGACCTACTGGAAAGAGCAGGAGGGCAGGGGGAGAAGGGCAGCAGAGGGGCGGGGAAGAGGTAGGCGACGAAGGGCAGGGGGGTAGGAGGGCGAGGAAGGGAGCAAGCGACCGGGAACGAGGGAAAAGGAGGAGGAGGAGGAGGAGGGCGCGGAAGAGCAGAGGACGAAGAGGCTTCCCCATGAACGCTGCTCGCCTGCTTACTACAGGTTTATTCCTCTCTCCAGCGGCATTTTGGGTGCCCCATTAGAGCCGCTAGTAAATTTTTCTTGGAGCTGTGGAGGAGGAGAGAGGCGTGCGAGTCTATCTAAACGTAATACAGTAATTGGGATTGGGATGCGGTCGCATGGTACCACTAAGGAGGCTTCTCCCGCAAGAAAGAAGGAAGAAATAAATAAATAAATACACAAGAAACGCTTCCTCCCTCTGCACTGACAGATACGGGTACACGATACAGCATAGTAGTAGTAGTCACAGCCGTTCGTTCCTCATCATTACAGACGGATGGATGTATGCCAGCTTGCACTTCTCCACCTGGCTGCATTTTTTCGTCGAAATGTCAACAAAGGTGAGATCGTCACATGCTGAGGAGCGCCGTGCGAATTTCTTGGCTGCATTCGGAGCTCACCTACCTTCAAGCTCTGCCTAACATGTGCCCTCGTCCCGACCTAGGTAGTAGGTCTGGGTCTCCTCAATTCATCCCGGGCTGGCGATGTCTATATGTTCCTTATACGACACATATATACACACACTATTGGATGCACATCGTAGTAAACCGGTCTCATCATTAATGGAACTGCGACCGGAATGCAATGGATAGATGGGTGATTAAGCACACGTTTTACTCTTTTTATTTTGTAAGCCTTGAGTTTTTACTATGTTTTTGCAGTCATGGAGCATGCTTTTTTGTCTTTCCTTTTTTGGGCTGTTTTACCCGGGGCTCAGCGTCTCTCTTCCCTGGTGATCACGGCCCTCTCTCCATCTGCAGCAGCCGGCGAGGCCATACACTCCTTGATTTTCCTTCTTTCCTCCCCTTGGTTCCTCTCACTTCTTCTCCTTTCGTGAGGTCGCCCTCCGGTTCTCCTTGAAAATACACGCTATCCGTAACAGAAAGCAAATGCAGCCCTGTGATAAGAGCGAAATCAAATGCGGCCCGTGGTATCATTTGAGGTAGCAACGCCGATTAGTGCCAGGTAAACGTGAAAACTAGAGACCAATGCCCTAGACACACGATGGGTTTGTGAAGTAGGTCGGAAACAGTCGAGACAATTTGGCGCCACGGCTCAGGCTATGGTCGTGATATTGAATCGTGTCCGATCCGGTCCTGGGTCCCCCACCCAGTGTGTGATTATGGGCGAAGGGATGCCTCGTCATTAGGAAACATCATTAAACGCCAGCCTCATGAATGAAATCGGTACCGTATGACTGCCGCCTCGCCATGCTTCGAAAAGAAAAGAAAACCGAAACAGAAATGTACAAGGCAGTTTCATGTCTGCCGTCGGGTGTTTTAGCCAGCAAGCTCGGTTGCCCGGCATTGTGGCTCGAATTATAAAAAAAAAAGGTGGCTTTATTTACCAGCCTTGGGCGTGGTATCCGCCGCAGTCGTCGCGACTGAAGTATTGGTTCCAGCTGCTGGGTTCCTGTTCGTCCTTCCCTTTGGCCAAGTACACCTTCTCGGGATACTGCTTAAGGTTGGCCACGTCGAGGGAGGTGTGGCGCCTCTTCAAGACCGCGTTCGCGGTCGAGGTCTTCTGCTGCCGTTCCCACAGGAGCTGGCGCCGGAGCGATTCGGTCAACTCTGTAGCTAACATGTTCCTCCTAGTAGTCCTAGGCGATAGAGCTGCGTTTTGGCAGTGGTGCTGCACGTTCGTCGTGATCGGCTGCGCTCCAGGCCTACAGTTCTCGTTGATGGGCTTCAGAGGCGTGGGGCGGAGTCCTCGTCTCATCTCCAGGCCATGGTCAGAGTCGTTCGGCGAAGAGACGAGGGCCATCTTGCCAACGTTGTGCAGCGCTCGGGCGCGTTGGGGAATGGCAGGGGTAGAGTGAGACGCGTAATTGCTGAGACCCTTGGTTCGCTCTTCCTGATCGGCGATCATGAGGCTGATCAACGACCTTCGAGAGGTCAGGTTAGCCTTGGACGGGTACCTCTTGAACGTCACAGCGTCGTCCACGCTCGACTTTCCGCTCTCCTCGTTCGAGTCCTCCCATTCCGAGTCCTCGTCATCGTCGTCGATGGCGCTCTCATCCATATAGCTGTCCGAATGGTCGCTCATGGATTGGATGGTTCGCGTGGTGACTTGGTGGTTGAACGGGGCCTGCTTCTTCTGTAGACCGAGCAGAGAGACCTGCCGGGAGTGCATGGCACTCTTCAGCGACGAGGCCTCGTCTTCCCCGGACGAGCCCATCCCAACCTCGAACATCTTCCTCTTAGGAGGTTGCGGGGGGGCGAGGGGCTGGCGAACCTCCAGGCTCCGAGGCGCGGACTCGTTGCTAGAAGAGTCACCGGGCTTAAATTGGGGGACCTTCTTGGACTGCACCAGTTTCGGGGCAGGCGAAGCCCGCGGCTCAGGGATCGGGTCCGGCTTCGCCATCTTCAGCTCGTGGGAGGCACGGAACAACGGAGCCTCTGACGGCGAGAACCCTCGCACGACGGTCGTGGCAGGGGTTTCCGGGGTCTTGGGCTGCGATAGAGATTGTAAGGAGGCGTCGGTGGACTGGCAGGTAGACTCGGTGGTCGGGGTGGTAGGGGTCTGCTCGGTCTCGGGGCAGGATGACTGAGTGTGTTCAACGTCGGACGACTCGACGGAAGCAGAGCTCGTGTCAGAGAGCGGCGCCAGGTTCGGCTCCCTCTCCTGTATAATAGAGACGACCATCTTCTCGAGATGGTCCGAGGTTATGTGACGCTCACGACCACGGCTCCGGCTGCTAGCACAGGAGTCTTGTCGGACGATGCGCGGGCGGACGATCTCCACGGGGTCGGAGATGGTGGTCAGGTCGATGGCTTCCTCGTCAACGACGGAATCGACGCTGCCCGACAATTGGGGGACGTCAGGTATTCGCTGCTGCTCCGGGATGTCCTTGGGCAATGTGACGGTGGCGCTGGCGGCGGCGGCGGCAGCAGATAAGGCCTTGGCCTCGCAGCAGAAGGTCTCCCTGTTCCATAACCGCCAGCTCAGGTTCTCTAGTCTTCGACCCTGCTCGACGGAGTCGGCACATCGGGAAAACACTACACACTTGGTTAGTAGCAGTGGCTAACCACCCGGAGGCCAGGCTCGACGATTCGGGGCCTTACCGGTCCACATGCTGAAGAGGTTCTGGGCATTGTTCGTGTCGACCTTGTGGATGACGTTGGGATCCACGGTCAGGACCAACCCTTCGGCTTTGCCAGGCATCTTTGTTCTGGGCGAACGCTCGGCTGCTCGAGCAGACAGTCAGGGTGTTGTGGAGGATATGGTGGCAGCGGTTTCGCGATGCCGACCGCGAATGTCGGTGTCGGTAGAACTCGTGCTGCTCGTTCGAGGACCGGCCGGGGCAGGTAGGGCAGGTTGGGAATGCTGAGGCGCCGTGCTCGTGGGCGCAACGGCGGGATATACGAGCAGGAGCGGGAGGTGCTTCTCGTAGCAGATACTCGGGTCTCGGGGGTGGATTCCGGAGGCCGACTTAATGGGTAGGTGATCAATGCTGCGGTCACCAACGTTTCTTCGCACCTTAGAGGAGTCAACCAGCTTCGTGGTTTTTCGATGGAGGTCTGGCAGGAAAGGGAGAGGAGGGAGGATAGCTGTGTACATATGTATTCGACCAGCCGGAGGGCGAGTGGAGTAGGCGGTAGGGGGAGACGAAGCGCGGTGTGTAAAGATCCTCCTCGCTGGAGCCGGTACGTAGGTACGTGGAAACTCGGGGAGAGGGGAAGAGGTACCACGGTACCCAAGTACCCAGGTAGCCACGTAGCTACGTACCCGGGTACGTGCCCAGCTGTATCCGTTATTACGGTCAACTCTGGGTCCTCGGGCGCGGATGGGTCCCTGCTCAGGTTCCTTGTAGTGATGAGCGAGACTGACTATGGAAGGGGAGGGTGGCGGAACTGGGGTTAGGGGTGGCAGCGACACCCTTGCCAACACGCGCAGAGGTACGTACCTGGGCTGCCACGGTACGTACCCGAGGGGTCCCCAGCCAGTACGTACCGGCTTTCGTCTCCCGGTGTTTCTCTAGGAGATGGACCGCCGCGGCCAGACTCACCCCGAACGGTCCCATTTGGAGCGTCAACCCGGCTGCCCCTTCAGGCATAGCGCCCAACCTAGCGCAACACCGCTAGGCCCGGACGGGCAGTGTATTCCTATTGGGGTACTTAAGGCCGTCCTCTCTGGCATACCGGGACGCCGTCCGCGGTCGATAGGCCAGGTCCCGTTTCCCGACGCAAATCTGGCAAGGTACCTGCGTACCTATAGTACGTACCCGGATACCAGATACCAGACACCAGACACCAGCAATCGACCCCGTCGGCCGGCTGCCCTAGCTTGGCCATTCCCCCAGGCACGTACGTGTACGTAGGTACTTTGCATAGCCAAGGTTAGCCGGTACGTACCTACCTAGGTACCAGCCGCCCGACATCAGACCGTTTCTTGGGGTCCGCAAGCGATCGCTTTGGCATTGTTCCAAACAGGCACATGTTACCCATTCCTTCGTCCGGTCGTTTCCAAGCTGGTCACGAAGCTGCTTGCTGGCCAATGTGGCCAACGTACAGCGGGCTTACCTTCAATTCAACCGCCTCCCATTCGTTTGTCCCGCCTCGTTGATCGATGGATTGCATTCGTCTTTAGCCACTAGCCACGGCCGTCTGGGTCACTGGACTCGCTGACGCTCTCGTCATAGGCCTTCCCCAACCCTCACCAACCGTCCTGGCCGGCCGTCGGGCAGAGCAATTGGCTTTCATACGCGTAGATGGCGTTTTCCTACCTCCTGGCCGTCGAACTGGTGCCCCCCCCCCTCTTCTCCCTCTCCCCGTACCACTTACGAGATCCTGCTGACTCGACGAGTACGGTTACACCCATTGTTCTTCTCTTCACAGGGCGACATGGCCTAACCTACCTACCTAAACGTAGTATATACATATAGGTATGTATGTATGTATGTACATACGCACACGCTGCGGCCTGGGACTTGTCACCGGCTTGCTCGAGAATGCCGAACTCGCCCGCGGGCACCCAATTGCTAGCTAGACCCGGCGGCTTGTGAGACGGGGCATGTCCAAATCCTAATCTTCGTATTCTACTACGTAGCAGTTGCTCAAGAAGCAAATCCGCCGATTCGTCGTGATGGTCGTGATTCTCTCTCTTCCTCTTAGTCCGCGCCTGTCTCTCCCTCTTACGTTCGAGAGGAAGCACGGTTGAGGGGACGAGCTCTGTTCATGATACAGCCTACGCGCCAATCGATCGATAACGAGAATTGTCCGCTGCTGAGAAAACGGGTCTTCTGACCAGGCCAGACTCTGGAAATGCCCCCTTCTATACATATCCGCGTGCGTGCACTGGGACCAGGTCCGGAGCAGTGATTCGACGTAAGGAATTTAGGGCTACCGACCCAACTAGGGCCGAGTTGGCCCTACTTGTTCTTCAGCCATTTGTCGCCCGTGCCGAGTAAGATGTAGAGTGTACATGCCCGCGTCCTGTTCCCGAGCGGTCGTGATCCTTGCTTGTGGTTGGAATTTTGGCCCGTGGTCACGGGAGGCGATGACAATGCCACAACACGTCTGCTATGTAGGAGCGTTACGAAATCGCTCAACAGGACAAGACACAGGATGGGAGCTATGCGGCAGTCGACTCGCTCGACCGACGCCGGCCCTGGTCGAATCATGATTATAGACATTTCGCTAGGCGGTGCGTCGCGCCGCGCTGAGCGGTGACGGAAAACACACGGGTTCCTCGAGGGGCTGCTGATGGGGCGTGACGTTCGTGACATTCTCTCTCTCTCTCTCTCTCTGCCTACCTACCTACCTACCTACCGCTGCCTCTTCCTCGCTTCTCCCTCACTCCCTCCGGGCCTGGGTTTAGGTCGGCCCCAAATTGCCTAGATCCGGCTAGAATCTCGAGAGTTTGCCTCGCAAGCAACCCTCGTGATGCGGGCCTTTCGCAGCCAACCTCAGCAGTTTTTCCAGGCTGTCTTCTTCAGTCGACGGACCGTCCCCCCGCATTACGCCGCGTCTCCCACAGCCGGCTGCTAGGCTCTCGGTTCTCGATCGAGACTAGGCCAGGTAAGTCATTTGGACGATTTCGCGACAATGACAACACAACACCCCTCCGAGCACGTTACCACACCGCGGACTGCCAACGCATAACTCAGAGGTAAGACAGTACGGCTATGCAGACAAGTCGAGCGCAAGCCTATCCATCTTTCATAACCTCCCCTCCATTCGGTAACGCTACGTTCGCGAAACCCCGCGAAGACGGGGGCAGCCTGACCAGGCAGACGACGGGACCGTGATGGGTGCGAACATATGAATCTATCGTGTGCCCTCCTCCCGCCCTCCATCGCATGTATGCGTTGGCCTTTTTCGCATTCTCGTGAGCGTATAAGTCACAAAACAGAGCGCACCCTGTCAGCGTGCCTAGCAGTATGGCATTAGCAGCACCAGGTCTTGCACAGGTGTGCACGTATTGTAACTATACATATTGTAGGTACATCCTAAGGCGTATGCATACCAGCTCCTCGACGCCCCTGGGTATAACCACGAGGCGCGTAAGGAGGTAGGTATGTACACGCCACGCGATAAGAATGGCCAGGTACGTCAGATCCATGCCTACGACGAGGTACCTAAGGTAACTTCTAGGAGGTGCCTAACCTCATAGTTGTGCGAATAATTCATGACCTACCTCGCTGCCTCTACATCCCACATGCCTCTACTACGCATACTACTACTACTATTAGTATATCATTATTATTATTACTACTGCGTATTACGCGGGACATCGGAGGGGATTTGCCTCATACAGGGCTCCGGTGGCGGCCAAGCCGTGGGTTGGCCTTGGTTCTCCGCATAATGAATGCTGGTCAGCTGAGCGCTTCAGCCACAGGCAGGTTGAGAGAACCTCGAAACCGTCTATCCGGGTCTGCCCCCATCCCAAGGCGAGAGCCCCCCCCCACAGGGCCCGTTAGGTAACCCCGACTATCCGTCACCAACGAAATCGCGCCAGAGCCCATGGCCACCGGAGAGAGGGAATCTCGCTCAAAGCAAGTCGCATCGAGCCAAGGTGTCGATTTCGCATCTGGCGCCCTCTTCTCGCCGCGACACGACTTCGCATTGAGGCACGGGGAGACGAGGACGAGGGGGGGCTCCGGGGTGGCGAACTGGGGGCGCGGCGGGGACGAATGGGTTAGTAGACAGGCAGACCTGTGTGTGTCGAGCACCAGCAATCACCTCTTCGCTCCGGGCATCCCAGTGAACGACGGCTTGGTAAGGCTTGTACGCACATTAGGCAGTCAGTCATCATCATCAATCACATCTGCCTTTCCCCTGGAAACGATGAGCCATCCGAGCAACGACAGTATCACACAGCCCTCGGGCATCTTCTTTCTCTATGGCGCCAACAAGCGGCCAGCACCCGCCAATTGCTAGCGAGACCCCTTGCCGCCGCCGTACTCATAGACGCTGGTCGCCTATCACATCCGCATCTCTCTGCTACCCGCCGCTGACCTGAGATTCCATCACACTCGCGCGCCATTCACCAGCGCCAAATAGGCATCGCTAGCACGACGGCTCCACGGACTCTGCCACAAACAACCCCTCACCGACGCGGCCCCCATCGCATTCCTCAGCCAGGTAGGGCTTCCGTAGCCGGGCGATGACGCTCATTAGTTTTTTTTTTTTCTTTCTGCTTGTCACGATGCTAGCGATCTGGCACGTACCGATGGAATAAATGGCCACAGCCGCCGTTTGCGGAGTAGATGAGGGGGAGCCACGTCGAAAGCCGTAAGCCTAATCTTAGCTAGCGTGTGAAGTCACTCGCGACGTTTCGGGTGGTCACAACCATTTATCCATCTATCACATGTGGGGTCTGAGCCCTTTTGTTAGGCTTGCCGCCGTTGCGATCAATGTTATTATCCATTGTTGCTACTCGTCTTTTCTTTATGGACACAGCCTTATCCCGCGCCTACGGCCCGGAGTCCTTCTTCTTCTTCAGCAGCAGCGCTAACGGCCAGAGCCCCCCAGCGTGATGACGGATTCCAAAGGCCTGCTTCGTTGCTTTCAACCTTCCGCATCGGACATTGGCAGCAAGCGCGCCGGCCAACCAACAGCTCTTCGAGCGGACAGCACGGGACCGTAATCTGATCGTGTACGTTTCGGCAGAGCATCCGCCGTCAGCAGCCCGCAGCCCGCAGCCCGTAGCGCAGTGATCTCCCTCCGGCAGATCCTCCTGAAGAGCAGGTCTCAGCAAGTCTTGGGGCGATCCTCGTGTGTTCTAGGAGAGGAGATCGTCAAACGTAAGCTGCCACTAGCTACCTGACATAGTTAAACCCCCCAACGTAGGTAGTGCGCCAACC